CACAGTGGAGCACACAGTGGAGCACACAGTGGAGCACACAGTGGAGCACACAGTGAACCACACTTGTCCACGGTGCTTGAAACAGAGGAAGAGAAGGTGAAAATTTTCGAAATGTGTGTCGCTCTATAAAAATTTCGCAAATTTCGCAAATTTCGCACACGCACCAAATGCAACACAAACATCCGCACACCAAGTTAGGGCTTTCTCATCACACGAGGTTGTGTTCTATCACCTGAGCTGAGAGTGCTGTAACAGCGCACCCAAAGGCTGCGAGTTTTCAACGACCCAACCAGCCACTGTAGTCTGCTTATCAATGACGTGTGCGTGTTTTCCTCCCTTTTCGTTTATTTGCGTAGCTTTCATCACCACGGCCTGATCAGCACACCGTTGTGCGATGGGCTGTACGGTGGAGGTGTCCGGGTGGGGTTGTCTGGTGGTGTCCGGGTGTTCCATACACGGGCGCGTGCGTCGATGACGGTTGCTTGTTATGGAGCCGGAACCCTTTACCCTTTACGGCCCAAGCTGCGACTTGTAGCCCATTTCATGAACTGTTCCCAACGGTTTCACCTAGCTTCAACACACTATCGTTTGCAGTTCACAGTGCTCAGCGGGCTGGTTTACTGCTTTTCTCATTGATACGTATAGATACAACAGAAGCTGTGGTTCTGGACTGTTTATACCCGTCACAAGAGCACACAGGGAGAGACATAGAAGCACAGCAAGCCATAATTGGACAGGATGGACCACTCACACAGACCGTCCGTGGCGTCACGGAGGGAGTCTGTGGTGTCACAGACCGAGGTCAACAGCACAGAGATGTTTGGAGGCGCCGGTTCTGAAATCATCCCCTCGTCGATTTCGACATTCCACCATCATCACCACTTTGGAGGGAGACAGTCAGACAGCCGTCACAGCTCAGTCCCGAGCTCCGCGGCGTCATCGATACGACGTGGCAGAATGGCCCACTCTCCAAGCGAGGTGGTGAACCTGACACGGTTACACTCGCGTACAAGTTCTCATGGCCGCTCAAGGTCTCAGTCAATCGACCAGTTCCGATTCTTCGACCCACAGGACATTGAGGCTGCCCAAGGTACATCCACAATGGATGAGAATGTGGACTATGATACCAACTGGGACGAAGATTACAGAAGGGACAGCTTCACAAGCGCAAGTGTCCATGATTATGGGTCTCTTGAAAGAACCACGACGACGTCGACCTATACCTTTAGAGACCGATTCCCCAGTGATAGTACTAGAGCCTTGCTCGAGGAGGACGAAGAAAGTGGTAACGAGGAAATCAACCCACAAACGTCAAACATAGCATCTAATACCCACGAGGTGGAGCCCGAGCTTCATGAGCAGTACTATCCATCGTTCCCTGCAAAGTTGCACTTTCAAAGATTTTACATTGCCGAGGAGGACTTGGTGTTGGGTATTGCAGGCTATAAAACCCATAGAGCTCGGCTCTACCTGTACTACTTATTGGTTACTGTCACTCTTGGTATGTTTTACCTCTTTATGAGATGGTTCCCACGCTACAAATTTGCTCTGATTGGTGAAAAGACCCCCTTGGCCAAGGCTGAATGGGTGGTTATTGAGACTGAACACGGTGAATTAACAGTTACTCAAGTTCACAGACAGTGGTACAATAGACCTTTATCGACAATAATGAACGTGCCACATCTGCATGTCTCTTCCTCGGACGAATTGCACGTCAACCTGGATCCTGTGATGCCAATTCTCATATCAATGGAATACAGGTATCTGAAGTTCTATTACACACCAGTGGAGGATATCTTTAAGACAAATACAAACTGGGTGGACCACCAATGGCTACACCACTCGAAGGATGGACTCTCTACAGATCAGTACGATGATAGATCTCTTGTGTTTAACCAAAACACCTTAGATATCAAGGAAAGACCAATATCACAGCTTCTTGTGGAGGAAGTCTTACACCCATTCTATATCTTTCAGGTGTTTTCCATCATTCTGTGGGCATTTGATGAGTACTACTACTATGCAACGTGTATATTCTTGATCTCTGTTGTATCAATTGGTAATACTCTTGTTGAAACTAGGGCAACAATGAGACGTTTGGCTGAGATCTCGAGATTCACCTGTAAAATTCGTGTTTGGAGAAATGGCTTCTGGAAAGAGATTGATTCCAATGATCTATTCCCCGGTGATGTGTATGAAATATCAGATCCTTCGCTAAACACTGTCCCATGTGACTCTGTGCTGTTATCAGGTGACGCTATTCTGAACGAGTCAATGCTAACCGGTGAATCAGTCCCGGTGTCAAAGTTACCTGCAACAGAAGAAACGTTGGGATGCTTGGTGGAGGCATCATCGCAGATCCCTGCTATATTGGCTAAGTCGTACTTATTCAATGGAACTAAAATCATCAGGGTTCGCCATGCAGCTTCTGATCCAGCACTTGCACTGGTTACACGTACTGGGTTTTCGACAACAAAGGGGTCTCTTTTACGCTCTATGTTATTCCCAAAGCCTGCTGGATTCAAGTTTTATGAGGATTCTTTCAAGTACATCGGATTCATGTCATGCATTGCTGGCTTTGGCTTCATCTTCTCCACCATCAACTTCATAAAGTTGGGATTGGGAACACGTATCATTGTTCTCAGAGCTCTTGATATCATTACCATTGTTGTTCCACCTGCATTGCCTGCGACACTAACCATAGGCACTAGTTTTGCTTTGGCAAGACTAAAGAAGAAGAATGTGTTTTGTATTGCACCTACCCGTGTTAATGTTGGGGGCAAGTTGGACATTTTATGCTTTGATAAAACTGGTACATTGACAGAAGATGGCTTGGACGTCTATGGTGTCCACTCCGCTGCAAATTTTGATCAACTGAGCACCAATATCAACGGTTTGGACGAACATATGGTTAGAGCTATGGTTGCTTGTCATTCTCTCAGAGTTGTGGACAACGAACTAATAGGTGATCCATTAGATTACAAGATGTTTGAGTTCACCAATTGGAACTATGAGGAGGAATTCAAAGGCTTCAATCCTTCAAGCGAAGGATCAGGCGATGAGAATATTCTTCCTGAGAATGCAGGTATCACACCTGCTGTTGTCTATCCAAAGGATAAGAGCAGAATGTTTGGTATTCTTAAGAGCTTCGAGTTTGTATCAGAGCTGAGAAGAATGAGTGTTGTTCTCAAAAGTGGAAACGACCTTAATGTCTTTACAAAAGGTGCACCGGAGGTTATTAGAGACCTCTGTGATGCCAAATCATTCCCCCCAAATTATGACGCTTTACTTCACCATTATACACATAGTGGTTATAGAGTTATTGCATGTGCAGGGAAGAAGCTGAAGAAGAACACTTGGCTCTACTCTCAAAAGATATCCCGTTCCGAAGCTGAGTCCAATCTGAGATTCCTAGGATTCATAGTCTTCGAGAACAGATTAAAACCATCAACTGCCGGCGTGTTGGCACAGTTGAAGCAAGCAAAGCTGAGAACCGTCATGTGTACAGGTGATAACCTTTTGACAGCTGTCAGTGTTGGACGCGAGTGTGGTTTGATTCAGGAGGATCTTATATTTGTTCCACAGTTCATCGATGATGAACTTCAGTGGGTAGAGATCAATGACGAGAGCTTGAGATTGGATAGAAACACGTTAGAACTACACGGATCGTACAAGTCGTATGGCTTTGCTGTTTCTGGAGACGTATTCAGGTACTTGTTGAAGGATGAGACACATGGGTTCTCTGAGCACTACATCGATACGATATTCTTGCACGCCAACATCTTTGCTCGTATGTCTCCTGATGAGAAGCATGAGCTTGTTGAGAGACTTCAAGATTTGGACTACACAGTGGGATTCTGTGGTGATGGTGCTAATGACTGCGGTGCTTTGAAGGCCGCAGACGTTGGTGTTTCTCTTTCTGAAGCTGAAGCCTCTGTTGCTGCTCCATTCACATCACGTACTTTTGAAATATCTTGTGTTCTTGAAGTTATCAGACAAGGACGTGCATCTTTGGTTACATCTTTTAGTTGTTTCCAGTACATGTCCTTATATTCTGCGATCCAGTTCGTCACAGTGTCTATTCTCTACAAGAGAGGATCGAACTTGGGTGATTTCCAGTTCTTGTGGATTGATCTGTTCTTGATCTTGCCATTAGCCATATTCATGTCGTGGTCAGATGCGTATGGCACAGTCGTTGCAAAGAGACCATCTGCGAATCTTGTATCTCCAAAGCTTTTGATCCCACTTGTTTCGAACATTGTTCTTTTGCTTCTGTTCCAAGTGTTCATCTGGCAATATGTACAGACAGAGCCATGGTATATTAAGCCAGTTCCAGGTGGTGATGATGCGGTCCAGTCCTCAGATAACACTGTTCTGTTCTTGTTCTCCAACTTCCAGTACATCCTGTGTGCACTGACATTGACCGTCGGCCCACCGTACCGTGAGCCTATTGTCAAGAATGTGCCATTCATTATCAACGTCATCGTCTGTGTCGTGCTCTCCATTGCCCTGATGAACGTTGACAGTGAAGGGTTCTGGGGCGAGCTTTTCCAACTCACTGCAATATCATTGGGATTCAAGTGGCTCATCGTGGTTGCCGCGGTGCTCAATTGGCTCGTTTGCCAATACATTCCACCACGTTTCAAAGGACTGATGCGTAAGAAGATCAGCTCCAAGAAGTACAAGAGATTACTCAGAGAGAAGAGAGGATCCGTTTAGACAAACAATCATACATTTTACATACATGTTATAAAACTATTTGGCAATGATAGGTGTACTATATGGTTTCCACAGATACATCATCAAGTAGAACGCTTGTACAGGTCCTCCTCGCTAGTGGCGTTGAATCTTCTCAGAGACGAGAGGAAATCGTCTCTGTCAAAGTACGCACCACACATTCTTCTCTTCCCTGTTGTGGTGCCCATTCTAGCATGGAACACCCTCCAGTTGTCAAAGATGAGGATCTCACCAGGAACAAGTTGTTGCCAGAACACGTTCTCAGGTCTGTTGATCACCGTGTTCCACTTACGCAAGGCAGAGTAGAGCTTCTTCAAAGTGTCATTGTCCAAGTGATAGTTTGTAGAACGGTCAGAGTTGTTCCAGGACACCTGCACCAATTCTCCGTTCTTGTCATGGATGAGAACAGGCTTACGTTGCACGAGATGAACATCTCCCAGGGAGTGGCACTCAACCTCAACTTCGCTCAAGAGCTTGTACTCCTCAGGGAACTCCTCTTTGAAATCCCTTGCGCACTTGAATGAGTCAACAACAGTTGTTTCACCGCCAGTTCCATCATGGAACAACAGGTGGAACAACTGGAGGTATGGCGTATACTCCCAGTATGTGCCGTCAGTGTGGCTCGGGATCTCAATGTCGGAGTACGCGGTGTCCTTCATGCTCAGGTCTGAGGTGAAGTCCCAGAATCCACCATAGTGTGTGTGTCTAATAGGAAGGAACTTGTTGCACATCTCCTCAGTGGCCTCTGCCGTCACTGGAACTCCGTGGATGAAGGAGAATCCATAGCTGTGGATGTTGTCCAGGAGCTGCTTGTGGTCCCCGCTGATCACGGCCTCATAAGGAACCGTTGGCTTGTTGTTGGCGATGGTCGCTCTGGTCCAGAGCACACGCTCCGGGTACAGCTCCTCCTTCTTAGGCGATGGCGCAGTGTACTCCTTCGTGTGAAGCTGTAGCCACTCACTGGAGAAGGTGGAAACGTGACCATCGTTCCACACGATCTTCAACGAGTTGGCCGTCGTGGCCACCTGATCTGGGTGTACGTCCTCGGCGATCTTGTAAGTGTCAACGAGACGTTGGTAGGTGGCCTCGCTGAAGCAGCGTGGACACGTACAGTTGTCTCTGAGCCAGAAGTTCAAGCTGTTCACGATGTTAGCACAGGGCTCTGTAGCCCGACAAGGCTCCTCATAGAATGTCAGGAGACACCCAGGAGACACCCAGGAGACACTTCGGAGTTGAAATCAATACTCACTACTCGTGCGTCTTACCATCACCCGTGGTGATGGTCACAACATCAGAGCCCTTAGCAGCAGACGAGATAGTCAATGTGGACATAGTTCAAAGCCAAAATAACCCGAATCACGATGCTCCACAACGTATGCCTTCAAGTCTCACAGTCCAGCAGGGAAAACAACAAGTTCAACAGGGTGAAACTCGAGAATCGCACGATCCCTCCCTCCCCCATCGCAAGCGATGTGTCCCTCCACCTTTCATCCCCAAAGCTTCGGAGTAATGCCGTCATCCACCGGCTGACGAGTGCGGCCGACGCGAGCCTGCCGGAAACAGCAGGTCAAAACCCGGGAGGGGGGGGGAACATCCCCCGGCGTCGTGCTCCTTCACCTTCCTCATCGGGAAAACCGAGGACACGACGCCCCGGAGCTCATCGTACCTCGGCTGAACCGACCAAGGCACACCATCCAGACACCACATGGCCATCCAGACACTAAAAAAATGGCAGAGTCAGCCATCACCAGCTTTCGCTAAAGAGAAAAAATTATCCGCCTTCCGCGCAGTGGGGGGGGGGGGGAGAGAGGCAGAGACAAAGAGCAAGCGATCGTCTTGTTCTCTCCCTTAATTCCATCTTTTGTGCGTTAACGGCAAGGAACATCGGCACATTTCACAGGGGTTTACAGTGCTTACATCAACGAGAGGATATTTTATTCCTGTTTATCGACAATGGTTATCAAGAGTCCATCACCACGTTCTACGGAGCTGGATGCCGCAGGTTATGGTCGCTGTGGAGGGTTCCTAGGGGTTAACAGTGATGATAACGGCGATGCCGAGCATCCACCTCGTGCTTGCAGCACACCACAACCAGCACCGCTGGCACACAGACAGACGTCCAACTACATATCGGCACTGCGTAAGCACTCGTCGAAGGACCTGAGCGAGATCATCAGCAGGGTGAAGCGCCACTGGGAGACGGGGGGCTCTGCGGAGGCCAGTAGCGCGGTGGCCGATGCTAGTGCTAGCTCCACCAAGGACAGCGCTGGCGATGCAGATACCCGTCAGAATACCCGTCCAGACATGGCGGTTGCATCGAACAACGGTGTTGATCCACTGGATAAGACCGCCCATGGTGTGGCGGCGACACAGGAGACGTCGGAGACGTCGTACCAGCGGTCATCACCATCTTTTGTACAGGCAACTGTGCAGCCACATTACAGCCCAGAGGACACCAAGAGACTAATGCAGCGGAAGAGCATTGACCTGGATGCTGCTGCTTCAGAGGAACAGTTTGGCATCAAGTATGGCGGGCTGAGACGCTCATCGCTGGATGATGACGAGGATGACGAGGGATTGCAAAAGTTCAAGGCGTACCATGATGCGGCGATTGAAGAGTTGAGGAGACGGACCGTACAGGAGGAGGACGATAACAAGTCATGCTTCCATTCGAATCAGCTGAATGAAAAGATCCAGGATGCAGAATCAGCGGGATACTTCCCTCAGTCATTTGAATACAACGATTTTAAGAGAAGAATGAGCTACCACAACAGAAACGATTGAGACGTGGGAAAAAAGGTGACAGAAACGCTGTTTCAGCTACGTATGAAGGAGGGAGTATCTGGCTAATTCTGGATTCTCGACAAGTCTATGTAGAGATGACACAAGCCATGCCTTAGGATGATCGAAAAGATAATGATATGAAAAGAAGAAAAAACAGATGCAGTTCATCATAATTTCTCAGATGCGTAGTAACAACCGTGATAGTTTGCTATTGTAACAATAGAGAACAGGCTATGAGTGAACATCTTGGTGTGCCTTGAGGATGTGAAGAAAATAGTTGAAGTAGAGTCCCTGTGATTTCGAATATTGTAATTGTCCATCGGGCAATTGGCCCAATTGAATCCATTGGGAACAATGTGGACATTCGACGGATCTATTGATCCATTGCTTTTGAGATATTTCAAACACTGATCCAGGTAGGGGTAGGAGACTTGGTGATAAACCAGGAGGTTGAAGTACACCATGGGAAAGCAGCAAGTGAGTTTCGAAATCCGCCTTGAGGACCCAATTTTGACCTCGACATAAGCGACACATCCTCTCAACTCTTCCAGTGAGACAGTGCCTTCTTTCATACCTCCAACAGGTGAGATTCGAGATGAATGAAGCACTTGTCCGCTCTTTGAATCCACAACATCTTGTTTCACAACCATTGGAGGACTTGGGACATCTCCTGTTATATTTGTACTCAACTTGCGAGGACCCTTTCAATATTGGAGACCGTTTGATTCTATGACCTTGGAAATACCTTGGTAACCAAGTCTTATCGTCTATATCTTCAATGTTCTCGATGAACTTGACATTATCATTGGTTTTGTATAGCACATTTACAGGAAGGCAATGTGTGGATTCTTGCTCTGGTATCTTGGGGTTCCGCTCTTTATAAGGTGGTTCCTCGTCTAGAATCAAATCATCATCATCCTCATCATCAAGTGAGCCGTCATCAGAAGATTCATCTTCCTCATCATTATTCAAAGCACAGTGGTTTGACAAGAACTGCAATGGAAATACCCTTGATTTACCACTTAACACACCAATAGAGGTACTGTTCTCCTTACCATCGTCGTCTTCATCCTCGCTAGGAATCTCAGAGTCGTACTCAAACCCCATTGCACTAAACGTTTCCACGAGCGACTGTTGCAAGGTCGGATCCACAACGGGCTTCATATACACAGTCTCCACGTTATGTCCACTTCTCGAACTTCTAACCACGTGGCTGTCACTGTAGCACTCGCCAGGTGAAGAAACAGTGGAACTGGACTCACTATGGACAGCACTGCTCAAGAGTGAAGAGACAACACCCAGAGTGACGTCGTTGTCGTTATCGTTATCAGAACCAACGGCCCAGGCAACATTACCAATTTCACTCAACAGCCCTTCTCTCAGGGGCTGATCTGACACTCTGGAAGCACCAGGGCCCGGAGACCACTGCTGTGAGCCACGCTGAGTGCCCACCACCGGCGAGCTGTACTGCTGATCCATCTCTGTTGGCAACATACGCAGCTTGCTATATAGAGCTGTTTATACACGCTGAAGCAATAGCCAAAACTAAGCCTAGTACTAGATAGTTGAAATATATAAGCGTCCTTCGTACGTTAGGTAATAGAGAGCTCACGTTTCAAAAGCCGTAGATAGTTACACTCAGAGGAGCTCACGTACACTGTGGTATAGATTGTATGCTAATGGATCCAATTAGCCAATTGCGTATAACGCACTGTTTGTGTCAACGCGCAGTACGCATTTTACACGTTTTTGTGTCTCTTTAGTCATCCCGCGTTCTGGGCGCTTACCGGAAATGGGCGATAACCGGAAATGGACGATTTTCAGAACAGGCTGGAGAACGGCATATATGAGAAAACAGATCCAGCGCCTGTGGCCTAATGGGGAAGGTGCAACCCACGAAATAGCTACACAGCATTTTGGTGATGGGAACGATGCTAGTACATTCTCTCGGTGGTGTAATGCCCATGTGTATTATACACCTATCAAATTAGCTGAAGTATAAAAGAGCGTGCATTGATTTCACCGGTTATTATCCTTGGCCCGACTCCATATTGGATCATCAGCGCCCAATTCAGGCCCAACTGGAGTATTATGTCTCATGTGCGTGTTATGTAAGGGAGTAGTTATCTGGTCGTGATCATGGTACCTGGCGACATTCAGAGCTTGATGTCACAGTTGCAAGAGTCCACGGTGCATTTGCAGTTCTCTGGAAGACACTTACATGTGGCACTTCCGCACACATCACAGCCCTTAGAGGCAGCGGTCTTCACAACGGAGATCTGAGCTGGGGCAGCTGGCTTGGTTTCTTGAGCTTGTTTCTTTGAGCAACAGGACATGATTGTGTGAATTGAATATGGTAGTTTGTGCGATCTGGACAGTACCTAAGTGGTAGAACACTGGATGGTTATTATGGATGTAGCAAGAGTAATACACTGACTGGAGAGAAGAGATAAAACGTCCCAAGGGACCTTTTTATATACAAGTGAAAAAAAAAACGACAAAACGACAAAAACCGAAAAAGCGTTTACCCGATAAGCGGTGATTGGCAGGAAAGCGCTATCGTGATTAGGATTTCCTAATTAGGAAAGTCCTTCCACTCGAAAAAAGCGATGAGAGATGGCAACGGTCAGAATCCCGAGGGTCTAATGTGAAGAGCATGGGGATTGTGTAGCACAAGTGTGAAGCTGTAGCGGAGGACTGCTCGGAGTCTGCTTTCGTGGTGGAAGCCCTCGAGCGTGTGACGTAGTTGATGGGCGTGGGCCGCGTTCTAGGGTTCTATTCCAGTGTTCTATTCCAGTGTTCTATGCCAGTGTTCTGTACGTGTGATCGATACGCAGCGACGATGGTCCAGTGCTACGGAATGGCGTTGTATCCGTACGCCACTGTTGGCGAGAATGCCCGTGTTGGCGTGTAGCTAAGCACATACATCAGCTCACTAGTCTGGTTCGTTGTGCGTTGGGCTATTCCCCCACACAGAGAACGAATGGCGACATGCTTCAGCGTGTGGTGCATCGATGCGATGCACTAGCCAATATGATTCTCTCAGCAACAATGGCTATACTATATAGGCAGGAATATATACCTAGAGCACCCGGAGCACGCACACCACTGCCTGGATCTTCGAACACGTCTGCTTCTCCACCACGGTACCGTGTACTCAGTCGAACCCCCCCCCCCCAACAACGGCTCGTCCTGTGTTACCACCGCTGCCATCGCCGTTACCTTGGGCGCGACCACTCCCTGCCCATGCCCCATCGCACCGCACAAAAGACATCGCCCACATAGCCAGCAGGTGCTCCCCACTGCTCTTCTCTCCATAACCACCACACTGTCACCCTGCGATCTGATCACACTGCCATCTGATCACCCTGCTATCTGATCACATTGCCATCTGATCACATGGCCATCTCATCACACCGTCACCATCGCCATGGCACCAGAGCCCTTCCGCACACAGCCCAAAGCGGCAATTTTCCGCACACACTCAAAACCTCTTTCCCGCCAATGAGATTTCAAGGGGCTCCCATGACAAAGAGCAGGGGGGAAAAAGCTTTCACAGACTCAAAGGAGAAAACCACAAATTATCAACAAACCACAAACATCAACAAACATCAACAAACAACAAAGCAAGCAAGGATGTCCAGTTTGACTCGCATGTCAGCATTCCGCCTGTCCAAGCGCACGCTTGCCACAGTGGCGGAGGCCAACCCGAACCGCCGCCTGGGAAAGCTGAGCGACCAGGATCGTATCTTCCAGAACTTGTACTCGTACTACGGCAAGGACTTGAAGTCAGCGCAGGCGCGTGGAGACTGGCACAAGACCAAGGAGATTGTGCTGAAAGGAGACGCGTGGATCATCGACCAGATGAAGAAGTCCGGGCTGAGAGGCCGTGGAGGTGCCGGTTTCCCCTCTGGGCTGAAGTGGTCTTTCATGAACCCGCCAGGCTGGGAGAAGAACGAGGGCCCAAGATACCTCGTTGTCAACGCGGACGAGGGAGAGCCTGGTACCTGTAAAGATCGTGAGATTATGCGTAAGGAGCCCCATAAGTTGGTGGAGGGTTGTTTACTCGCTGGTAGAGCCATGAACGCCACAGCTGCTTACATCTACATCAGAGGTGAGTTCCTTGAAGAGGCTATTGCAATGCAACAGGCCATCGACGAGGCATACGCAGCAGGATTGATTGGAAAGGATTCGTGTGGCTCAGGTTATGCCTTTGACGTTTTCATCCACCGTGGTATGGGTGCGTACATCTGTGGTGAGGAGACTGCGCTGATTGAATCCATCGAGGGTAAGCAAGGTAAGCCACGTCTCAAACCTCCTTTCCCAGCTGCTGTTGGTCTCTTTGGTAGACCTTCCACCGTGACCAACGTTGAAACCGTTGCTGTTGCTCCAACTATCTTGAGAAGAGGCCCAGAATGGTTTGCAGGCTTGGGTAGACCAGGTAACGCTGGTGTCAAGTTGTACGGTATTTCCGGCCACGTCAACAAACCGTGTGTTGTTGAGGAGGAGATGGGTATCCCATTAAGAGACTTGATTGAGATTCACTGTGGTGGTGTCCGTGGTGGCTGGGATAACTTGCTCTCCATCATCCCAGGTGGTTGTTCTGTGCCAAACTTGACCAAGGAGGCTTCTGAAAAGGCATTGATGGACTATGATGGTCTAAGAGAGGTTGGTTCCTCGTTAGGTACTGGTGCAGTCATTGTCATGGATAAGTCCACTGATATCATCAAGGCCATTGCCCGTTTGTCCAGTTTCTACCGTCACGAGTCCTGTGGTCAATGTACTCCATGTCGTGAAGGTACCACATGGCTATCAAAGGCCATGGATAGATTTGTCGTTGGTGATGCTAAGCCAGAGGAGATCGACATGATCATCGAGGTGACGAAACGTCTTGAGGGCCACTCCATCTGTGGTTTAGGTGATGCTGCTGCTTGGCCAGTTCAAGCTCTCGTCAAGAACTTTAGACCAATTATCGAGGAGAGAATCGCACAGTTCAACTCAAAGCATCCTAACATCGAATACGGTGGATGGGTCCCAAATGCAACCATCTATGACGGTAAGGTTAACGGACTACCAAAGAACTTCCATCATTGATGATATTTATATCTTCCATATTTATTATTTATTCCGAATCACCCAACCCCCTGCCATTATTTATTTATTTCACATGATATATACAGTCTATTTCAACGTATTTAAAGATCTCATCTCATGTACCGTTTGGTTTCCATCACTACCGGCACTTTGGCCGTGGTTGTTTCACTCTTGTTTCTCTTGTCTAAGTGTTTGAATACGATGTCTCACAACCTCGTGAATAACATCATCAGTCCTCTCATCCAGAAGCTTCAAATCGTCAGAGATATCCCTTTCGAGGTCCCACGTGATCTTCTTCTGTTTGAACACAGCCTTGACATCGCCAACGTTGGCCATATCTCTAAACTTGGAGAGCACCTCATCTTGAATCGCCTGCGACACCGCTTCAACAGTCTCAGAGTTCTCATCGAGCGTTGTAGGCGGACGAGAGAACCCCTTCACGGTGGTGCGAGTCTCTGGATCGTAATTTCGACTCTTTATAACCGGATCTTGAGCTTGTGTAGCTGTTTCTGTAGTATGCTGGCTTGTTTGGCTTGTTTGCTCTGATGTTTTACCTTTGTTCCGCAGTGCTAAAAGACGAGCTTTGCGAGCCGCTGATTGCTCTTCTAATGACATGACGAATAGCTGATGTGTCTATGTGCAAAGCTCTCGAGCACTGTGCGTGTGAATGATACCGAGTGGAGTCACCGTCAACATTGCTCACAAGGTGTTTTGGGAGCTCTTTCAACATCAACACATTTTTTTTTTCACCAAAACACGCACTTCTAGCTACATAACAAAAAACACATACATAGCAAGCGATGACGATCTCTACAGCAAAAAAGCACTCAATTATTATTTCGTAACCCATTAATGATTTGAAAAAATGAACCCGGATGTTCCATTTCTATGCAGTTGTGACAATAATGCTAAATTGATACTGAGATCTTGTGTTTCTCATCTCACTTCAAACTCTTGATGAAGGTATCCAGGTTGTACTCTTCATCGTATTGAGATTGGTCCCACAACTCTCCTAGTTCGTTGACAATGGCACCGGCCTTTCCGGAGAGACCAGATTCATGAATGGCATCGTCAGACGTGGCTTTACTACCAGTTCCATTCGTCTTGGTGGACCTTTCAACATCTTCATTCTGTTCTTGTTGTCCAGACTGGTCAACATCAAACAAGTCCAAAAGCTGGCCTGTGTCCATCGATGCCAATCCAGCATTCTGTTGGCTGACAACAGTGGAAGCGATGTTCATCTTGAACTTCTGCAGTCCCATAATCTTTTCCTCCAAGGTGTCCTTGGTGATTAATCTGTACACGTTAACAACCTTCTTTTGGCCTAACCTGTGGGCTCTATCCATCGCCTGTAAGTCGTTCATTGGATTCCAATCATGTTCCACAAATATCACCGTATCAGCACCTGTTAAATTCAGCCCGAGACCACCAACTTTTGTCGTCAATAACAACACGTCAATAGATGGGTCTTGGTTGAACTTCTGAACAATTTTCTGACGGTCCCTAGGATCCGTAGAACCATCTAGTCTCATAAAGGTAACAGAAGGCAAGTGCTTACGTAGCAAATCTTCTTCAACCATATCCAACATGTCCTTCAATTGACAGAAAATCAAGACACGGTGTTGACTGATGATGTTGTCCGTGTCAAAGTTCTGCTTGTCAACGTCTTGTACACCAATGCCACATTCCAGCAGCAACGTCTTCAATGCCATCAGTTTTGGTGCGTGCTTGATATCGTGAAGACCGAGACCAGTCTGCTTAAGGTACTTGCGAACATCGTTGTACTGAGGATGAGACTCGTTCAACACCAACGCCGGATGGTTACACAACTTTCTCATGTACTGCAATGCTTGGAAAATGTGAGTCTTGTTCTCTGCAACATCTGCGGTTTTGATGTCCTCTTGAACAACGTTCTTTTGCTTCTTAGCAAAGTCGTTGTACAGCTGCTTTTGCAAGTCACCAAGTTGACAGTAATAATCCTGGATGATCTTTGGTGGTAAATCAGACAACACCTCCTCCTTCAAACGACGCAACATGAAAGGTAACACCTGTTTATGAAGTGCTTCCAAAGCCAATGCACCAGCTTCTTGTTCCTTCGAAGAGGTCTTGGAGTTTCTTGATGCTGCAATTGGTTTAGCAAACCTCTCTTGAAACATTTTCTCAGTACCCAAGAACCCTGGCATCAAGAAATCAAACAAAGACCACAGTTCAAGAACATTGTTCTGAATAGGAGTACCAGACAAGATTAATCTGTGATTGGCTCTGATATTCTTCACGGCCTTAGTTAGCTTTGAATTGGAGTTCTTGATGATATGTCCTTCATCCAAAACACAATAGTTATAGTCCTTAGACCCTAGGAACTCGACATCATTACGAACAACGTCGTAGGAAGTAACGATGATATCGGCATCACCAAACTGATGGCGTAGACCTTGTCTCACAGATGGACCACCAGCATAAACAAGAACGTTCAAAAATGGGGCGTACTGGTTGAACTCTTGTTCCCAATGACCCGTCAAACTAGGCGGACAAACAATCAGCGTCGGTAAAGGTCTAGTCTCAATTGATTTCGTAGCCTTATAATCCTCAGCTCTCAAATGATGATCACTTGCAACAATGCAAATAGTTTGAAGGGTCTTACCTAGCCCCATATCGTCGCAAAGAATACCGTGTAAATGGTACTTGTTCAAGAACGCTAACCAATTGACACCTTCCTGCTGATACTTTCTAAGGGTGGCTTCAATAGACACGGGAAGATCGAATGGTTTTGAGCTCGATGGATCCATCATTTGACGAATGAATTCCCTCTCCTTCTCTCTTCCTTCAAGAAGTTCCTTTGGAACGTCCTCCGGATCCGGAATACCAGCTTCTAACGGAACCAGCTTGATGATAGATGCAAAAGTGCTAGTAGCGAGCACACGTACGTCCTTGTCAGAATCACTCATACGGCCCAACACAGGGACAATGAAGAAAATCACATATGGCAGAATATCAGCCTCCATGGCCTTGGAAAGATGGTACACAACCTCAGTTCCACCTTGACGTTCCGAGACATCACCTGCGTTGTTCAACAGAGGGAGCACTTCTTTCACCATGAAGGGCACAACCTTGGAAGGAGCAAGCTTTGCAAGTGCAGCCATGGTCTTCGCAGCAGAGTACCTGAAGACTGACAGTGATGATCTCAAGCCGTTCAGTAACAATGGCAGAAGCTCAATAAGCCTTGGAAGAAGGTCTCTGGCAAAGGAAGCGGACAGAGCCTTCAAGATACCAAGACCGTCGATGATTGCTTGTCCAACAGTATCATCCACTTCTCCAAGTATTGGACTCTCAAGGTTTCTCAAGGCCTCAAAGATGGACTTCCCGAGTTGTGGAACTTTGTCAAACACCTCATCACCAAATGCAGTCAAGATATCATCCAATGCAAACTGTGCACCTCTTCTCTTGACCTTTGCCTCATGGATGACAGCGTTGTAAGCCTCCGAATCAGCTGACGAAGTCTCTTCTTTCCGTATAGACAATATAGTGTCCTTGACGTCTCTGAGGGAGTTGAACTCAGGAACCTCAGTGGTATCAACACAGATGAATCCACAGAGGTTTTTAGCAATTTTGTCGGAAACGTTGACCTTTCCACAAGCCACCAGCTTGCCGATGAGATCTGCGATTGAAGAAGCACTGCGTTCTTGTAAGATCTCCAGCTCTTCAGCCTTGATACTGTCCATCAGCGAACGGATGAACGGATTCAACTTTTTAGGCAGATCCTTCAAAGATATCGCAGCAGAGGCGTAATTAGAAAGGATGTGGATGGCTCTCTGATTCTTCAGGGTACGTGCTTCTTCAATCGCATTAGCGAGTCTTGTTTTAGCATCCTCCAGTGCCTTCTGTGCGCTCATCTTGTACATGTTGCTCATATGACTTAGAAGTTTAGGATACGTCTCAGAAATGACAGTATCGGCCACTTCAAGGCTAAAGGCACCAGGACCGGCATCAGCTTCACCTTGGACAACGACTGGAAGGTCTTGCACCTTGTTATGGGAGATGTTGCCTTCCTCGATGAAGACTCTAAACAAAGCATGGCATTGAGTTCTCACGGCTTTCAATGTTGGCACCAATTCCTTATAGTAAGGGAGAGAAGAAGGATCATTCAAAACAGAAAAGAATGAATCATAGAAACTGGACACAACGATTTCAGAAGGAGCAAGTCCACGACCAGAGAGGGCACCACAGTACTCTTTGATAACAATTGAAAGGAAAAGCCTTGGACTGGAATGTGAACTGGACAGATAACCTGTCAAGAGAGGCACAGTTGATTCCAACGACTCAGGGTCCAGGTAGGACAGTATCTGGCCCAACGCAGTGGCACTAGCAATCCGTGTGCGGTAGAAAACTTCAACGCCCAACAGCGTGATATCTCCAATGATCATCGGACCATCAATGTTGACACGCTCATTATCATCTGGTGGTGGGATAACAGGGTCAGGTTTTGGAGGGGACTTCCTCTTGCGTCCACGACCGTGATGTTCTTCTGGAGGAGGAAGAGGCTCAAAAGGCGTACCGGAGGGGTTCAACAGATAGTGAGGTGGCATCGTGTAGTTGTAACGAGATACACCGATTGGAGTCATCAATAAGTTGGTGATTGGTTTGATATGAGGTAAAACCATTGAACTGAAGTGAGCTTCGTCCAGAGTGTTGGCTTCTTCAACAAGCTTGACAAAAACTTGTTGTGATAACACCAGCACTTCGGGGTTCTGCTCCAATAGTAGATTCTGAAAGACCAGCCTTATGGCATGGCCGTCAATCCAAGCCTTCGATGACTTATCTGAAATGGACAAGAATGAAAGCAAAGTCCTTAACACTGACATTCTAACGTTCGTGATGGAGTGTCTCAGAAATGGATATAGCTTTGGAATCAAGTTCTTGAAGGAGTACTCCTCGTTTTCAGAGGCCTCCTCTTTGATAATGTTTAGAACTTCAGGGTGGATACAAAGCTTTGATAGCAAATCCATAACCGCACCGATAGAGGCAGACAGATCGTCTTTGAGCATGGTCAAACAATTCCACAATGTGGTGATAACGTCCTTGATTGAGTCTCTCTTTATTCTAATGAATTCATCAGTGATTGGGGTCAGTGTAGCAGCAGCAACTGCCTGAACGTCATCAGAGTCGTTCAATCCGTGTAGCACCATTCTCAAAACATCATCTAGTAACTCTGGTTTCTCTGACAAAATGTCTGTTCGAACACTCACTAGGTACCTCAGACCAAGCATACCTCCATGGCTGGCTTCCCAACATGGCACTCTTTCACCAGCTGCAGTATTCTGAAGTACCAAATCACCTAAATGCTTGAAGATCTGCACAACGAGATCGTTATCAAGATGTACCAAAAGAGCAGCCAGTGTCTGAGCAGCAGACTCTCTCACTGGAGCAACTACGGTATCGTAGACAAAGTCACCAAATCGATCTGTAGCGAAAAGCGTCAGCAAACGACATGCGAGATCTTCTAACGTTTGTCTGTTCTTTTGGTTATTTTCCTGAAGGCTTCTTCCTTTGACTCTTCCGGCACCTTTGCCATGCTTCTTAACCAGTTCACGAAGACCAAGAACAGCACCGTGTCTCGTTTCCCATGTCTCAGAAAACATGTCTGCAACGAGCAACTCGTAGACGCCTTGGAAAGGCCATACAAGACCGGCAACTTTCGCATGTTCTGCTAAGATTGGTGGAATTTCAGGTGCCTTGGTCTCAACAACCAGTTTATTACCACCTGCTTGTGTTGTTATATCCATACCTGGTGACTGAACACTTCTTGCACTCTGCAAACCAGTACACGATGCATCACTATCAACCAATTTTCTCGAGACAGAACTCTGAGATAGATCCACTGGTTTGGATTTTGAAAGGCCACCTTTCGTTGCCATCTTAGCCTTCCGCTTTGCCATTGCCTTGAGCCTTGCACTTGAGATAGTTGGCGTAGCATTGGGTGCTGGCGACGCGGAAGATGAACGTGTATCAGAAGGAGGCATCGAAGGCTCCAGCGAGGACTCTTCCCTCTTGACTTCGACTTTAACCGCACTCCGTACACCACCTATGTTCTCCTTACCATTCTTCGTGTCGTCGTAGTCAACCATGAGCTCATCCTCCTCCGCGTGCTCTGGTTTGATGCCCAGCGTCCTGTTGATAGACATCTTCTGCTTCTTTATGCTCGCCAGTGTGCGTGCTGGTGCCACGGAATCGCTGTCCGAGCAGGACAGCAGCTTCTTCCCAGACTTCAGGATCTCGTGGAAGTTCCACTGGTCTAGCGAGATGAAGTTGTTGTAGTCGTTCAGGTACTTCATCTCTTGTTCTTCGAGCTTGATCTGCGAATCGTCAAGCTCCTCGAGCTTCACAGGCGTCTCATCGCCAGCGTTTGGGTCCCAGGTCTCAGCCTGTGACGCGATACCACCAAACGCCCTTGCAGCGGTGGTTCTCGTCTCCCATTTCTTCGAGTTGAGGTACGGGTAAACACGACTGAGCAGGTTGAGCACCTCCTCTGGGTGCGCCTTTGCGAGGTCAACCAGTTGATCTGCAGCTGTGTTCCTTATAAAGGGCGTAGACCCCGTGTCCAACAGCACAACCAAACGTTCAAGCCTTGACATCTGGGGACTGTAGCTCAGTGTGTGGGGGGAGGCCTCGATCTAATGACTTAACCAATATTGATAAACACCGCGATTAACCGTCAACTCCACAGCGGCTATCACTTCAGTGTATGTTTTGATGTAACTGAACAGAGAGCGATGGGTATAAAGTACGCGATGATGTGGTTGGCGCAACACAGATATAACGACGACAAATTTGGGTTGTGTGCTTTTGTGAAACGCGCGTTTTCTCCCGGGCTGCTGCTCTGTCGTTTTGCGTTTTGCGTTTTTCGTTTTTTTTTGGTTTTAGGCTTTTGTCCTGTTGCCCCTTTCCCCTTTTTGAAGCGGCCCCATTTCGAGGAATTTCATCCTTGTTTTATACATGCGGTGGGAGGACAAGTGGCAAGGGGCGCAAAGCTGCGAAAATGGACAAAAATTTTCGACTTTTTTTTTTGGGTACCGTTGCGCGTTGGCAAATTTGCGAAAATTTCGCACGGATTCATGAGCGTGTGGTGCGCTCAGGAGCGCCCAAGGGGGGAATCAGGCTGCGGAGAAAGTGCTGCTGTTGTTTCTGCGTACGCTGCTGCCGCCAACACACCGCTGCTGCCAACACACCGCGCTCTGCTCAAGCGCAAAAGGGAGGTGTCGTGGTAGTGCCGGGGGTCTACGGAGGTGAGACGTGGAAATCAGTGAGGCAGAGTCAGATGGCGAATCGTGATCTGATCACGGGTACGGGGGTTTTAACCAGATGGCCGTGTTGCTGCAAAGGAGCATTTGTATTTTGAAGTTAACGCTGTTAATCCAGCCATGCCACTTCGAAGATCACACTGGTATGAACAGCCAATGGACAGATCAAGATTGTGATTACAATGTTACAGTCAGCCTAGCCCTCAGACAGAGTACGACGGTTTTACAGCGGCCTTCTGCTTGGAGCGGGACGGACACCCTCAACTGGCGTTGGCGTAAGCAGGCAGGGGGAAACAGGAAGGCCAAAAGCGAAAAAGAAAGCAGACAAGCAGACAAACACAGGCACTAAAAAGCCGTTCTCCCATTGGCCAAAGCAATGGCCGTGTGGAAGCTTTGAATGTGTCTCCTGGTTTGTGTATTCAACGAACAAGCAGTTTGGGCGATGGGGAGTGATGGTGGTGAAACTGGCGTTTGGAGGAGCCTGGGCCTTCCAATCTCTTTGTAAAGGCTCGTCCATCGATTTCTAAATGGATCTGGATGGCCTGCATCTTGATTCATACCTTAGATCCACCATGAGGGGTTCGAATGTGGCCAAAGGTGTAAAGCTGTTCATCACTTGGTTGGTGGCATCTCGGGTTGAAACGAACTGGGAACTTTACACCGGAGAACGTATCTCAAAAATGCGATAGTCAAAAGCTTTTGTTGACACACCTTCACGACTCAATTGGCTACTCACCGGTTACCACTAGAGAGCCTCCTCTAGCAGCAGTAAGCAAGAGAGACAGAGCATTTCCTCTATAGGGGTTCAAGCCTTCAAAAGAGCTCGCACAAACTGATTCCCACCCATCACTGGTGTGTGTTGTGTTGCATACCCTCACGAAATCTGACGCAAAATTTGCGCAAAAGTCAACTCGGCAATTATAACTTTGCCGCAAGTTTTATGCCAAACGAGCGAAAAAAGGCACAAACCATGCATAGCTGGGTGACTGCTCTTGCGTGCCCACAGTTTCGCTGCCAAAGCGTAATTTCTGGAACGATGGAATTGTCACCTGGACACCCCCTTCTAATTGTGCGGTTAGGGCAGCATTATTCTCCAAAGGACTCTGTTGGATATGCTATTTTTTTTTCACCAAAGTTTCAACTAACTCTCCATCTCTTTCACTTTTGTTTTAGAGATTATCAACAAGAAAGTCCAGTCGCAATGCCACGTAAGTAACTTGGTTGTACTACTTTCAGCAATGTCATGTGCTTTAATGTTTCTTGTTGCAAATGCCCATGTCTACGGACCACTGGGTATCAATTTGAAACTGTCATGAACAGAGGTTCGGGTCCTCGTTTGATTTCACCACAAGATTGACTCCGATCATCTTGTGGCTTATTACTTTGTTTCCAATGTTGTGCATTCTCTTAACTGAGATGAAGCTAGTCTTTCATTGACAGGTTAGTGCCCTGAACTCCCGACACTTCAGTGGCACGACCTGGGTCACTAACGAACAAAAGGTTTTAGGGTTACGAGTATGAGTCTTTATCCTCAATATGAGTCGATGAGAAGAAACCGTTGCTTGTTTTCCCTCACGACTCATGTTATATGGCAGACCGAACTCTACTAACCCAGCCCTTGTTTGTATGACCTTTAGCTTTCGAACACTGGAAAAAAGCAGGGTAATGTAGGAAATCAAATAAAACGACCTGATCAATCTTTCATGTAGACATGTACTGCTGCAGTCTCGCTCCATACACGTATCCTAACACTCTCCAATACAGGTGCTCCAAGAACTTACTCCAAGACCTACACTGTCCCAAAGAGACCATACGAGTCTGCTCGTTTGGACGCTGAGTTGAAGCTTGCCGGTGAGTACGGTTTGAAGAACAAGCGTGAAATCTACAGAATCAACTTCCAATTGTCCAAGATTAGACGTGCTGCTCGTGACTTGTTGACCCGTGACGAGAAGGACCCAAAGAGATTGTTCGAAGGTAACGCTTTGATCAGAAGATTGGTCCGTGCCGGTATCTTGTCCGAGGACAAGAAGAAGTTGGATTACGTCTTGGCCTTGAAGCCAGAAGATTTCTTGGAGAGACGTTTGCAAACCCAAGTCTACAAGTTGGGTTTGGCCAGATCCATCCACCACGCTCGTGTCTTGATCTCTCAAAGACACATTGCTGTTGGTAAGCAAGTTGTCAACATCCCATCCTTCGTTGTCAGATTGGACTCCCAAAAGCACATTGACTTCGCTAAGACCTCTCCATACGGTGGTGGTCGTGCCGGTCGTGTTGCCAGAAAGAACTCTGGTAAGGAGGAAGGTGCTGAGGAAGACGAGGAGTAAATCAACTCTCACGTTTGCCAATTCTCAGCTTCATAATGACTGCTTCACTCTTTGAGGGGGTTATGTTTTTTGTGTTATAAACAAGCATCTTTTTTATCACCAATCAATCTGACCCTTTCTCTGTAGCTTAATGAAATATCAATTGTATATTAAAGGTTTTATGTTTAGATCTGCCCGTTGTAGTGCCATCACACAGCTTCGGCGATGAGGGCTACAGCCCTGCCAAGTCACGTGATGTCATCTGTCAAGCTCATCGGTTCGGGACACAGTAGGCACCCCGCGATATTTTCGTAGCCTGGTTGTAGCACACAATCTTCACCAGCCCAGTGACGCAATCGCTGTGCACAGTTGACTAAGTTGGAGGGGGAGGAGAGCAAGTGCTGTGTGTGTGTGGACGGGCGTGTACAGCTCAATGATCTGAGGTATATAAAGAGCACAGAAAATTCCTCACCTGGGCTCAATGTGATTGTGAAGCTCACCTCCTGGTGTTTGACTGTTTGATCTATAGAAGCAAGATATGGCTCATACGTGGGTATACTGTGGTGCAACTGGAGGTGATGGTGGATACTAACAAGCTGATGAGCAAACAGACACGGTTATAGACGTCGTACTCGCTACAAATTCGCCCGTGGCTTCAGGAAGCACGGTGCTCCTGGGCTGAAGACGTACCTCCACACGTACAAGAAAGGTGACATTGTGGACATCAAGGTGAATGGAGCGATCCAGAAGGGACTTCCACACTACTTCTACCACGGCAGAACGGGCGTGGTGTTTGACGTGACCAGGTCCAGCGTTGGTGTGCTGCTCTACAAGATCATTGGCAACAGATATGTTGAGAAGCGGATCCATGTTGGTGTGGAGCATGTCAAGCACTCCGATTCCCGGCTGGAGTTCTTGCAGAGGGTCAAGGCCAATGCTGAGAAGCGTAAGGAGGCCAAGGAGAAGGGCGAAGGCGTGTTGTTGAAACGTCAGCCAGCAGCTCCCAGGGAGGCCCACGTCGTCTCCACTGCCAACACCACCGTTGTCACGCTGAGACCACAGGCTTACGAGACGTTTATCTGAGGCGCATAGGACTCTGCTGGACAGTGCTGTGCACTGTCCTAGTGGTAATTGAGGTCTGAGATCCTTCTCTTTCCACCGTTTTTATCTATTTTGTCTATTCATTTTGTCCATCCATTTTGTCCATCCATTTTGTCTGTAGTGTCCTCAACCTTCTCGCACTCATTCGCCTGTAGTTGTTCCAATTCACATCACCCACATCACTCACCCACTCCGTTGTAAACAGCGCCAGCACCAACACCGGCCACAACCTCCCATTGGCTCCAAACCACCGTATCCAAACCACCGTATCCAATCCGTGCTACTCCACCGTGTGATGGTTGCTCTAACCACATCGCACACGCCCGGCCAAAAGTGAAAAATTGCCTTGAAAAATTGTTTGATAGTGAGACAGTGCCAGAGCAAACAGAGAGAACACGGGCTGTGTGTATTTCTGTGCTTACTGAGTGCCATAGAACAAGAACCAGGTTGTGGTACATCACTGCTGAAAAGGCCAACACGGTATACAGACACGATGTCGAAGGATTTGAAGAGCTTGGAGCAGGAGGCTGTGGAGTCGTCTACGTATCTGGCGAGCGATGAGAAGTCATCGACTCAGAAGCTGTCACGGAAGCCCAGGGAGACCCACGGAGACGGCGTGAAGCCGTGGGTACACTTCGTTGCTGGAGGCGTTGGTGGGATGGCCGGGGCCGTGTGTACGTCCCCGTTTGACGTTGTGAAGACCAGGCTACAGAGCGATGTCTATGCGTCGACTTACAAGAGCACAGTGAAGAGCCATAACGTTGTGATACAGGCAGCACAGCACTTCAAGGAGACGTTTGGCATCATCGGCAACGTCTATCGCACAGAGGGGTTTAGCGCGCTGTTCAAAGGCCTGGGCCCGAACTTGGTCGGGGTGATCCCGGCAAGGTCGATCAACTTCTTCACGTACGGTGTGAGCAAAGAGGTGATCTCGAACAACTTCAACCACGGCCAGGAGGACCCCTGGGTCCACCTGAGCGCGGGTGTGCTGGCCGGCGTGGCCACGTCCACCGCGACCAATCCAATCTGGCTGGTCAAGACCAGGCTCCAGCTGGACAAGGCTGGCCACAAGCTGTACAAGAACTCGTGGGACTGTATCAAGCAGGTGCTCAAGCAGGAGGGAATCTACGGGCTCTACAAGGGGCTCACGGCGTCGTACCTGGGCTCAGTGGAGAGCACACTTCAGTGGGTGCTGTACGAGCAGATGAAGAAGGTGATCAGCGACAATGCTAGGAGAAGAGAGCTGAGTGGCCGTGAGCGTACGCAGTGGGACTCTGTTCTTGAATGGGGAGCACGGTCCGGGTCTGCTGGGCTGGCCAAGTTCATTGCATCGATGATCACCTACCCTCACGAGGTGATCAGAACAAGGCTCAGACAGGCACCGTTGAAGGATGGCAAGCCCAAGTACACCGGCTTGGTGCAGTGTTTCAAGCTGGTGGTGAAGGAAGAAGGCCTGGCGTCGATGTACGGAGGACTGACACCACACCTTCTGAGAACGGTGCCTAATAGCATCATCATGTTCGGTACATGGGAGCTGGTGATCAAGCTGTTATCGAATTGATGGGGCTAATTGGCCCACCACGTATATATATCTATAGACCGAGAGAAGAGGAGGTGGAATCTCATAACGAACTTGTACATACCATCTGTGCTCAACGTGTAGCGTGTGCTGTTCATTTGGTGATATCGCCTTGATACATAAACTTGAGAATCTGGTCAACAGAGTACTTGGACGAGGCGGCCGGCTCGTCCGCTATGTCAACGTCCTTCTCATCGTCACCATTGGCTTCACGCTCCTCCTGTTTCGTCTTGAAGCCTACAAAGTTGTACTTCTCCTTGGTGTCGACAGTGCACCTGGCAGCCCACTTGGTGATGTCCTCGTCGTCTTTCAACAGGAAGTCTGTGTTCTTGCTCTTGGACTCCTCGATCCATTCCACCACCTCTGGCGTGGCCTTCTTTCTCAGCAGAGTGGTCAGCAGGCCCTCCTGTTCAGTTGTTGGGAACGTAGGCAGAGGGTACGCCACCGTACGCTCGAGCACGTCGGAGTACGACGACAGTGTTGATGAGAGTGAGCCCAGCTGTGTGAGGATGATGCTCAGTTGAGCCTGTAGAGAGACGTAGTGTGTGAGCTGAGGGTTCTTGAACTCGGCCTGGAGCTTGTTCAGCGAGTGTGTGAGCTGCTGGCGTGTTAGTGGCGTGTCATCTTGACGCTGTTGTCAGGGAAGCTGGTCATGGAAGCTGGTCATAGAAGCTGGTCATAGCAGCTGATCATAGAAGCTGATCATAGAAGCTGGTCATGGAAACTCACCTGTGTCAATCGTAGCCTCAGGGCCTCCAGGGCCTCCACGGGCACGCCAGAATGGTCCACTGGCTGTTTCTGTTCCGCCTGCATCGCTGTGTCCTCACTGACGATGTTGTGTGGATAGGCTGGTTTTCCGTGATGTGTGTGAAATTTCACCTTACAACGCCATACAACGCCATACAACTTTAAGCAGCGAACAGTTGCGGCCCAATCAAGGGGACCAATCAAGGGGATAAACGAGGCGAAACAATGGCCAAAAGATCGCATATGAACCCAGCACAGGACGAGAGTGAGTAACACGATGGTTTCATAGGCAGACGGGTCGCTAACTATGTGTGGAAAGGACGTCGAATAAGGCAGAGGGAGATAAAGAAGGCCAAGGAGCATCGCCAGGAGCAGAAGCTCGAGAGGTTGAAGACCGTTGATCCTGGAAGACTGCAACGTCGGATCGACGAGCTGGAGGCCAAGAAGGAGAGGAACGGTGGTAAGTTATGGCACGAGGAGCGGACGCTAGAGTCAATGAAGAGGGACCTGGAGGCGGTGAAGAAGCTCCGCCTAGGCGGGGTGGAGGGCCAGGCAGGGGGCCAGGCAGAGAGGTCAGGGAGCCAGGCAGAGAGGCCAGGGAGCCAGACAGGGAGCCAGGCAGGCACTCCCAAGCCACAACCATTGGGCTCAAGGAGTATCTTCTACCATCCTCAGTGGAACGTGAAGGGAGAGCCACCGTTTGGCCTGCCAAACGTTGAGTTTGATGGCGTCTCAACCAACACCTCTGACAAACCGTTGGACATCCCCTTGCCCAAGGGCCCAAAGCCCAAGTTCTACAAGATTGAAGTACACAGCATTGAAAGGGAAGCGGACGTGAAGCCCGCCTCTGGCACGAGCTTCATTCCGTCCACGATACAGAGGAAGAGAAAGCTCAATCAGTGAGGTTTACAGGGAAGACAAGAGCCTCTAAAAGGACAATTCCTTGCTTGTTTCTCATGAAATTGTTGTGTAATCATAAACGTATCTTATTCATTTTTTTGGCTTGTGGTGTAGTTTTAGATGATGATTGTTCTCTCCCGGTGGAGCTTGCTCGAAGACCCTCGTCCACGTTCGTAATCTCGGCCGTCTAAGGGTAGAATATTGATATGAACCTCTCTTCTAGAGAATGGAAGCAACAGAGCACTCACTTGGCAGCAGCAAAGATCTTCTCAACCTCGGCAACGGCCTCGTCCAAGGCCTTCTTCTGGAAGGCTGGGGAGGCAATCTCCTTTTGCACCTTGGCAATGACGGTGGAGGACAATTGCTCCTGCTCCAATTGACGAACAGAGGCCTCGTATCTGACCCAGGAGTCCAAGACGGCCTTGGCCTCGTGCGCAAGCTCAACCTTCTGCTTCAACTCAAAGGCCTGGGCCTCGAGCTCCACGGTCTCCTTGGACACCTCAAAGAGAGCCTTTGTGGTGTCGACAACCTCCTTCAACTCAGAGACAGATTCGATTCTCTCCTTGACAGCCTCAACGTGCTTAGTTCTGGATGAGTTCAAGATGTCGGAGACAGACTTGATTCTCTCATCAGCCCAGTCCTTGTACAATGGAGCAACAACCTTGGCAACGATGGCGGAGAAGGCGATGAAGGTACCCAAGAGAATGGACTCCTCGTTCAACACGTACAACTCGTTGGAGATGGCGTAGACAGAGGCAGCGGTGGCGGTGGCCAGGATACCAGTCTTGGACAATGGCGAGTTACCTGGGAGGGCATCGATGATGGAGGTGGCCTTCTTCTGTTCTGGCGTTTGAGTGGACAAACAACGAACACCGATTCTGCACAACGCTGGCTGTTAGTACGACGATCCTGAGACGGTAGCAGGTGCCAGTGGGCTCTAACAAGCGGGAGAGACACCACAGCAGCATTACACTGATACATACGGAGCAACACGGTAAAGGGAAGCTGGACGAACAGCTGCGACAATGTTAGTAACCAGAACGCTTACAGGACAACAGTACAGGCACCAGCGACGCCAATTGATCACCACAGGGGCCCACAGTCGGCACAATGGCCAATACATCGCCAGCCGCCACAGCAGCTTCTCGAGAGCACAGCGAGGAGACAACACACACCGTCTCCAACAGTCAACAAGCTCCTCTCGCTCGCTCTCGACAACAGGACGACTCAACGACACAGCCACCAGTGATCAATTGGACAATCTCACCAGCCACAACGAACTCACCTCTCAAGGACAATTGGCGCAAACTCATCTCTGTGGTTCTCTTTGATCTCTGAGTGGTTTTCTTTCCGAGGAGGAGTGTTTTGTTGTTGATTTTAGGGGGATTTTGGGTGCTTTTTTTCGTTTTTCCCCCTTCGACTTTGTGTTTGCCGAAGAAGTTTTTCAGAGGGGCGGCAACGGCGCGATTTCGTTGGCCAGTTTGTTGTTGTCACGGAGCGCGGGATGGCAGACTGGGGTTGGGGGTGGTGTGCGGGTGAATGGGTGTGCGGGTGTGATGTGCGGGTGTTGTGATGTCCAGGTGTTTAGGTGTCCAGGTGTACATATAACCTCCTACTCTCCACACTACAGCTCAACTGCCAATATCATACATTACTCAGGCACCATTGCCCTTATAGAAGGCTGCCACAGGTGCAACGTGTTGTCGTTCGACACACTCGCAACCATCCACGGATCGTTGGCATTCCAGCCAACGTCGTTGATCCCCAACAGGTGGCCACAGTGCTTGAACATACACCGGCCATCGGACACATCCCACAACTTCACCACCGGGTCCTCTGAACCACTCGTCATGAGCACTTGACCGTGCACCGGGTTCCAATTGACACACGAGATGACTCCCTCGTGTGCTCGCAGCGTCGACATCGCCTCCGTGAGGTTCCGGACGTCCCAGATGTGAACGTTGCCATCACCGTCACCACTGGCAACACAGAACTTGTTCTGCCTGTTCCAGGACACAGCATTGACGCCATTAGCGTGTCCCTGGGACGTGTGTGAGCTACTGGAGCCCTGTCTGATGTCCCACAGCGTCAGGGCATTTGCCTCATCTCCCGTGATGAACATGGAATGATGCTGTGGACACCATTCCACGTCGTTGATGCCACCGGAACTTGTAAAGCAGTTCGTTGCGTCCAGGTTGGCAACCTTGGTGCTGAACTTTGTAATGTCCCACAGCTTCACTTTGCTATCCATGGCACCACTGAGTAGTAGTCCTTCAGCGTTGCAGTTCCAATCAAGGGCAAATCCTTCCTCTGCGTGTCCCTTCAGCGTAACATCGACCTTACACCCGTCAGATTCGTTGCTGGCGTGCTTGGTCTTGTCGAATATCGATACTGACCCATCTTCACAGATCGTGCCTATAAGATCCGGGTTCTGAGGCATGTAACGAGCCTTGTTAACGGTGCTGTTAACCAGTATTTGCTGTAGTAGACGGAATTTACCAGAGATTGGGTCAGACGTGGCGAACTCCTGTAGATCTGGGTCGTATTTGGAGAGGTTGGCCTCTTCAAATTCAGGCTTCTTCGTGATGGAACCGATCTGGAGATGCTGTGGTTGTAAGGACGAGGTGTAGGTGGAGGTCAGAAGACGGTACGTCGTTCTCCCTGGCTTGGCTCTATACAACGGTTAGTACTCTCTCCAGGGGAACATCGACTTGTTGTAGTTATAAGTATAGAAATCATGGTAACTTACGTATCCTTATCAGGGAAGAACTGTACAGTCAACGACGGCCAAACGTGGTTGTAAGTATTCAGGTAGTCGTAGAGAGCCACGGAGTTCGTCTTCCACGCCCTATAGTCTAAACACGATGGTTAATAAAGTGAATATGGCGTATAAAAGTCGTGTGTTCGATCTTACTCTCTTGAGCCTTGGTATCAATCATAGGCTGTGACTCCTCCAGGCCTTCGGCCTGTTCCGTGTCAACAACATCAACGCCTCCAACGGCATCAATCACCTGGCCTTCAGCACCAGCTTCTGCTCCAACACCTCCTTCCATCGCTGTTTTACCTTGCGAGCTCATCCAATGAACCACCGACGCGTCGTGGAAGTGAACTTTTCTACATCTCCAGTGTCACGTGACGCGTGGTGGAAGTGAACTTTTTCTACATCTCCAGCATCACGTGACGCGCCAGTTGCTCATCGCACACCCTTACAAAACATACAAAAAGCCATATGAAACTAACATTAAACTGCTAAGAAACCAAACCAAACTACAAACTAAACTTGCTAAACTAACAAAGCATCACACCTCACATCCATTGCTTGAACTGGTTGATCAAGCCCTTTGTTGATGGATCGTGAGTCTCCACTGGAGTGGTGTTGTCCAGCTCCTTACCAATCACCTTGGCCAACACCTTACCAAGCTCGACACCCCATTGGTCGAAGGAGTTGATGTTCCAGATCGCACCCTCGGTGAAGGTGACGTGCTCGTAGTAGGCGATCAAGGCACCCAACGTAGCTGGGGTGATCTTTTGTGCCAAGATGGAGGTTGTTGGTCTGTTACCAGAGAAGATCTTGTGAGGAACCAATCCGCCAGTGGCACCTTCAGCTTTGACCTGAGCCTCGTCCTTACCAGTGAGAAGGGCCTCTGCCTGAGCAAAGTAGTTGGAGGCGAGCATCTTCTGGTGCAAGTTGTTCTCAATTGGGTTGTGAGACTGAGCAGCAAGGATGAAGTCAGCTGGGATGAGCTTGGTACCTTGGTGCACCAATTGGAAGAAAGAGTGCTGAGCGTTGGTAGCAGGCTCTCCAAACAAGATGGAGCCCGTGGAGTAGTCAGTGAACTTGTTGGCCCTGGTAACACTCTTACCGTTGGACTCCATAGACAACTGCTGCAAATAAGCTGGGAATCTGTGCAAGTATTGGTCGAATGGAGCAACCAAGTGGGTTTGCGCGTCGTAGAAGTTGTTGTACCACACAGAGAGCAAACCACCAATCACAGGGATGTTATCCTCCAGAGGAGTTGTGGTAAAGTGCTGATCAACAGCCTCTGCACCTTTAAGGAAGGCTTCAAAGTTATCGTAACCAATGTACAAGGCAACAGAGGTACCGATGGCACTCCAGACAGAGTAACGGCCACCAACCCAGTTCTCAAAGCCAAACATGTTCTTTGGATCGATACCAAACTTCTCAACCTCGGCTTTGTTTGTAGACAAGGCAGCAAAGTGCTTTGCGATGTGGGCCTTGTCCTTAGCGGTCTCCAAGAACCAAGCCTTTGCAGAGTTGGCGTTGGTGATGGTCTCTGCCGTGGTGAAGGTCTTTGAGGCAATGAGGAACAGGGTAGTTTCCGGGTTGCAGAGCTTCAAAGCCTCAGCAATGTGAGTACCGTCGATGTTTGAGACAAAGTGCACCTTCAATGGGCCGGCATAGTGCTTCAAGGCCTCAGTAACCATGACTGGACCCAGGTCAGAGCCACCAATACCAATGTTGACAACGTCGGTGATCTGCTTGCCGGTGTAACCCTTCCAGGCACCTGATCTAACCTCCTCGGAGAACTCCTTGATGTGCTGCAGCACAGAGTCAACCTCTGGAGCAACGTTGACTCCGTCAACGTACATTGGCTTGTTGGCCCTGTTTCTCAGCGCAACGTGGTACACAGCACGGTCCTCCGTGGTGTTGATGTGCTCACCGGCAAACATGGCGTCTCTCAGCTTCTCCACGCCGGCCTCCTTGGCCAATTGCACCAGCTTGGCGAAGATCTCGTCGTTGAAGATGTTCTTGGAGAAGTCAAACAGGATCTTCGACCCGTCGTAGTTGGTGAACTCCTTGGAGTACTTGTCGAAACGGGATGGGTCCTTGGAGAACTCATCCACAACCTTCAAATCCTTGTTGGCCTTGTGCAGTTGCTCCAGCGCCTTGTAGGCTGGCAATTCTGTGCTCAGAGCGAAATCAGACATCGTGTTTAGTATTAATCCTTGTGTTGGGAACAATTGGTGATGTAGCAACGAGCAAACGACAAAGTGTGTGATCACCTCATTTATATACAGCGCAGGCAAGGGAGGCCCTGTGTGGGCGTGCGCGCCCATCACCAGACGGAACACCGCAGCCCATGGGCAGCGGCGTGGGCGGGCTTTCCCCGGGGACGAGCCTGGAGCGAACGGGGGCGATGGGGCCGGTAGGCGGGCCAGGCGGGCCAGGTGGGAGTTAGGCAGGAACGTAGGCGGGCCAGCTTGGTGTTCGGCAGGAACGTAGGCAGCCCAGCTCAGTGTAAAACAGCCCGTAGGCAGCCCACCCACTACTCCTTGCCCCTCCTGTCAAACCGTCTCATCGTGCCACTCACACCTTCCAGCCCGAGCTTCACTCCCCCCAGGCTCTCCCGTACCTTGTCGAACTGCTCCCTGTTGTAGAGCTTCCCCTTCACCTCGTCCAGGCTCTCGCTATCCCACAGGCTCCTGTGCACATCGCTCTTGTCCATGGCAGCGTCGCTCAGCTTGAGCTCCTTCAGCAGCGCACTCTGCGAATCACGTAGCGACGACATCGCTACGCTGTGCTCCCTGGAGAAGAAGCCGCCCTGTTCCCTGGTCTCCGTACTCATCTTACGAACGTCGTCCAGGATGTCGATCTGCGTCCACAGCATGTCCTGGTAGTCCACCGTGTGCCTTGCCCTGGGCACCTTGTCCACGAGCCTGTTTGGCGGCGTGGTGTTGTCGTCACTGGTCTGCGTGCGGTTCATGATCGACTCCTCGTTCGTCAGCGTGAACGGGTTCCGTGAGATCGACGTGGTGAACGTGTCCATCGTCCGGTATGGCGTCACGGTGTTGTCGGTCGTGTAGTACCTCTGCGGCTCCTCTAGCACATCCTGGTCGTCGTACTCATCGGTAGGCGTTTCCTTCGTCACCAGTATCGACGGCGGCTGCCGGTGCCTAGGCTCATCCACTGTCCGTCGCCGTAGATCCTGAGCACTTGTGTAGACCACGGACTTGAGATCCGAGCTGGCTAGCGATTCTGAGTCCTCCATGCTTCCCTGATGCCTGGTGTTGATGGCTCAATGTTGGGATGCCCAGGCAGACGGTGGTGTTTTTCTCTGCCCAGGCAGGCGGTGGTGATTTTCTCTGCCCAGGCAGGCGGTGGTGATTTTCTCTGCCCAGGCAGTAGGCGGTGATTTTCTCTGCCCAGGCAGGCGGTGGTGATTTTCTCTGCCCGGAGCTAGCGTACACACATCAACATCACCGTCTAAGCAGAGGGAGCAGCAACGACGAGCAGGCACTCACGATGGAGAAGAGCACACAGCCGTGGAGAAAGCTACTGTACACACCACAGCCCTACCCAGATAATTATACAGATGTGTCGTTCTTGTCTCAGCTGAAGAGGAACTCCACGGTCAAGAGATACACCTTCCGGAAGCTCATCTCGGACTTCTCGCTGGTGTCGCTACACCTCAACACGCTGGCCTTGACCCATATCTTCTTCCTGGGCCTGTACTCGTACGACACAAGGATCGATGTGCCGCTGACCGTGTCGACAACGATCTCGGTGGTGCTGCTGCTGTTCTACAACTCGTCCGACAATTCCTCTCGTGTCGTGATACAGGACGCGTTGAAGTCATCGTTGGTCATATCGTTCACGATCTTCACACTATCGCCTGTTCTGAAGTCGCTGTCGGAGTCGACATCCTCAGATTCGATCTGGTCCTTGTCGTTTGGGCTCGTGGTTGCCAACTTGATCACCACTGACTACCACTTCAACTTGAAGGACAAGTTCAACCCCATAGTGTCCACCAATGTGCTCATCGCAGAGGCCACGGTGCTGGCGTCACGGTTCAACTCAGATGCAAAGGTGTTTGCCTTCATGCTCTTCTGCATCCAAATACATGGCATCTTCCCGATATTCGACACCTGGTTGAGAGAGTTCCACGTCCCAATCCATCACTTGATGACACTAGCAACCGGGTCAATTGCAACGTTTTGCATCTACAAGATGATGGAGTTCCCGTGGCTGCTCATCTGGTGTATTTTGCACTCTACAATACTGGTATTCTGCCCTATATACTTCATCCTACTGCAGAAGTACAAGAATGAACTACAGGGGCCATGGGATATCGCCAAACCAATACTTAATGGAACAGATTAGTTGCAGTGTAAAATAAACATACATGGTTTCTTTCTCTTGTCGTGTTCTGCTTCGTACGAGGCCTTGTACTCTTAGCCACGGAATATACCAGCAGCAAGGCACAAGTTCCCCCTGGTGAAGTGAACTTTATAAACAGGACTTCTCTTTGTAAAGAACGCAGCCAAATGATCAGTCGTGGCAACAATCTCCTTACGGCGTCTCGCATCCTCTTTGTCCTTACCACCAGCGTTAACAGAGGTAGTTGGATCATCATTCATAGGGAAAGGCTCCGGTAGAGGCCCAGCTTCGTTAGTGTTTCTCTTGATATCCCAGACACGGACCGTGTTATCAGCAGCACCAGAGACAAGTATTGAGCCCTCTTGAGAGAACGCAAGGGAGTAGATAGATGAGCGTCCATGACCTCTCATGGTCTTCAGACGACGTCCAGAACCGATATCCCAGATGTTAATGATGGAATCCTCGCCAGCACTTGCCAGCCAACGGCCATCTGGAGAGACGGCCATTGCGTTGACAGCCCCAGTATGTCCATTGAAGATCCTTACACTGTTACCTCTTGAAACGTCCCACATACGGCACGTTTTATCTGCAGATCCTGTGAAGACATATGTAGAGTTTGGATGGAATTCAACAGTATCAACATCGTTCAAGTGTCCAGCAAATATTCTAAGTGGGTAGATATGATCTGTGCTCCAGAGTCTTGCAGTGTGGTCATGGGAAGCAGTTGCAAAGTAGTGACCCAAAGGTGAGAACTTAACATCCCAGATTGGATGGTTATGCCCCTTATAAGACACCAAAGCAGTATACGTGTCCAATGACCAGAGTCTCGTAGTTTTGTCTTCAGAACAAGAAAGCAAATAACGGTTATCAGGACTGAAAGACAGCCCATAAACGGAACCACTGTGACCAATCAGCTTTCTGGTATTCTCATGGTTGTGCTTATCACTTTTCAACACAGATTGTAACGGAGACCCATCAATAGACCATAATCTGATGTAACTGTCTTGGAATCCACCAGCAATCATTGTAGAGTCCTCGTTAAACTCAAGTGTCGTCAATTCGTTATTGGTATTGTGGAAAGTATACATACACACACTAGGTGCAGCAGCTTGAATCGTATCCAACTTAATCTTATCACGAGAATCACGAACAGCCTGGATCTCCCTCTTCAAGTCCAAGGCGCTCTTTTGTGGGAGTGGGAGAACATCTCGAGATGGTGAATCAGAATCTGCTTTGGTCATCTCCAGAAACTCCGGAACTAATAATTCTTCACCTTTAGATTTTTCATCCTTCTTTTGAAGTTCTGTTTCAACTTCTTTTGCAAACTCTGGATCCATCGGCATCTTCCCGAGTTTGACTTCCTGACTGTTAAACTTGGATACCTCATCAGTCTTTTGCAATCCCTTAATACCGTCATCTAGGGCACCTTCTCCAGCATTCGCAAGGGATTCATTGGTGATCACCGGTGTGATGTATCTGTTGATTAAGCTGATCATCACTGATCCACCCACGGCCTCATTTTCATGAAGGAAATAGAGAAGTAGATTTAGAGCAGTGCGAGATATGTGCAACACATAGCTGTTATCTCTGTACAGTTTGGCCAACTCATTCTCCTCCAAGTGTTCAGCAGTTCCAATGGCCGATAGTTTGCTGACTTCACTTCCATGCAAGATCTCATGATCCGATTTGAAACGGTCAAAAAACTTTCTTGCAGAGCTTGGGTCCTTGCGTACCAAGTCCAAGAACGCATGGACAAACAATGGGTATAGCACTCTAAACAATTCTGGTCTGTAGATATCCAAAGAACTTTCAACCCAGGCTTTCAACATCGAGTAACCCCTTACATATACCGCCGGCTCGAGCTTCTCCACGTTCGCTACCGAGGACTCATCTGTCACTGGTTGACGAGACGCATTCCCAGCCACGTTAGGCAACGGTTGTGTTGGAACATGTGAGCTCTCCACGCGCAACATGGCCTCGGTCTTGAGGTATCCCTTCTTGTTTAGATACTCCAGAACGATCCTGTTCAGGTCCGCCGGTGAGAACGTATTCCCTTGACGGCGCGCTTGAGCATTGGCCTGATTCGGTTGTCCCTGTTGTCCCTGTTGATTTTGGTGACTCTGCTGTGCCGATGTCTGTGTCTGAGCGCTTCCCTGCGACGACGATGGACCTGTGGCATTGGTCTGTGAGCTGGGTGTACCGTTCTGCGACATGTTCACCTCTGCGTAAGCTATCACCAGATTGTTTAACTCCACAAGAAGCGCGCTGCGTTAATAAAGGAAAAGTGTGGTAAAGCTGAAGTAGTTTGTTGATGTTGATGTTGATGTTTCGATACGCAAAAACGACCTTTCTTACGTAAGCATAGTTTGGTTCGTGCAACAACTAAGAATTGCTTTTGTAGGCTCAAAATTGGTCACTAAAGAGCTGTGTGAGTTCACTCATAACCACTAGGGCATATCGTGAATGTTGGATCCGATTCAAAGTTAATGATAAACAATTGGTTACCGAGCTATTGTGATAATTATAAAAAATGTTCAGTGATGACGTAGCATGGTGGTCGGTAGGCTGACATCCACGCCATGAATGTCAGTTCAGCGAAAAAAAAAAATTAAGGTCGCACCCGGATTCGAACCGGGGTTGTTCGGATCAGAACCGAAAGTGATGACCACTACACTATGCAACCAAAACGCATGTCTGAATTTTCCCTACGTCAGTTTTAACACGTGCTCATCAAGGGACTGTATACATAATCAACTAACGCCTTTTGGCCAGGTTGTTGCTTTCACTTGTCTTAAAAACGTTGGCAATGACTCGGCTCTACATTAATTGAGCTTGAGTAGATGCTCAGAATCATTTATTATATAGTATTTGGTCAATCCAAAGCCTTGTTTGAAGCACAATGGTACCGCATCGAACAAATAACAAAAGAAAAAAAAACAGCACAGATTAAGAACGCCAAAAGGAACCAATGATAATAATGACACTTCTTCAATTAACGTATTGTAGAATTTGCTGTGTCAAATTGTACAACTCTACTTTAGGATCTTCATATTGGTCTTCTGCGTTGGTAGCATCTGTTCCATTTTGTGCAGCAGCAAGGTTATCGGTTGCTAGTTTCTTTATAGCATTGACAATATCGCTATTCTCTTTAACCAAATTCTCAACTTCGTTGTTTTCACTCTCCAAGAGCTGTAATATGGTCCACAATGCAATGTGTTCGAATGTTGGGTTTTCAGAGTTCAAGAATCTGATTAGGAATCCGCATACACCATCCTTTGGTGTATTCCAATTGGCAATGATTTGTTTGTAATCTCTTAGCCTAGAGCACAAGTTTGCCAAAGCAGCGGCAGCATTCCCACAAACCTCCCCGTTCGAAGAGAATGTCAATGGGATCAGAACATCGATCAAGCCAATATCCAATAACTTTATCTTCAAATCATCAGCCAGTGCTAAGATGGCAAAGCACGCAGATATTTCAGACTGGACACTGACAGGGGTATGGAGTACCAACTCTTTACATTTGAGAACGGCATCTGCCTCTAACAACTCCAGTCTGTTTCTTTCAGAGCTTGCAGCCAAGTTTCTCAAAGTGGATACAGCATGGCATTGGATTTCCTCAGAGTCATTGTAATCCAACAACGCCACTAAAGGTTTGAGGAATCCTGCGTCAATGATGAGTCCCTCGTTCAAAGGATGGATCGAGATGTTTCTAATACAAGCCACAGCGGCAAGGACTAGAGGTTGATGAGAGGACTGAAGTAGCTTAACTAGGTGTGGCAATCCACCAGCTCTAACAATTTCCAACTGGTAGCCCGCATCAGATGCCAAGTTTCTTAAAGCCAGCGTAGCTTGACATTGAACCCTTGCAGAGTTAGAATCCATCAACTGAACCAACTGTGTTACCAATCTTGGTTCTGTCTGCGATAGTTTCTTTCTGTTTGCCTCGTCAACTGCGATGTTGGACAAGGCGGTTGTACAGTAGTACTGAACATCTGCATCTGGAGATGAGAGTAGAGACACCAACACAGGTACTGCACCAGCATTCACCAATTCTTGTCTATTTTCATTAGAGTGTGTCATGTTCAACAATGCACCAGTGGCGTTTCTCTGAACTCTCAAGTCCCTTGATTTGGCCAATTTAGTCAGTGGGACTAAGGCACCGGATCTTGCAATCTTAGCCTTGTTATCATCCTGGGTTGCCAAATTTGTGATACAACCAACAGCGTTACACTGCACTTCGATATTTGGAGAGAGCATTTGGCGGATAAGCGGTTCTAGCCCGCCCATATCCACTATGAGGATCTTGTTTTCATTGTTGACAGCCAAGTTCCCCAACGCAGCACATGCGGCTCTCTGAACCTCAGCGTCAGGACTCTGTAGCAGTATTAGAATTGGCTCCAAGACCTCCCTGTCCACCGGCTTCACGTTCTTCTCCGTGATCTCTGCGAACGCCAACGCAGCGCTTCTCTGGAGGTCAATGTTATCGGAGTACACCAACGTGCTCAAGGCCCTTAGAGGACCATGGCTGAAGAAGTCAACCTCACTTCGGTTCTCGAGGTATTGTAGCAAGGCGGCAATCGCCTCACGCTCGTTCTCGGCCAGCAGGGGCTGGTATTCACTACCAGAACCACGTCCTTGGTCATTGTTAGTACCTGTGTTGTTATATCGAGAGAGCTTCGCCCCTACACATGAGTCAAGGAGTGCGTGGTGTTTATCCACACAACACGGGGCAAAACACACACAGAAACAGACTCACCTGTAAAACAACTGCAACAAACACCCATATTTGCCTTCTCAGTCTCTCACTCGGTTGTGCTAATATTACTCAAAAGGTCGATATTTGATATGTGTGGTGTATATGACTTATCCCAAGGTCGGGTTGTGCCTGTGTTCCTTCTCCAGCGTTCCCTTGAGGAGAATGTGCTTATCGCTCGAATCCCCCTTCAATCGACAAGACGTTTACAGCTTTGCTTCCGTCTAAAACAGCGAGCTTCTATGTCCTTCGCCAAAGAGATCCCGTCCTTGTACTGAGAAACCCTCCACAGAATGTATATATATGAATATATATATATATCAACACACGTTGTGGCAAAGTGAGCGTAAACGGTTTGTTTTCGTTTTGGTTTTCCGAGGAATCCTTTTCGCAAGAGCTGTTGAAGTTTTTACTTGTTTTCACGTTCCAGGTTTTTCTTTTCTGTGTGTGTGTCGTTTCTGGCGCGCTCGCGCTTTTGGCAAGGCACCAGCGCTTTTGCGATTGCTTTGGGGCCTTTTTAGCCCATCGCGGCGGGGTGGGCAGGCGCCGGCGACGCGCGTTTTAACCCTTTTCCGCTAAGTGGAGCCTTCTGTTACGGGCCACACACGCAGACATGGTGGCGTCTCTCGGCCTCTGTTTGACGGTCTACGTTGTTTACAATGACACATTTTAGCGTGATGGAAGCGGTAATGAGGTGCTATAGAACTGTAGAGGTTGTGTTCATCACTGCTCTACGACGTCTAGTTCGACGACGAACTCGCCGTCGAACCAGTTGCGGTCGAACTTACGTAGTTTCCCCTGCTTGAACAGCTTGTGTGGCATACCGACGTCAACGAGGTAATGGGTCCAGTCGCCCTTTTGAGAAACGTGGTTGGAGTAGGAGAGGACGAGCCCGTTGACCGGTAGTCCCGTGCTCACAACAAACCTGGCCTCTATTGGGGTTCTCTCGGACAACAACCCTGATCCTGCGTCGATTCCTGAGGGAACGTCTAGTGAGATCACCTTAATTGCCTGTTCGTTGACCCACGATATGATATGCTGTGCGTTGTCTAGCTCAGACCCCCATAGGTCTCCGAGACTCGTGTCGTAGCCCTGTAGTCCGTCCACAACAACCTCTGGTGGCGTCTCGACACTGGTGATTATCGTCAGCAGTTCTGTGAGTGCAAACGCTAGTTTACCTCCAACCGCTTCAAACATCTCCAGTTGTTGTTTGACAATGTCATCCAACTCGTCCGTGGCTTTAAAGTCCGTTAACGTGTATGCAATGACTCTGACACCGTGGTTGAGCAAATGGCGTCCCGTGGCTAACGATCTAGCACCGGATCTGTTGTTGCCCACCAAGAGCAACACTAATGGTGGTAGATTGTGATTAGACTTGGATATTCTGGAACTTCCCCCGAGCATCTTGAATACTAAGCTCGCAATCCCTCTAGAGGCATTTTCAGTGATGATTGTTGGGGTCACCTTAAAGTTCTCAGAACAGAGCCTTTCAATCTCAATCAACTGAACAGGAGTGGCCAAGGGCAAAGGCTCCTTGTTCTTGGATAACAACTGATACCCTCTTGTTTCCAGAGATGGTGATCTCTTGCTGCCAGCAGGAGTGGCTGAAGGCTTAGGAGTCGAGGAAGCACTTGAGGCGCGTGGTTGGATCATCGCCAATAAAGCAGCAGATGCCTCTTTATTGGATGATGACGATGTAGCTGCAATTCCCGTAGATACAGCCTTATGGTCGTCCCACTTGTCCACTTTGTTCTCTATAACGTTCTCGTCATGGCCATACTTCGTCTTAACCTTGTTATGAGTCACCAGCCTATCAGCAGAGTCAACAGTATCGTTCAGTTCAAACTCTTCCAGAGCACGACGCTTGTCAAAGTCAGCGGTGCTTCCAGCAAAATCAAACTCGTCCCCCAGTTTGATCTGTGAAACGTCATCTCCCCACATGATCTCCCCATCGTTACTGTATACGTTTCTCTTCTTATTCTTGGTGCTCTTTCTACTGTTGCTGTTCGCTTCACTGGAGAACACAACCTCGTCCTGCGTAGATGGCGCAGAGCTCGTCTTCTTCTTCTTGCCCTTCTGCAACTCCAATGGTAGCTCAGTCACCTTGATGTTTCTGATCTCCGGCCCAGCCACCGTGAAACAGTCAGTCCTCTTCCCGTTGATAACAACTAATCACATTAGTACACCAAAACACAGAGCACAGTACAAAGAACTACCTCGACAAGCACAACTCACCATCGTTCAGCGTAAGCACCTTATCCTTAACAGAAACAACTCTCCCTTTCAACGAGCCCTTGTTCTTCAGTGTAACATCAACACCAAATCCAACTACTGAAACCATTGCTCTGCTTGTTGTTGTTGTCTCTGTTTGTTGATCAGCACGTTATGAACCTTTTGTTTTCGCTTTGTTTACGACGTGTGTCTTTGTTTGTGTTTGTTTTTTTTCCTTCTTTCTGTGAAGATTTTCCACACAAACGCTTCACTAATCAACAACACAACAAGAGCTTAGTGCCCGTAGAACAGAAACCTTTGCGAGAAGAAATGGCTCAATTATCGCTTGCTGATGTTGACAGTGTGGTGGAGCTACCCACTGACAGCTTCAAGGCCTCGATAACGCCTGATAAGACGTTTTTGAACGACAACCCAGATTGGCTCGCTGCACGGAAGCTGGTGGTAAGTGTTGTGATGATGCTCTGATGATTGAGTACGACTGACTAACAACTGGAATATTAGGACCAATCACCACACGAGTTTGCGCCCTGGAACTCGCTGGTAACCATTACGGAACAGCTGTTAACGAAATACCCTACACCTTCACAAGCGGTGAAGGATGTCATCACGTCGACTTTTGATGAGCTTTTGACGAGGTTCCCGTTGTTCTTTGGGTATTGGAAGAAGTATACCTCGTTACAATACCAGATGAATGGGCTAGATGAAAGCATCAAAGTGCTGTCTCGGTCGCTAGTGGCGTTCCCTAGTTCTGTGGATCTGTGGGTAGACTACTTGACGATTCTTGTATCCAACTGTCAGGACAAGTCCAAGATCAAGCTGGAGTTCGAGACAGCTATTAGCAATGTGGGACACCACTTCCTGTCACATGAAGTATGGGACAAGTACATCGAGTGGGAACAAGGGCAGAATAACTCTCTGGAAGTGATCAAGATCCTGCTCAGAGTTATTCGTATTCCTCTACATCAATATTCGAGGTACTATCAGAGCTTCAACACTATGAGACAAACAATATCTGCTCAACAGCTTCAGAAGTTGGATAAGGAGCTTGAATCTGCTACTGGAGTTGACGAATATTACAATACCATCTTTCTCCAAACCCAGGAATACGTCAGTGCTATATGGCCGTTTGAGTCACAGATTAAGCAGCCGTATTTCAACATCACACCCTTGTCTGACGAGGAGGTGGACATATGGGACTCTTACTTGAACCTTCTGATACAAAGACACTCCACTGATGCCTCTCCTCTTAATAAGGATCAAACAGTGGCGACGTTTGAAAGAGCCATTGTTCCTACAGCACTGGCATCGAAATTTTGGTTCAAATACTTGTCATGGTACATCACAAACTATTCAGATGAGTTCGAGCCTCTTAACAACATTTATAGAAAGATACTAGATGTATTTCTACCTGTTTCCATGACACTGAAACTGAGGCTGAACTACGCCTCGTTCCTAGAATTCCACAACAGAGACACTCAAACAGTTGCAGAGGTTTATCTCGGCATCATGAAGCACGCACACTCAAAGAACGACTATGAGCCTGTGTCCAGGTATATTCATTATATTTGCAGAACAGAGAATGACTTTACCAAGGTGGCCAAATGGCTTGATTCTGTTGTGACGGTGTTCTATAAACCTCAAACAGCTTCAGACATTGGTATAAAGAGATTTGCTACGCTGTTGAATACCAGAACCATAGTCATTCCCATTATTGAGCTGATCAACATCAACTGGATTCATCTAAAGAACGACTCCAACGTTAGAAAATATTTGGCTCAGTTCTCCCTGGCTGAAGATCTCTTTGGAAGCTCTCCATTTTGGACTTTGAAGTACAAGTACTTCAAGTACTATAGGGACTACCAGGAACTCGAGCAAACTGTTGCATTCATCAAAGACAAGTCGTCTTTGCCTTTAACTGTCATCAATGCCATTCTTCTGGACTACACAGATGTCCTAGCACAACAGGTGCCCGAATCCCTATCGACGCAAAGTGCCTACGAGACGATAAACTCCTTGGAGTACTTCGTCTCTAACCCATTCTCCTCGAGATATGAACAGGATGAACAGTTGAAGAAGAGACTATGGCAGGAGAGTGGCCATGCTGCCGTTTCCATACAGAAACCGTTCATAGTGAACAGTGTACTGTCTAAAAACGTCAGTGAAACTGAGCCGTTGCCAATGCCATCGTTCAAGAACGTTGAAAGGGCAAATGCTAAGATTGTTTATATTGAGAATGAATAAAACATCAAGCTGTGTTTGTTTTTTTGTTGATCTTTGTATCCCAGCCAGTGAGAGAGCTTAGAACTACGCTGACCCACCTCGGCAGCTGCGCAGAGAGGGACGGGGAAGGAAAAAAAATTTCATGCGATGAGCTACTGATACCAACGCCAGAGAGAACCACGCAGATAAACACAGTGTGGCACTACAATGAGTGTAACGGAGCCATTGAAGAGGGCAGCATCGCCAGTGAGAGCTGGTGAAGGAGCTATCACTCCAGTTCATAAGAAGCAAGACACCTCCGAGAATAAGCCCGTCAAGAAACAACACCATCAGAAGAAGCGTAAATACAAGGCCAAGAACGTTGATCCTACCTCTCCGAGTGGTGTGCTACAGTTTGAAATTGAACAGATTCTTGCCGAAAGGGAGATCACCGAGAGTGATATTCAGAACGATATCAGTGGTGTCTTGAACGATGAATCTATTGCCGCCCAGTACCATCGTAACGTGACAGATGTTGAGATCATTGCGCTAACGTCCAACGCTGAAGGGTTGGCTCTGATTGCCAACCCACTGGATCCTAAAAAGCAGCAGGTTGTCATTGTTCCATTTGCCATTACTGGCGATGTCTGTGAAATCCGTGTCTTCAAGACACATCCTAACTACGTCGAGAGTGATCTCCTCAAGATTCTTAAACCATCTCCTGAAAGACAGGATGAGCTGATACGATGCCGTTATTTCGGCAAGTGCTCAGGATGCCAGTATCAGGAGTTGCCATATGCTACTCAGCTTGAGTACAAGCGTCGTACAGTGGAAAATGCGTACGCACATTTGGCACCTGATCTCTTAAAGCAGGGGAAGTTGCCAGAAATTGGTGAGACCGTTGCATCTCCAAAGCAGTTTGGCTATAGAACTAAGCTGACTCCACATTTTGACCTTCCAAGAAAGAAGACGTTAACCTACAGACCAACTCTCGGATTTGGCTCAAAGGGCAAACCAACCTGGAGAGACACTGACGGTGGAGACTCCGGTGTTGTCGATATTGAAGAGTGTATCATAGGTACTCCTATCATCAATGTTGGTATGGCCAACGAAAGACGTCAGTTCGAGCAGGATTGGAAGAAGTATAAGAAAGGTGCCACGATCTTGTTGAGAGAGCACACCAGAGTAGCCACGGAGAGTTGCAATACTATAGAATTCAATAATGAACAGGAAGGTTCCAGAGACGAAGCCGGTAACGTTAGTGTTATTGTTGATAAGAACGGTGATGACGTGCTTGTGAAGTCATGTGTTACAAACACCAGACAAATCGTCACTGAGTACATCAATGGGTTCACATTTGAGTTCTGTGCCGGCGAGTTCTTCCAGAATAACAACTCCATTCTACCTATTGTCACTGAGTATGTCTGCTCAAACCTACAGATCCCTCGCAAAGAAGGAGACCCCCTCTATCTGGTCGATGCTTATTGTGGCTCCGGTCTCTTCAGTATCACAGCATCAAAGGGTGTTGATAGGGTCGTTGGAGTGGACGTTTCAAAGGAATCCATCAAATTTGCTACAAAGAACGCTGAGAGAAACGGTGTCAAGAATGCCACCTTCATCGACGGCCAAGCCGAAAAGATCTTTGGCTCCATTGATACCCCAAGCGACTTGACTTCAGTGATCATTGATCCTTCAAGAAAGGGATGCGACGAGGTTTTCTTGAACCAATTGTCCGATTACAGACCAGCTAGGGTAGTGTATGTCAGTTGTAATGTTCACTCACAGGCAAGAGATATCCAGTGGTTCTTGAACAGCACGAAAAATGGTGGAGAGTACAAGGTGGAGAGCATTAGAGGATTTGATTTCTTCCCACAGACACACCACGTAGAAGGTGTTGCTGTTCTGAGTAGAATTTAGTACTAATATCACTGCAATTATATATTTCACTGTTATGTTGGTTACGGTGTAGTGACGATGCGGTGCATGGCTTTCAGCCGAGCTCCGACGCTTTCAAAATTGTAGCCCTAGTCACGTGCGTGGCCTTAGGGCTTCGAACATTGTCGCGGTTCGCGGAACACCAAACAAAATTTTTCACCAGTCCCAGAGCCACTGGAAAAACAAAAGTGTTAAAAGTTCAACACCACTATCAACACCACAGTTGAAGGATTCTGAATAACACATAGAAGACTACGCCAAAATGGAAAACGATAAGGGTCAACTCGTAAGTTTGAGAGCGTACATGGTGGATGTGTGATGGAGATGAGTTGAGTTGTGTTGTGTTCTGAAAGTTTTATGGCCCTGGATGGAGTTTACTTCGAGACGAGATGATGTCCAGTAATTTGGCGAACAGATAAAGGGTGTACGAAGTAATAGCAGAGTCAGCTGGCGTAACGAGTATGATATATGCTGAGAAGAGTCTTGTATAATTTGCTGAAGAAACTAAAGTTTCGCTAAAGACTTGTTTTTGGATCATTTTACTCTCTTCCTGTTCACACATGAGCAGTGTTCTATCACTTGATCCATAAATCATGCTGCTGAAATACACGAAGAGCAACCCCTCACATCTCCCTTTCAACAGGGCACATCGAGCACCATACAGTCAACTCTACTCCACGCACGTACCACGCGGAAGCACAAGTTTGAACTTCATAGCAGCTACTAACACCAAAATCCTAGGTTGAATTGTACGTTCCAAGAAAGTGCTCTGCCACCAACAGAATTATCAAGGCTAAGGACCACGCTTCTGTCCAAATCAACATTGTCAACGTTGACGAGTCTGGTCGTGCTATCCCAGGTTCTTTCACCACCTACGCTCTTTCCGGTTACGTTAGAGCCCGTGGTGAGGCTGATGACTCCTTGAACAGATTGGCTTCCAAGGATGGTTTGTTGAAGAACGTCTGGTCTTACTCCCGTTAAAGAGAGATGGATTGTATTAAAGTCATGTTCATTTTTTAATATAAGGAAAAGCAAAAAGGTTTACGGAACCGTAGGCTCCACCGGTGTGTATGTGCTGTAGGTGCTTCTCTTGCACGGCAAGGAGAAGAGTAGAAACTGATGATCTCATAGGCGATTTTGAAATGTTGGTGGGCTTAAGCTGTACTTGCCAGCCAAGGTGCGAATATCTCCAGTGCGCTGGCTGAGGCAGACATGCTCCATATTGTAACGTACATGGCACCCAATTAGGACTTCAAACCTGCCTTGAAATATGGCATACTTGTGTGTGTGCATTGTTAGGTTTCCAACTAAACTGAGCACCATCTGATGGTTGTATATAATATTTTACGCATTCCCCGGCACAACCCCCACCACCAAAAGCCTAAGCCTAACAAGTTCAATTGTCGCCCTACTGGGCCTAAATACACCGCTTTATCGGCCAGGCCGTCGATCTTCACATATGTTATCCAACTTTGGGCTGTTTGCCTTCGCCTGTTTGTTTGTTTGTTGGCACTGTGCATGTGTATTATTCATGCAAGATCCCCTACAGCCAAAAGCCAGACTTTTGGCTCCTCCTGTTCAGCCTGCGAGCCTCCGCGCACTGCGCACTACACGCTAGGCAGGTTTCCTCACTCAGAGGCATCAACATTTGACAAGGGAAGGCTCAGTGGAGCCAATTGGCCAGCAACAGGGAAATCATCAGCGCTGGGTGCTCTGCCCACCGCTTGCTCATCTGAACAGCAGTTCCCACGGTCGCAGCACATGCCCAAGCACTGCCTACTGTAAGCAGAGACCCGAGCCAAGTCGCAGAGACGTGGGCTGAACTGTGTTAGACAGGCGCACTCCCCAGGGGGAGGGGGCGCCGGGCACGCACGCAATCTGCCCGAGGGTGGTTGCACCTCTGTCAGCGTCGGGAGCCTCTCTTTGCGTTTTAACCCAATTGGGCGGAAATCAAAACACAACAGGCTCGGATAAGCTCAACGTTACATACAGCACCAAGCAGCTAAATGACACAATTTTAGGGGGGCGGCACCAGGAAACCACATGGACAGAGAGGAAGAGACAACGAGAGAGGACGAAAATTTTCCTTTGCTTCTCAATTGATACCTCGCTTGTACCATTGTGTATATACTTTGCCTGGTTAACGATATCTCAGGACCTTGTTGTTTGTCTCTGTTTGTATTATCCATTCGTTTGCGGGTTGTGTGGGTGTAACGTCACTCATTGTTGTCAACTCTTTTTTGCATAAGGTATTAAGCTGGGAAGACTTCTCACTGGCATTATACATCTCTCTGCCACGCACTCTACCCGAAGCTTTAGATGAAGGCCATCTCTACTTTGCTCTTTTCGAGTTCGTATCTGCCAGGTGCCATTGTGCTTGGTAAGACTGTTCGCCAGCAGGGGATCTCGGAGGGTACAGAACTGGTTGTCATTGTCGGATGTCTCTTATCTGAATTTGAACAAAATCTACTCCAAGTAAGTGTTCCGAGGTGCCGTAATAGTCCTTCTCATAGGTTTGCCTGATCAACACATTCGCTGTTCGGACCGCTCGTTGTTCTCTCCAGCCGCCGTGGGCGCTGGAGTCGAATAGCTGCTCATGTCCGCCGCGTACTGTGTCCCTGATCGGCACTATCTTAGTGAAACCGTATACTGACATGAACGTCCATATAGAGTGTCTTTGATCGTGTCATTGACGTGTCGCTTATCCGTGCCTCCCCGTCAGAGGAGCTGAAACTGTTGGGACGTCCCGAACTGGGACCAACATTCTCCAAGATTAACCTGTTTGCACTCACGCAGTACGACCAGGTCTTGTACCTGGACGCCGATACCTTGCCTGTTCAGCGTGTAGCTGACTTGCTTGACACGTACTCTGTTGAGGAGTCGCAGATCTTGGCTGCTCCAGACTGTGGGTGGCCTGATATCTTCAACAGTGGTGTCTTTGTCATCAAACCTTCTCAGGACACGTTTGACGACCTGCTGTCAATCGTTCGAACTTCTAACAAGCCTTCCTTTGACGGAGCAGACCAGGGTTTACTAAACGAATACTTCACAGTGAGACCTGACAAGGAATGGCTCAGACTGCCATTCGTGTACAACGTTACACCTTCTGGAGGATACGAGTACTTGCCAGCCTATAAGTTCTTTGCGGATGATGTTAAACTTATCCACTACATCGGAGCGACGAAGCCTTGGGATTGCGACAGATGGGATTCCATTGCGATGAGAGGAAGGTGGTGGTCTAAATATGCAGAGTTCTTCCATGATAAGCCGCCATTGGAGTCGATCCACGGTATTGTGCCATACTACTTTGAGCCTGTGGTTGAGCCGGTATACGTTGAAGAAGCACCAGCTGAGCCAGCTTTCGAGGAGCCGTCCCTTGAACAGGCAGTACCATACGAAGAGCATTATCAACCAGAGACTGAATATCATCCATACGAGGAAACTAAGGAGATCCTGTTAAACCCTGAATCTTACCAGTACTTCGACACTGTTCCAATCGTTGAAAGTTGGGATCCTGCGCATTCTGAACCTCCAAAGCATGGTAAGCCTGAAGCACAGAATTTCCCTGATTTGCACATGGTGAATCTATGGTCTAACGATGCAACATGGGATGAACCTAGTGAATTTACCTATGAAGAAGATAACGAAGAACCGTGGGAAGAGCCTTTACCTCCACCTCTATTCCCATGGGAGTTTGAGCCTCGTGAAAAAGCTGAACGTGTATTTGATCCATCGCTCGGACCTAATAACTGGGATGACATACCTTTAATTCAACGTATCAAGGAACTCCAGCTCGAAGAGGCCAATAAGTCGCAGAGCGAGACGGGAACTGCTGTGGAGAAGAACGAGGATGAGATTGAAAGACTGAGGGAGATTGAAGAACGGTACACCGGTGATATTGCAGACGACGTTGCTGAGGATGCCATTGAGGACGGCTTCTTAGATGTCATTAAGCAGGAAGATGAAGACGAAGAAGCCCTATTGGATGAACTTGAAAAGGCAAAGAACGTGGTTCTTACCCCTCAGGTGCCTACTTCTGTGGAGCAGGCACTGGATAAGTTGGATGCACTGGTGCAGTCCAACGAAAGATACACCGATGACATCAAGGACGACATTGCAGAGGACGCGATCGAAGAAGGCGTGCTGGATGTCATCGAGGACGAGACAGCAGCGGAGGAGAAACTCATTGAAGAGGATGAGAAGCTGAAGACCTGAAGCAAAGGTGCAAGATCGAGAGAGGCTGCATAAACTCCATAATGTAAACTACTAATACCAAATAACAACACACATTGCCCGTATACACGATAATAAACTAATTCCAATGCCTCGGCTGTGTAGCTCTTCTGTGCTCTATGCCACCATTGGCCCAATTGAAAGCACTCTTTACAGCCCTGGGCTCCTACAACACCATAAAGCCAACATGTGATGGAGAGCGCGCTAGACTTAGATAATGTGCACGTGACCATAGCTTACATAAGCAACATCCATCGCCAGAATTTTAAACTTTTTTCGTTTTTCGTGTTTTTTTTTTTTTTTTTGCGCTGTGTTTTTCGTTTTTGTGGTTTGTCTGTACGCTGAAAATTTTTTTGAGCGCCTTCCAACAGAGAAAAAAAACTTTCAATGTTCTCTTCTTCCCTTCAAAACTTCTCTTTTTCTCTCTTCTCCAATTAACTTATTCCATTAAGAATATCCCATTAGTATTAACACATAATGGCTGACGGTATTACAGAGATTGACGCCAACTTGATTGAGACCAACTATGACAAGGTTGTGTACTCCTTTGACGACTTGAACTTGAAGAAGGAGATTCTCAGAGGTATCTACGGTTACGGTTACGAGAACCCATCTTCTATCCAACAACGTGCCATTGCTCCAATCATCGAAGGTAACGATGTTCTTGCCCAGGCTCAATCCGGTACCGGTAAGACTGCTACTTTCACCATCTCTGCTTTGCAAAGAATTGACGAGACCAAGAAGGTTACCCAAGTCTTGATCCTTGCCCCAACCAGAGAGTTGGCTCTTCAAATCCAGAACGTTGTTCTCAGTATTGGTCAACACATGGATGTCTCCATCCACGCCTCCATTGGTGGTACCTCCATCCAAGACGATATTGAGGCCTTCAAGAAGGGTGCTCAGATCATTGTCGGTACCCCAGGTCGTGTCTACGACATGATTGCTCGTCGTATCTTCAACACCTCCAACGTTAAGATGTTCATCTTGGATGAGGCCGATGAGATGTTGTCCTCTGGTTTCAAGGAGCAAATCTACAACATCTGTTCCCTCTTGCCAACCACCACCCAAGTTGTCTTGTTGTCTGCTACCATGCCACAAGATGTCTTGGAGGTCACCACCAAGTTCATGAGAAACCCAATCAGAATTCTTGTCAAGAAGGATGAGTTGACTTTGGAAGGTATCAAGCAATTCTTCATCAACGTTGAGAAGGAGGAGTTCAAGTACGACTGTTTGGTTGATCTTTACGACACCATCTCCGTCACCCAAGCTGTCATCTTCTGTAACACCAGAAGAAAAGTTGAGGAGTTGACTGAGCGTTTGACCGCTGACAAGTACACCGTTTCTGCTATCCACTCTGAGTTGTCCCAACAAGAGAGAGACACCATCATGAACGAGTTCAGAACCGGTTCCTCAAGAATCTTGATCTCCACCGATTTGTTGGCCCGTGGTATCGATGTCCAACAGGTGTCCCTTGTCATCAACTACGACTTGCCATCCAACAAGGAGAACTACATCCACAGAATTGGTAGAGGTGGTCGTTTCGGTCGTAAGGGTGTTGCCATCAACTTTGTCACCGACAAGGATGTTGGTATGATGAGAGATATTGAGAAGTTCTACTCCACACAGATTGAGGAATTCCCAGCCAACTATGATGATATCTTCAACTAAGGGAATTGAACCCTGGCTATTATGACATACGAAATATACAAAAACAGAAAACAGGCATCATAGGAAGGGGAAAGGAGACTACCATCGAATGTTCTTTTCTTCCTTTGTTTATGTGTTTCTTCTCTTATGATCATTTGTTCCGACTCTATTCTCTTTTTTCTTTCTTTCTTTATGTATAGGTGTATGTTTTTTCTTCTTCTTTATCATCAATGGGGGTTAGTGTTTAATACAGAAAGTATACCAGTCCACTGGTGTATATATCAACTATAGTGTTTTCATTAGTTAAACAAGCCTGCGATCAGTGGGTTGTGCAACTGCAGAGTGGGATGTATGTATTCACTCATCGTCGCCAATCTTTTCAATCTTGCCCTGTGTCTTTGATTCACCATCAACACCGACAATGAGGATCTTGTCAAGAGTTGTCGACTCGTCCTCATCTTCACCGTCAAAGAATAAAGTCAAGCTGGTGACCTTTTGGAACCTGACGTACTTCAGCTTGATCTCTACGCATCCATCCTCGTTGAACTGTCCAATATCCTCCTGATGCAGCGCATTGATGGTTGTCGCATCGTCAAAGCCCAAGATGCTGCTTCTATTTGCCCAAACCTTGATCAAATTAGGTCTTTGGCCACTGGTGCTCTTGATCACCAGTGACGACACTTTGCAAATATTTGTAAACGGGATGTGGATCAACAACTGGGAGTCTGCATCGGTGGAGATCTTGGAGTCCTCGTCCAGCTTGAGCAACCCTTTGACCTTCTCGCTGCTCTGTGTGGCGTTCAGGCACTCAAACTCGCCAAACTGAACCGTCTTGTTCAACAGCGTGAAGCCCTTCGGAACATATGTGGCCACCAGTTGTTTATCAGCAGAACTCAGCGATGAACTGGAGTCTTCACCAACATCACGGCGCTTCCCGTGTGGCGCTAGGGCGCTCAGCTTCTTCAACCCTTCAAGAACAGCCTGTGTTGAAGCGCCACGGACCCTCTCAACTTCCTTGCCCTTGTGCAGAAACACAAACGTCGGGACCGCAGTGATCGAGTACTTGGAGGCGATTTCCCTATGCTTATCCAAATCAACTTTGGCAATCTCCACCGTTGTGTATTGCGTGTAGAGCTGTTCAATCATAGGCGCAATCGCCTGGCACGGCCCACACCAAGCAGCGGTGAAGTAGAGCACCAGAGCTTCACAGCGCAGAAACTCATTGAGGTCACTGTGGGTCTGGACGTAGTTAATTGGCATCTCTTCGCGATGGCTGTGTGCGCTTTATAGCTCTACAATTGATGATGAGATGGGTTTCGACTGTGAGTGCCATTTTCTCTCCTTTTGCGAGGCGCCATGGTATTCACACGCTGCTGCTGCTGTTGTTGTTGTTCGCTTGTTGTTGTTCGCTTGTTCTCTTAACTACTGGGTGTCTGGATGTTACAGAGGGTATAGCCTATACAGAGAGCACTACAACGGTGGATTGGGAAGGATTAGTGGTGTTGAGATTGGCTGTGTGTACGTTAAGGAGATGAGTCTTCTCTCTGGAGTTCATTGCTGAGGATGCGGATGTCGTCGGGGGTCAACGCGTCGAGTTTTATCGACCTTTTATACTCCAATTCTGTATCGACTCTGAACTCGTCATCGGTAACGGTTATCTTTATGAAGGTGTCCTCTTTTTGCAAGCTGCCCTGTGTGAACTCTGTGAACCACTGTGGCTCGTTAGTCAGCTCTGAGAGTCTGTCTAGCGGCTCATATTTCGAGTGTAGCTCGGTATACAGCTTGTTTAGACTTTCAAACTTGGTAAACCAATGCAATGTGGTGATAAGCTGGCTTAGAGCACCACAGGCAAACCCTGTTGTCTGCACGAACTCGGACTGTACAAATTGAAATGTCTGTAGCAGCGAGTTCCTCTTTGTCCTGTAGATGTCGTTGTTATTGCACAGCTGTGCCCTCGACTCGTTGTCCAACACTATTCCAACTTTATTGGCCAAATGACGTGGGATAATCAGGGGCTTTGAGAACTCCACTTTGAACCCAACGTCATTCACCGTCACGGATTCAAACGCCAACGCAATACGCTCGTCCGATGCTAGCGATATCTGGAACAGACTATTGATCATGATCGAGAACTCCTGCGTGCTGTACTCCGAATTAGGGAATTCTGCTTGCAATGTCCCCATTATCGAAGTGTACTGGTGGAAAAGGTCAACCTGTGTGGAGTTTTGGTCCAACACGCTCAACTGCTCCAAGCATCTGTCGAACTGCACCAACTTCTGCTGCTTCAAAGCCATCTCCAGCACTATGGACCCATCTGCGTTGTTCACCGTGAACATGGAGTCGTTATTAGCAAGGATAAGCTTCACAGTATCAACGTCTATCCTTGTTTGGCCCCTTATCGAAGACTCCAGCTCGTGGAAGTCTATGTCAATCACCAGAATCTTTCCTGCTATTGATACCCGCTTGACTCCAGGCGATATCTCTTCGTTGAAAGTTTCAAACTTGTAGAAGTTGGCCAGGCGCAGCAAGTTCTCCAGCGTCACACTCCCGGGCGACTGCTTCAAGATCGTCGCTATACGTGTGAGGTCTGAGTGGTATGAGTCCATCTGTTTACTCCGTGCAATGCTTCTGTTGTTTACACCCTTCGCTTTGTACACACTTCTCGATCGTTTTTTATCTTTGTGAGTTGCCCAGGCAGGTTGCTCGAAGCGGTAGCAGACACACACGGCAAAATAGTGCGGGAAGATCAGCGGGAAAAATGGGCATTGTTTATACGTCAACGGGTTGCTTTTACTCCATCTCACTGGGACGTTGAGGGCAAAACAAGCAAAGGGGAATGGTAGGGATTCTTAAGAACAAAAGCGAGCATAGTGGCACTGTAAATCAGTCGACAAAGGAGTTCAGAGAAGAGGTGTTGAAGAACACGAAGCTCAACGCCCAGCTCCAGAGCGAAGAGCATAAGAAGATAGTTGCGAAGCAGCAGCAGGAGGAAGCTGAGCAGCGGGCACTACAGGTTGAGCAGGAGAGATTGCAATGGAACAAGAAGAACCTTGAGGACAATGAGGTTATACAGAAGCAGATCTTGGAGAACATGGAAACAACCATCGATGAGCCAAAGACGCCGTTCCAGCACGCCACTGAGGTGAATGAATACTACAAGGAGGATGAGGATGAGCTCGAAGACTTCTCGCTGGGGGCTCCTGAGTTCTCTGTTCCTTCAGAGGAGGAGGAATCCACAGGTGTGCCTGTGGAGCGTGTTGAGTCTCACGTATCGCTCGGAGGTGTACCTGATCCTAGCGAGCTACACAAGGGACAGCCGCCAGATCACCACATGACGTTTGAGGAGAAGAAGAAGCTACACTACCACCACGAGGCTCCGCAATTCCACCCGGTGGAGGACGCTGATGACGATGGCGAGGATGAGGCCCCAGAGAGGAAGATGTCATTTGCAGAGAAGCGTAAGCTGCACTACAGCAAAGAGCACGTTCCAAAGGAATGATATTTCCCGTTGTATATCGTAGAGTCCCCTGTAATGGCACAGCAGGACATTGCCAGTTTGTTGAATATATACTTTTGTCTTGTTGTGTTCTGTCTACACAAATGTACATAAACGTCATAGAACGCTTATAAATAGCTTATAATAGTTGTCTTCGTTAAGGTCGTTTCGGTCGTTTTCGGTGTGGTGTGTGCGTGCGATGGCCGCGACAATCACTTCTTCTTTGAGATGAAGAAGTAGTCGGCGAGGAACGACATCACAGTGTCATCTGTGTGGTATTGCAAATCGTTATTGCTCTGTTTACGAGGGAACTCGTTGAAGAAATGGTTGTTCTTTGCCTGTCTGTGCTCCGTGGAGTTCATCTCCATTATCCGCTCCTTTGACAGCCACGATGACAACTTCTCCTTTGGGAACTCGAGGAAAAACTCTGAGCTCTCCGCGGCGGTGTTGATGGGGCCCTTGGTGGAGCCCTCGGTGGGGTTTCCCTGCTGAGCTCCCAGTTGGGCGTCTGGCTGGTAGTCGAGGAAAGTCATGGTTCAAAATGTGTGTTTAAGAAGAACGAAACGAGAAGAAAGCGGAACGATAAGGAGGAAACCCAGGGAAAGGATCAAGACGAACAACAAGAGGATGCCACAGGGTATATATCCTTCACGCTGAAAGCACACCCAGGTTCGTATACACCACAGGCTTCCGAAGTGGGACCTGAGTGTGTGACCCGGAATTTGAAGACTGGCAACGCCGAAATCGGACTTCGAAATTTCACGCACCCATTGCTACACATCCGGTACGCGCCGCATAAATCTCTCGTCCTCCAAAGCGCCGGGCGTTTTAGGTGCAGCAGAGCCGTTGTGTACGCAAGCATCTAAAACTCCGCTTCAAAGGCCTTTATATACCCGCTCCTCAGCAACAGAGGTGCAAGCCACGCACACAACAACAGGAATGGGATCGCTACGGCGGAAGCGCAGAGACATCGCTGTATTTCAATCTCTCTATACACCTGAGCACGAGCTTATAGCCGCCTCAAGCCATTGCGTACATAGTCGCACGGGTTGTAGTCGTCATCGACGCCCATCGAACGCTGTGAGCGGCTCTCGAGTAGAAAGTTAACAAGATTGACATAGTCACCTTCATCCTCGTCCTCGCCGCTTCCAACATCATCACCATCGTCGTCGTCATCACTGGCTGCATACACATCGCCAGCCTCGATACAGCCAAAGCGCTCATCACCGCCGTGCCCTTTATCTTCGGCGCCCCACTCGTCAGTCTCGTCGATGCTTTCAATCTCATGCACAACATCGCCAACTTCTGACGGTGAGCCATGGCTATACCCACCCGTGGATTGCTCAACAAGCTGTGTGTCACTTCCCTCCGTAACAACATCCAGGTCAATCAGTCCGCCAAGTGTGTAAGGGAATTTGGAGCAGCTGGTTGGTGTTCTTGGTGTCTCCAAGTCACTGTTACAACCAGCACTGCCAGTCCCTGGTGTACCTGCACGCTCAAAGATAGAGCCTGAACCGCTCGAGAAGCGAGACTCTGACGTTGAAATGCTAATTGCTGACGAACGACGATGTAAGCTTCTTCTTTGGGGTAATGCTGACTCGCCATTCAATACAATATTATTCGGTGATGTTTTAGAAGCTGGTAAAACGTTCCGAAGCGATGGAGATGATGGACAGCTGGTGCACTGGAACCAGCCCTTTGGGAAGGTATAGGATGACAAATGGTAATACAGCTCTTGCTCTTCTGTAATGCTTGTTTTGGTCTTTGTCCGTGGTGTTGCTGCTGTATATCCACTCAAACTGTACCTGTGACAGCTCTCGAGCTTGTACATCGGGTATGTATCCTCGTCAACGTTCACCGTCTTGCTTGCATCGATATTCGTATATTCGTCATCGTGGATAGTCATCATGTTATTCCAATCAGCTGAAGTGATAATCTGTGTAAGTCTTTTAGACTTGAGGCCAATAAGGGGATACTGAGAAGTAGTAGGAACTAACAGTATGTAGGTTAGAGGACTGGCGTAAGGGCCTATGCTCAACCTTTTTATATATCCCCAGTCCAGCTTCAACTTGTCATCTGAAGCATAGATATGTATGCATATCTCACACACGTTCCAGTGAGGGTGCATCATGCACATATACAATGCTGCTATAGCTCTCAAACCACTCAACCGTGTGTCTCTAGTTAGCAACGTTGGTCTGTCTTAAAGTTTAACCACTCCACTCCAATTCCTCTGATATACAGCCATCATCACACTGAATGAAACATATCAACGATCAGAATAGAAACTTTACACGAAGCATAACCCTAAATTTCCTAGGAGTTGCCACCTAATGTCCTGAGCTCCAGCACAACGTAGAGTATTGAGTTGTAGGGCACAACTGCAATTAACAGACTCCATATAATACTGAGCCCAGGATGCAACAAGCCAAAGCATAGAGTTTCATCACAGGTATGATTGGGCATCGGACGCTGAAATTTGTCTAGATCACGTTTATACAGCGCACATAATATGGAACTGTAAGCTTATGTGTGCAGTGTGGTTGATTAACGTTCATATTGTTATTAATAACGTGAGAGAGACGCTTGGTCCAACAACTGAACACAGCTGAGCCTCAACTTTCGTAGCTAACTCTGAAGCTTAATACGTTACTCGAGCATACATGCGCACTCTGGTGTGGTTTTGGCTGTAGATTTAGAGTTGGTTTCGACTTCAACATGCCGTAAGTTTATAGTGTCCTTTGCTACAAGTCAACTGAGCCAATCAGCGTTGCCATGGCTGGCCTTGCTGCCCACGTCAAATCCAAACCCAACTCATCAAACAATTAAAGTGGGGCAAAGACCTGTTGAGAAACTTAATAGACACCTGGGTTACAAAGCCTCAAGCTGGACTTGGCTGGATGACAGATTCTCAAACGTGTGTGATGTAAGCTGCCTTTCCTCTGGTGAGCTTGTTTCAAGCGAGCCTGCGCCGTCTTCCAAGGTTGAACACTGATATGCCAACATCGCGATAAGAGGACATGAAGTCTTGTTGTTGAATGAAGATAAGGCCCTCCATCGAAAGTCTGCTGAGAGTTACACACCTTGTGGCCACGCTCAAATCACACCATAGTGTGGTATAAGGGTGTGTATGCCCTCTGCTAAGCACAAGTGCTGACATAGATCGTTGGTGCAACAGATGCACTGAATATGCCGTGTATGTACACCATAACAATGTTAATGCATGAATATTACCCCGTCCAGACCAAACTCTGACGTGGTGATGAGCGTGTTTTCAAAGGAGTCTGATGAAGAAAGCCCCTCTCTGTGCTTCATCATGGGTTATTGTGCATCAGTAAGCAGTGACTAATGAACAATTGGTGTCGAAGAGTGCAGGACAGGTGCTCGAAACCTGGAAACGATCACCCTTCTAAGCCAGAATGTGCCTTGCTTATCAGTGACACCACAAGTCGTTATCATTTGATCTTTTGCTATAAAGACTATGCAAGCTTTACACGGTGCTAGGGAGATATGTGATGGATTTACTTTCTTCAGTTATACACTATGATCTGCTCTGAGGAGAAAGCATATGGCCTAAGATACCAGTTCCTTCCCTTCTTCTAATGCTGAAGTAATGGTTTGGCACGGCACTAAGGGAAAAGCAGCAATCTTGGTACGTTTCCTCCGTCCAAACTGGTTCGCTTTAGCGATGAACTGTACACCTCTGCTGTGCTTCCTGCTGTGTCTCCATGCGATGTCGTTTTAAGCTTTGGTGAACTCAACGCATCATAAGTTTGTTTGAAGGTATAATATACACATCTCGGCATGCCTCATACAGGTTCTTGAAACTAATACTTGCAACTTTATTCAGTAGATTGTAGGAGTCCGGTAAACTTTTCCATGCCCAGGAGATGGCAGTTCTGAAGGCATAAGTAGTACCAAGCAAATTAACTTTGATGGTTAAGCAAGGACACAGCTGGTAGTGCTGATCAGAGGGTCAATCTTGTTTCGTAATCACATTTCTAGATTTATCCAGGATTTATTCAGGATTTATTCAGGATTTACTTGAGATCAAGACATTATGGGTGTCGTTCCTGTGAACTGATTCAACATCTCAAGACACCCTGGTATCTGGCTACAACCCTACAATGTTGTACACGCTGTCTGTATCGAAATTCCTTTCCGTATATGAGAGCTTCAAGAAGTGGCCTACTTGAACCTCTAAATTTTTTGACAATGTGCAAATCACAACGCCAGATTTCACTGTCATGCCTCCATGTTTCAGTCTCCACACCTTGAGCAACTTGGCTAAACCTCGCTATACTCTATGACTACGGCGAAAACTCACACGGCCCACGTCCGTGAACGCATGCGTTGATATCTTCTAATCTAAAACTCTCGAAAACCTGCCTGAGTGTACTGAAGCGTGCAATTAATAAATCAGAAGTGTGGAAATATCATCAAGGTTCACCCGTTTCTCATGCACCGAAGCTTCGAAAGAACACCTCTTTCGGTATAGAAACACGAACTCCAGTGCATGGAAGCATTTTTTAGCTCTCCAGCCTTCCTTAAGTAGCTATGCATGGGATAATAATTCCTTTTAAACTGTGCTTTTAGATGTTTTAAAGGGCACTGATGTGTTCGTAAACTTGAGCACCTCAAGTAATGGAACGAATCGTACTGAATCAAACTGAAACAAGTAACAAGCATGGAGCATGTCGTAGGTACATTGACGTTCTATGTATAACTCTACGTGGACTCAGTTGGGATCTGCTGCGGAAAGTTCAACTATAGTGCCCTTTAATGTCAGCAAAAGCTGAAATCGAGCCTATGAGAGTGGCACTCTTGATACAATACAAGGCCCTAGAGCCTAGATCTGTCTGAATTCCAGCCAACAAGTGCCCATGGTCTCACAAGTTTGGAATTAATATCGATATCACCAAACATCACCGTCATATTTTACAATACGCGTTAGATGCAATGACCATAAGGTCACTAAGGGAACAGGGCATGATGTAGCTTCCATTATTATAATTATATATGCACTTTGCACTCCATTAGTTACTGGTTTATCTACTCTATGAGATATCATCACATCTGCCAACGCCAATGGCTGTTATAGAACATCAATACATGAAACATGATCTACAGGGAAAATGGCTGTTCTCATAGACGAGTACAGTATCTATCAAGGAGAGGGTAATCTCTGTGAACTAGTACGTACTAAAGAAGATATCCTATGTATCGCTCTTGGCCATGAGATGCTTGACATCACCTTCCGTATCTCTCCCTCTCGCACAAGCACGATTATTACGGAATATCCACACCCATACTCCATACACAATGTATAGTACATGCTCCTAGGCGAATATTGAAAACATTACTGTCTGATTAATATGTATCGAATTATTTAAAGAAAGGACACAACACATCGTATCTGTGCTCTCCTCTCCTTGACCTCCTCATCCATGTTTGAAACAATAACTTCAACAACTGTATAAAAACCTCAACCAAGATCAAGCTCTCAAAAAGACCTATTCATCGATAAATTCAGAAGAGAAAAGAGCCAATCAACTCTTCAACATTCCCAAAGTATGATGAATATCGAAAAATAATACTAGGAGACCTGGAGTCTACCAACAAAATAATACTCTTTCTGGTTTATCACCCAAGTTCACGTTCTGCACTGTCTAAACCAAGTTTATAAATAGTGTGTATAGTACGAACCAAACCCATGCCAGCACTCCAATCAAACATCAGTAGACATGGAGGCATGAGGTCAGACAGAACTGTGATAACCACAAGAGAAATATCAAACGAACTTTTGAAAACCAAACCGAACCCAAAAATGCAAACATGATGATGAGAAAACAAAACAAGATAAAACAATTCAACAAACAACTTTAAAGTCATGAGAGTGTAAAGAAGTAATAAAGATATAAAAGCGAAAATTCAACAGAAACCAAAGACAATGACAGCAACCTAGTGGCAAAAATCACCACCAGGAGTCAGTGTTGGAGGATCTGTTACCATAAGATTGACCAGAGGATTGGAAACCACCGTTACCATAGCCAGAGTTACCGTAAGAACGAGAGTTACCGTATCCAGATCCGAAAGATGAGCCGGAGTTGGCGTTGTAACCAGGTTGACGACGGAAATCTCTGGTGCTGTTATTACGGCCACCACGGCCACCACGACCACCACGGCCAGAGTTGAACTCACGTGAGATTGTAGTAAGGAAAGATGGAACTTCCTGGTTAGCTTCGGTCAAAATCTCAACAAGGTCCTTGACAACATTCTTGTTACCCCTGTTGAAGAAAGCAGTTGCAACACCAGTGTTACCAGCACGACCAGTACGACCAACTCTGTGGACGTAGTCGTCAATGTCTGATGGCAAATCATAGTTGATGACATGGGTAACATTTGGAATATCCAAACCACGGGCAGCAACGGCGGTGGCAACAAGGATTGGGGCCTTACCAGTTCTGAAGTACTCCAAAGCACGCTCACGCTCAGATTGAGTACGGTCACCGTGGATAGATGTAGCAGGGAAGCCCTGGTTGATCAAAAAGTCGGACAATGCATCAGCCAATCTCTTGGTCTCGACGAAAATCAAGGTCAATCCCTTCTCCTCTGCAGTCAAGATATCCAAAAGAACGGACTTCTTCTCATCCTCTTCAACGTACAAGATTCTTTGAGTAATATTCTCAGAAGTGGAACCAACCTTACCAACGGACAAGAAGATGTAGTCCTTCAAGAAATCACGGGCCAACATTTGAATGTCGGTTGGGAATGTAGCAGAAAACATGAGAGTCTGACGATCTTGAACATCTGGCATGTCACATTCCTGAACAATGTGTCTGATCTGTGGTTCGAAACCCATATCCAACATTCTATCAGCCTCATCCAAAACCAAATATTTGATGTTTTGCAAAGAGATACGACCTCTCTCCAACAAGTCGTTCAAACGACCTGGAGTAGCCACCAACAAGTCACAGCCACGCTCAATCTCTCTGAGCTGACTTCCAATATCAGCACCTCCGTAAACCACACAAGGTCTAACCCAGGATCTGTATGTGAACTTCTTGGCCTCTTCGAAGATTTGCGAGACCAACTCTCTCGTTGGAGCCAAAACCAAGGCAGTTGGGTAGGCTTTTCTTCTGGAGAATTGCGTGGTTGCTGGTGGAACTGGAGATGGACCGTTGGAGAATGACTCGGACAAGATTGGGAACAAGAAACCACCAGTCTTACCGGAACCAGTCTGGGCACAGGCCATCAAATCACGACCGGCAGCAACGATAGGGATGGAATACTTCTGTACCGGGGTTGGCTTTGTGAAACGGGCGAGCTTGACGTTCTCGAAGAGCAGCTCCTCCAAAGGTGGAGAGGTGAAGGAGGTGATTGGCTCGGGAACGTCATCACCGGTGGCCTCGACCGGGATGTCGTCGTAGTTGTCAAAGTTGATACCAGAGGACTGGAAGCTTGGATCGTCCGCCTCACCAAACAACGTCTTCTCCAGGGCCTCGTTTCTTGGAGCTGGAACGTGCTTCCCATCAACAAACTTACCCTGGCCAGCGTTTCTTCCTCTCTGGCCGCCGTAACCGCCACCGTAGCCGCCGCCATATCCTCCACGTCTATCGTTGCCACGACCGTAGCCAAACCCTCTGTTGCCACCGTAGAAACCACCCTCGTTGTTGTTTCTGTAGCCGCCGTTGTTGAAACGTGGTTGCGACTGGCCTTGTCCCTGCTCTTGTGGACGTCTTCTAGCGTGTGGTGGCACGTAGGACGAGGCTCCTGGTCCGCTAGCGGCAGAGCCGACGTTGAGCTCTTCAAAGTTCTTTTCAAGATTGTTTGCCATACTGAACTATTGCAATGATGTCTTTCCTTTATTATAAAAACAAAAAAAGAAGTCTTTTGTACTTTCTATATATACAAATCTTGTTGAGACTTGTTACCTTTTGACGGTGATTTTTTTTTCTTTTGCTTTTGGCGATGGGCGATGTGGCGCAAATTGGCACAGATGGAAAAATTTTTCATCTCAGCGACAAAATTATCAGAATTCGGATACCCTGTGCAGATTTGGCGAAACCCCTCGTAAAAGTTCGCGAATGTCCCGTAAATGCCAAATCGGGAAGTTTTTCACCCCCGACACTGCGTCCAAGGCGCTGTTCGCTTGCATGGATGTCTTCTTTGTTGATTTGATTCATTTGATTCATTTGATTCATTTGATTCATTTGATTCATTCTATGGAGGCATTGGTTCACATTGGAAGGGTGTTCGTCAGGTGGTTTAGTCCTGGTGCGTGCTGGTGAGGGAGGATGTTTGGGGCTTCAGCACGCTGGGCGTTCCAAGCAGCTTGCTCGCCAGGCTCAGTTGTGGAGTATGAGCTCAATTGTTAAGTACGAGCTCAGTTGTGAAGTATGAGCTCAATTGTTAAGTACGAGCTCAACTATGAAGTACGAGCTCAATTGTGAAGTATGAGCTCAATTGTTAAGTACGAGCTCAACTATGAAGTACGAGCTCAATTGTGAAGTACGAGCTCAATTGTGAAGTACGAGCTCAACTATGAAGTACGAGCTCAGTTGTGAAGTATGAGCTCAAGCTGTATGCCTGTCTGATGGATTCCTCTCATTGAGGTGTTACCACTTTGTACTATTTATATAACGTAGGATGTTGGCCATGAACCCATACTCTGAGCCCTGTGCCCATTATCTAACATACACAGCACCTCGATTGATTGCGTATTCTGCTCACTGAAAGAATATGCCTGACACTAAGCTCGAACTCTCTAACACGGTCTCGGATATCTCCCCTTCAGACAGCATTGGCTCCAACGGTGAGGCCAACGGCGAGCTCCAGGTCCTCCAAGCCTCCTGGCGAGGAGACAGATGGAGAACGTTCAAGGAATCCTTCAAAAAAGAAGCTCCACGGGAATATGACTTGGAAAACAACGATGTGGAGTCGAAATCAGAAGACAATGCAATCTCCAACAGACACGTTGTTATGCTTGCACTAGCTGGCGGATTGGGCACTGGCTTGCTCGTCGGAGTTGGTGGTGGCTTGGCCAGGAGTGGTCCTGCTGGCTTGCTTATGGCATTCACGATAGTTGGTGCTATGGTTTATCTCACAATGGGTGCTGCTGGAGAATTGGCAGTTGCCTATTCAGCTGTGCCTGGTGGATTCAACTCCTACGCAAGACGGCTTGTTGACCCTTCGCTATCGTTTGCTGTTGCCTGGAACTATTGTATCAATTGGTTTACTGTCTTGCCCTTGGAGCTAGTGACGGCTTCAATGACCATCAAGTTCTGGGACCCTCATACAAATGCAGACTTGTACGTCTCTATCTTACTTGTGATGGTTTGCATCATCAACTTCATAGGTGCTCGAGGCTACGCAGAAGCTGAATTTTGGGCAAATTCAATCAAGGTGACCATGCTCGTCGGCTTCATCGTTCTTGGTATACTCATGGATGTTGGGATTTGCGGGACTCAAGGCAAAGTTCTCTTCAAATACTTTTCGAATCCAGGTCCCTTTGCCAATGGATTCAAAGGTGTCTGTGCTGTCCTTGTGACGTGTGCCTTCTCCCTTGGAGGAACAGAGTTCATGGCATTGTCAGCTGCTGACCAGAAGAAGCCACGGAGGGCTATCCCATCTGCCGTGAAACAAGTTGGATACAGACTAATCTTTGTTTACTTGCTCTCGATATTGCTCATTGGAATGCTAGTTCCCTATGATTCACCTTTTTTGATGGGGTCTGGTGGGAATAGAGGAGCACCAGTCTCTCCTTTTGTCATTGCTGTGAACTCTGGATCATTCAAGGCTCTGCCACATATCATCAATGCCGTGATTCTAGTTGCCCTTTTCTCGGTCGCCAACGCAGCATTGTACTGTTCTTCGAGGACTTTTTACTCTTTAGCACAACAGGGATATGCTCCAAAATGGTTTGACTTTGTCGATAGGAAGAAAAGACCCACGAGGGCAATGCTTCTATCAAGCACACTAGGGCTATTCAGTTTGATTGCAGCGTATCCTGACCAAGAGTCTATATTTGTCTGGTTGTTGTCGTTGTCCGGTTTGGCTTCACTCTTCACTTGGGGTACAATCAACATCTCCTTCTTGAGGATGAGATCAGCCATGAACGTACAAGGATTCAGTACGAGCGAGCTTGGTTATGTATCGTACTTTGGTACTCCGGGATCATGGGTCGCCATTGTCATCATAGTGGGCACCCTTGTGTCCCATTTCTGGGTCTCGTTATTCCCCTTTGAAACCAATGGTGTGTTTGACCCCGTCAACTTCCTCCAGAACTACTCGGGCTTTCCAGTTCTATTGGTGTTTTATATTTCGCATAAGGTGTATACCAGAAACTGGAGAATTTGTATACCTGCTGACGAGATCGATTTGGTCACTGATCGAAAGATATTTGATGCAGATGTCCTATACCAAGAGCACATTGAAGAGGAGAGGAGGTTGAAAGAAGGGCCTCTGTTCAAGCGCATTGTGGCATTCTGGTGTTAGGCACCTATATCCCAATGATCACTTTGAATGCCAATTCGTTCTCCCAGTGTTAACTTCATAGATAGCTGACCTCCACCGTCCATTGTCCCTCCATAAGTATCTCTGAGGTGAGACCTCAGAGCTAACTATGACTAACACATGAAACTGTGTAATAGTAACCAGCTGTAGTTCCATTGTACAAGTAAGAACAGGCACATTGACATGGTATTGAAATGGCCTAATACATCACCCTTCACGTAAGAATTCCAAACTTGCTGCTCAGGAGTGTGAGCCTTCCTTTTTGTTCAATCACAGGCCAAATATTCATTGAAGCTTTGATATTTCAAACAAACCAATATTGGCTCTCATGATATACAGTGTGGTGTGTATACATTAGTTCCTCTTAATACTATACATGTCTCCACTCACAGAATGCAATATCATCCTCAGTTATTCAGATTCAAATCCTCAATGTGAAGTTCTTTCGAAGTTGAGGTTTGTATCAATGGAGTGTTTGTAGTGGTTCGATGTGGAGTTTCAATCCCTTGCCCATCACTAGGTACAAAATGTGTGGAAAAATCTTGGTCGTCAATATCTACTCCAGAATCTTCATCTATAGCTTCCTCATCAACGTCATCTGAGATCTCATCTGGCTCTTCTAAGCTGAACTTTGGTTTGTTCAACTCCTCGTAGTTAATCTTGTTCTTCTTCGACAGCAAGTGAACAAAGGATTTCTGCTGCTCTCTAACGTTCCAATTCAACGTCCGACTGACACTTTCAAAATACTCTGTTGGGGAGCTCATAACAGTTGGAAAGGAGAAAGGGCTTGCCGATATGGAGATGTAATCTCCCTTCATGAGCTCGACTCTTGCCCTACCGTCAAAAGCTGCCCACGCCGTTGCTCTGCTTCTCTTTGGCACTTTCACCTTCAAAACCATACTATCAGGCAGCAAAATAGGCCTGAATGACAGCGTGTGAGGACAGATAGGCGTAACGGAGATGACGTTAACAGCAGGATGCACCAGCGAGCCTCCTGCTGAGAGAGAATACGCAGTAGAGCCCGTAGGCGTGGCAAGAATTAACCCGTCAGCCTGTGCCACTGTAAGCAGCGAGCCATCACCATAAAGCTCAAGCATCGACACAAATGGAGACGGGCCTCTATCGATGGTAACCTCGTTCAACGCCTGTTGTTCACACACAAGCGATCCATCTGCTCTATGAACACGACACGCCAACCTCATTCTGAGGTTCGTTCTAACGCCCTTCTCCAGAACAGCGCTTAGCGAGTCCCTAAACTCCTCGAACTGGAACGTCGTCAAGAACCCTAGGGAGCCCAGACTGAAGGACATCACCGGTGGAACCGATCTCTGGAACAGAGAAGACACGAAGAGCACGGTACCATCACCACCGAGCGTTATCACAAGGTCAATCGTCGTGGCCCTCTCCCGAACAAACAGCTTGTCCCAGTATCGCAGAGCAGTCTTAGCCCTTGGCACCTCTTTCATCAACCCCTCAGCATTGAACCGCTTGCTCTTCTCCAGGTGGTAGTCCACATACACCGTGATTCTCGGGTGATTGGTCAAGATCCACTCAGTCAACTCACGCGTCAGAAACACCAACGAATTGTCCCTGGCCTTGGTCACTATCAGCACCGTGTGTGCGTCCAGCGTCACAGTGGCCTTGTACAGATTCTTCGACAGCATACGTACCCCGTGGGCCGTCTCCGCCAGCTTAGCATGTGAGTGCGAACTCTTGAGGTTGGTTGAAGAGTTGGATAGCTTGCGCAACATCTTCACAGGGTCATTCGTATCATGAGACCTTCTACCCACACTGTGTCCTCCACTAGTGCCTTTCTGAGATTCCTTCTCCATCGTTACTCGACCAATTGATCCTTAATGGGCTCGCTTCCTCGTCCTCTTCGATGAGCTCTGTGTAAGAATTCGGCTCAGTTCCTCGTTGAGGGAAGAGGGTCCCCCGGGGAAATTATTTGCATTATTTTATACACAGCGGAACCGGCACCCCCCCTCGCCAGAAAATACAGACGGTTGGACTCAATTGGCTCCATCACCGGCATCGCAGACCTGTACAGTTGCTTGATTTGCTTGTAAACGACGGCTATGTAGTCCAGGTGTGTGTAGAAAGCACGTCTTTGGTGGCTTTGGCTGTACAAGCCCGCGTGAGTTGGGAGAGCGCAGAGGAAGAGGAAGAGGAAGAGGAAGAGAGCTAAACGATGTAGTAGTTTCTATATATTGAAGAGGTAGGCGAAAATACGGGTTGTCTATAAAGACAGAAGGTCTGTCCCACTATGGGTTCACTTCCTTGACACGGCACTGCCATCCATTCTTGTCCAGCAACGGTAAGGACGCACCTAAGCACCATCCAAGTTCGTTGTTGGCAATCTTCTTTGCAGTTCTGAGCTCCCTGTGCAATGGGATGTCATAACCAGTGTGCAACAATGCCACTTGGAATGATAGGTCCAGACACCATTGTGGCTCCTCGGCTAGTTCCTTTAGGGAACCGTCAATGGCACCAAGCGCAGAGGTCCATGTTGACTCACCGTTGCACACAACCTTTGCAAGATCTCTAAGTTCTTCCAACGTGAACGATGATGGCATACCCAATGGGTTGGTTCTGTCGTAGAAGTAGGAGAACACGTACAGATCGGATGACTCTCTGAAGGTTCTCACGAGAGAAGGTTGATGGACACCGTTGAAAGAACATGGAGCAGTCGTACACTCGGCATCCTTCTTCAAGATTGCCTCTGCGAGGAATCTACACTGAGCACCTACTGGTGTCTCTGAGCCTTTGAATGTGATGGAATATTTCTCTCCGCTTTCCAACTTCACTTCAACGTTTTTGGCCTCGAGTCCTGGTGGGATACATGGAGACTCCAAAATCGCAGTCTCTTGGTCAGCAGACATGTCACCATTCTTAATGGCAGTCTGCACGATCAGAGAGTTGATTTTGTTTCTGCCAGCCATCAATCCATATCCCAGGTGAGAGAATTGGTACAGTTCAAAGTCTCTGTTACCGAAACTGATGTCGTACTTGTGTTCACCTTCAACCATCTTTTCGCCATTCTTGAACTCTGGTTCAAAGACAATCTGTGTAGAGCCACCACCAAGGTCAAAAACAGCAGCAGTTGGGAACTTCTCTGACGATCCAATGTTACCCAACAAGTAGTTTGCCGTGATCCACGCATAGACACCTTCATCGTCACCACTCATGATGGAGACACCATCACCAGAGACCACAGCGAATGGGTAATTATCCTCCAAATGTGAACGAACACCTTCCAAGATAGCCTTGGATTTCTCTTCTCCTAATAAACGGAGACCCGCAGTGGCCTTCACAGCCACAGGTGTACAACCTCTGGAGCTTGCTGGCACGGTATCGAGCGCAATCTTTAACAGTGGGTCCAACGAGAGAGCAGCACCTGTTACATCGGTATCAAACGATGACAAACCAGGTTTCAGCATCTCAAAGGTTTCCTTCAACAACTTTGGAGGAGAATAACATGTGTCAAACTCATAAACGTGGATTCTTGAACCAGTAGATCCCGCATCAATCATGACAACGTACTCTGTATCCTTCTTACAGTTTGTCACCGCGTTGCTATTGTCCTTGAAATCTGCTTTGGAGCCAGAGCCTTTGTTACCCTCAACAGCGTCTTCTAACTGCTTCCCACTTTGGTTATCCTTATCAGGAACCCCTTCGTAAGGCTTGTTGGAGTCCTTGGTGGCTGCAACACTGCTGCCCTTTCTACCGCCGTTTGACGATCCAGATCCAGAGTTCGAGCCCTCTGGCTTTGGAGCCTCCTTCAACGGAGCGCCGTCATCAACAGCCTTTGGGCTCTGTTCAACACCTGCGCTCTCCAAGTCTTTCACAGAATCGTCAGCAAACTGGGGAGAGGTTCCAAAGTCCACCTTTGGAGTGTCGTCAGCACCAACACGATCGTTTGATCCCTTTGTCTCAGCGTCAAACTCACCAGCGGTGTTATGAGTGGATTGAGAAACGCCCTTAAAGGACTCCTGGGCTTTGTCCAGAGATTGTGACACGCTCGAAGGAGACGTGATCAGGAACCCTACAATTCCAAGAATCACCAGCGTGGCAAGAAGAAAACGTGAATTACGCACTGTCAGAGCAAGACCAGCCATCTCTCTGTTGATATTATCGGTATATTTCCTCCAAGAGATGTGATCCTGTCGCCGTAAAGAGAAAGAGAGAGAGGTGGAAGAAGAAAGTTCTTGGGGAGCACGAATTTTCACTTTTGGCCCTTTGGCTTTGGCTCGCGTCGTTCCACGAGGGACCGCGTAGTGGGCAGTGGGTTTTTTCCTCTCCTTTGCACTCTCTGTGCGTGTGTGTAACAAAAGCGTACTGGGGGAGAAAAATTAGCTGGGCTTTAGCTGGGCTTCGCTTAGGCGGTGCCTATGTTACGATGGTGAAGATAGGTGATAACTGTGTGAAGGAGGCTTAAGATGTCACGTAACTCTGACAAGGCCAATACAGTGCTATTCCGGTACCAAGAGCAGCAGGCTGAAGCTAATGGCTATATCGACTATAACTCTACGCAGAGGCCACGTGCGGTTCAAAAGGTTTCAACTCTGAAAGATGCGGAGGCATGGAGGAAGCAAGTGTTGACAGAGATCAACCAAAAGGTGACGAAGATTCAGGATGTTTCACTGTCCGATTATCAGCTGCGTGACCTCAACGATGAAATCAACAAGCTCATGCGTGAGCGGGTTGCTTGGGAATATCGAATCAAAGAGCTCGGTGGTGCGGACTATAAGATGAGCTCAAATTCAAAGATAGCTGGAGGGGTGGTTATACGAGGTTATAGGTATTTTGGAAGAGCCAAGGAGTTGCCTGGTGTGAAGGAGTTACTGGAAAAGCAACAGATGGAACAGAGGGAGAAACAGCAGATGAAGAATAAGATGAAAAATAATGCCCAAAGGTTGAAAGAGCTGGAACAGAGAGTCGGGTTGGAATACTACGGTTATCGGGATGAAGAACCAAGAATCAACGCGGACAATTCGAAAAAGGTCCTCAGACATGCAAAGGACATACTTGGAGATCTACTACAGACTGACCAGGAAGTGGAGATTCACGCGGATGATGATGATGAATGTAAAGCTGATACTGATGCCTTGTTGAAGTACGAACGCAAAATTACCAGGCAAAGATTGAAACAGAAGAAGCAATGCAATTCACCAGAGTTCACCTTAGACTCCGAAGAACCTCCAACTCTCCAGCAGATGGAAAAGATCATTGTGGATAGAAGAAGATTACAACTCGAACAGAGGCTAAATTTGTAGAATGTGTTTGTTTGAATTTAATGGGTCAGGTCAAAATGGAAATAACGAACTATAATGCATAACAGTCATAAACAACTTCAAATATTCCAAATGCCATGTGTGCGGTTTCGGTCTAAGATGTTGCTGTGGCTATGACAACATCTCCTTTACCTGCAAAGCCTTAGAAATCATAGGGCATTGCACTTGTTTAAGTGGGAACAGTATGAGCACCAGCAGACCTGTCCGCTTCATCTCAAATTATCGATCATGTTAGGGGGCTTCCTCTTCGAAAACTAGGTGACTTATTGCTCTAGTCCGATAGGACCCCATGTTGAAGTATCAAAGGCTCTCTCGTCTTGTTCAGACTTAGAGCTAGATCCGTTCAGAGAACTCGTCGAAGCTGGGTTGGTCTTTCCTTCTGCTTCGTTTTCTTCTGCGTCTTCCCCTGAAACGCCCACGGATCCCTTGGAGCCCTTGGAACTCTTGCTGGAACTCTTAGAGCTTCTGATATCCACCTTTTGTTTCTCGTTAGAACCAACATTAGACTCTTTATAAGTGGCCTTTGAAGAACCAGAATCACTATCTTCCTTTGGTTCAATATCGGCATTAGATCCCTTCAGTGTTTTCTTCAAAGATGAAGTGCCCTGTACCTTATCCTCTTCCTTGCCCACTTCTTTTTGGTTCTCTTCTTCTTGGTCATCTTCTCCAATCTCTTCAGGTTTCGTATCAAAAGTCATCAAAACGCCTGTACTGTCCTCTTGAGCTTGCGCATCCTCTGAATCAAATTGAGACTCCAGCAAAGAACCATCAGCGGAATCATCAGAAACTCCAGAACCATGAGTCACTTGAACAGCAATATCGTCATCACTGAGTTCGTCTGGCTCGGCAGCCATAACAACTTCTTCATCCACAAGTTCCAACTCGCCAATCTCTTTAAAAGAATCCTTGTTCTCCACAGCAGCGTCATTGAATGACTCAGCTTCATCATCAGCTTTGGTATCCACTAATTCTCCACTCTCTCCATTCAAGGCGTTGCTATCATCATTTCTCTCAGTATCATAGCCATGGTCCTCGTTATCAGTTCCCCAATGTGAGTCAAAAGCCTGCGATGAAACGCTCTTGTAAGCCTCTTGAAAGGTCTCCTTCGCTTTATCCACAGAGATTGAAACCTCGCCAGGAGATCTCGTCGTAACCCATACTAAGCCAATCAGAAATAGCGAAGCGACGGTAAAACGGAGTCTACGAGGTCTCGTCAATGTCAACATCGTAATTCTAGTGTTTATACGCCAATATAAGTCTGTCTAATCAGTCAAGGTCAACGGACAATTGCAATGCAGCCGAGATTTGTCTTCAGACCCTATGTACCCTGCGTTGTGTATCCTCAAGCGGGGGGGGCAGCCAAAATGGAGGAAAATTTTTCTGCTCAGCCGGAGACGGACGCACCGCCTACGCCGATCACTTTGATCAACCGGCCAAGATGAAACATCTGTAGGCTATGCCAGCAGCTACAAGTTACTAGAATCGGCATGGACGTATACTCATCGCAGCGTAGAGAGTCTCAATTGAAATTTAAATCCTGAATTGTTTTGGTTGTCTCTTGCCAGAGTGTTTTGTAAGTTTCATTACCAAGCCATTTACATCATTTGATGAAGATTTCAAATACGATATAGGTCACTGGGGTGTGGATGGCAGAGGCCCCCACCATCTCCACTTCAAATGTTATGGTTTGCACCATGGTTGAGCATACGAGGTGCACTTTTCACCGGGATGAGTACACCCTCGTCGGGTTTAAGCCAATACAGCAGATCAAGTCATCTACAAACATTTGTCTTGAATAGATAGAAAGTCGATAATAAACATGTCATTTATCCCATAATCTTTTCCCCCATTCCTTACTCCTCTCTCTCTTTTCTTTACAAGGTGATTCAAGTTCAAACAAAATATATACAAAACTGAGCTGTAAATGTGACAACGATACAACAGAATGCCATCTATCAAACACGGGCATCCTGTGACCCAAGCACATCACATAGAGAACTGAGACAAAACAATCAAAGAAAAGAAAGAAGCACAACGGAACAGAAAAATGGAAAAACAAAAGTAGAAGAAATCACATCACGATTTCCTTCTCTCAATAGAACATTATATTGCGTAACACGTCGTTAAAGTTGAAGAATGTATGTGTATAGTATGGTTTTCTTTAAATTTTCATCTTTTCGGGGTTCCAAAAGGACTCAAATCTACTTACAAGCGCTAGCCAAGTAAGTAACCAAATCGTTTCTGTCCTTCTCCTTCTTCAAACCACCAAAGGCCATCTTGGTACCTGGAATGTACTTCTTTGGGTTCTCCAAGTAGTCAGACATGGTTTGCTCGGTCCACACAACGGCCTTCTTGATGTTGGCATCAGTGTAAGAGTAACCAGCAGCTTGACCAGAAGCACGGCCAAAGACACCGTGCAAGTTTGGACCAACCTTGTGGGCACCACCAGCCTCAACGGTGTGACATTGGAGACATCTGGTCTTGAAAAGAGTAGCACCCTTCTTCTCGGAACCCTTCTTGTATGGAGCTGGCATTGTGGTACAAATAAATTAATAAAACAACAAAAAAACACTTGTTTGTCGATGGTGTCTGCTTGGTAAAATGTTTTGAAACGGGAGACACACTTGCTCTTTTATACGGAACCCAAGAAAGCCTCCAAATCCATCGACGGGGAGGGAAAAAAAACTTACATGGCTGTTCTCCCTTGGATTATGAATTCCAGCGCTTTGATTGGCCCGGGCAGAAACGCATGGGGGCACGTCAAGCGCCATTCCGGTACCTTGAGATAGTTTTTCTTCGTCGCTACTGTGCTGTAACCTGTGGTGAATGGAGACGTGTTTGCAGATATTTAAAAGACGAATATGGATTCTTTACAGGATTCATTTTCATTTCCACCCTACTTTACTTCAAAAAGCCAGTTGGTCTATGACGAGGTACCGGTTCGACCGTGCTGTTATCGATTCTTTGTTCAGGTATTTGTATGGGATACGCCTCTGGCACTGTAACCCAAGAACCGACGCGTGGCCATTGGCTGCGAGGTTTAACCTCCGGAACTTATCGGCGATATCTCCGGACAGCGCGAGGCCTGAAACCAAAACCCGTGCGAGATTCCAGAGTTATCTTTGAGCAGTAGAAAAAGAAAGGGAAAACGTCATGTACGTAGATTATAGGGTAGTCAACAGACATTCGGGGACTGCTGGATGAATGCCTTTCTATCATGAACTATATACCATAGGGGGAATTGTCAATTCACAGACTTGAAGGTCAAATGAATCTGACAAAAACGTTTATCTAAAAGATCTGGAAAAACATCTCCGAGAGTTTGTCTTTTCTCGACTCGAGCCACAGTGTTTGTCTTTTCTTTTTGTTTTGTCCAAACGATGTCCATCGCCTCCGGACAATAAGATGTCGTAACTAGGAGCCTGGAGACTAAAAGCAGGCATAAGTCATGAAAACCATCATAAGGGGAGTCGCAATTCCGAACAAAACTGCCTAGTTGCTCATAGGGAATTCATCGTCAACTATTGCTCCGAAGCTAGAACTGGCCTACAATGCAGAGAGTTGATCTGTTTCATTGTTTATGGTTGGTTTCAAGCACCCGTTCAGTTCGGTGTTAGGATCCGTTTCCCAGGCAATGAAAATTTTCATTTCTTTTTGTATTTTTTTCCAGGCTGTGGTTTGCTCACCAACTCTTCTATGGCTTGCTGCCTTCAGGGACCTTACAATCGATAGCAAACCAATCCGTTAGTGTCGATGGTTAAAGGGACGTGTGGGATCTGTATTGACAACGATGCAAAATACAAATGTCCTAAATGCGACGTTGTTTACTGCTCGTTGAAGTGTTTTAAGGATCCAAAGCACGTACACAGCAATGACAATGAGACTGGAACACTATCCGCAACAGTAGCAGATGCAACCCAGCCAATTGAACCTGTAGTTGGTACTACAGAGTACCAATCAGTATTCCAAGATGAAAGGATAAGGTATCTACTCAAGTTTGAAGCATTGAGAATCCATCTCTACTCAATTTACAAAATCCTCAAAGATGAAAAATTGACAAGGGAAAAGAAGTTAGATCAGGCTAATGAGAAGCTAAACTCTTTAAGAATTGCCGGAGCTCAGGAGAACGAATTGGTTGAAGAATTTTGCGAATTGGTGGTACAACTAATACAAAAGAAATGATCAAGCTGAAAGTTTCAGTTTTGGTCTCAACAATCCCCTTTGCCCCTTCACTTTGATTCTAAAGATTGAGCCTCCGAGGTCTTGGACGTTTTCACCTAATCTGGCAGGATCCTCCAACTGCAAATTTGCAGTGGTTATGAATAATTCATCCATATTAATTCCTCCAAAGGTACAAGCGGAGATCCTCTGTGCTGGAAGCGTAAACTTTTCCACGAGTGTCCCTTCAGCGTTAAAATGGGCCACTGTCCCTGTGGACCACACGGCAGTGAACAAGTCACCAGATTCGCTGAGAGTAAATCCATCAGGCTCTGGTGATTCAACATCAGGGTACACAGCTCTAATGTCGATGAAGACCCTCTTGTTAGAAATTTCCCCCTCGTGATAATCAAAGGCATATATCTTTAGATCCAGGGAGCTCGTCCAGTACAATGTTCTTCCGTCATGACTCCAGTTGATACCATTCGAGATTAGAACATTAGGGATCACAGTTGTTACTTCATCCGTCTTTGTATCTATCTTCAACAACGCACCTTCTTCAATTGGACCGTAATCGAACGAACCCATGACACCTTGCCAGATGTTACCTTCCGGATCGACGTTTCCATCATTTGATCTCAACTTGGAACCGTTAGGGAATAACCATTTATATTTGAACTCGCCAGTGGTTAGTACGTATTTGGCAATACCGCGCTTGCCGCCTAGATAGACCACGTCGTCATCGTCGGTTAAATATATAACACCGATATATTCATCAGGGATTACAAACTCCTCATGGGACTGCTCGACTTGTTTCTTCTCCTGAGAAGTGTAGTTATCCGCGCTTGTAGCTGGGAGTCTGACTCGGTGGAACTTTCCTGCAATGATATCAACCCATAACAGTGTGTTGTTTGATGGATTGTAAGTTGGGCCTTCTGAAAGGCGCCCATTGTAGTTCAAGAATGGTTCAGTTGGCATTGTTAAACCTCCTCAAGATGTTATACCTCCTTGGAATAACCCACGAGATTGTTAAAGAAGAGATAATAGCCCGTGAGGCTCCCCTTTTTCTGGTATGTGTGTGATCGTTCTACGGATAATTTATCGGGGAGATGTATCCCACCATTAATCAGTGCTTTCTAATTTTCAGTGCGATCCACACATTTTGCCCTTGCTGAGCTGGTGAAGATACGTGATCGAACACTTGGACAGCACGCTCACTACACCTGAAGCTCTCACTAACCAAGTTCAGATTAGAGCGATAAGTTCATTTCGTACAAAGTCGGTCTTTGAGAACTTTTAGAACTAGTACTCTATGAAGAGACCAAATGGTCCTGCGTGTTCATGTACATACGCCAATTGTAAATTATCATTGCAACATAAATTTAGCACTTGATACTTTAATCAGTCTTGGGAATTCACGTCGTATTCTTTTCAATGCAACTCTAAATGGTCACTACGCTACTCACCTATGTGCCTCATGAGCTATTTCAGTCATTTACAAACTCACAAACACCTCCTTGTTTTGATGTTGCCATAGCACACAGGAGAGGATTTTCGATTTGACTTTTCGTAAGATCTTACAGTTTGTCTGCTTTTTTTTTTCGTCTGTTAACGACCGGGACGCACACCGCAACACCGTATGTGTGTGAAAGTATCCGTGGGCTTTTCTCACCAGACTGGTGAGTTTTAGCCACTCAGGACGTGGACAATAACATACGACCTCCAATGTACGAATCGGTCACCCTCAGACCAAGCCAGCTAGTGGTACTCTGGAGCCAGGTGGGTCACGAGTTAAGAATGTACACTAGCTTCTGGCCTATGTCCAGAGTCCAGGTCCCATTTGGAATGGAAGTTTGATGACTTACCTCATGTGTGCCAGTAACGAATAACACATTGCACTGCTGTGCGCTAGCCTGTTGGAATAACTTTGTTCGCTTCAACTCAATCATTCAGAGAGCTCCATGATCTAGATCGTTTGACCATTCCTACGTATCCATGACGTCCATAATTTTCGCCTGTTGGAATTTGAGCATTGTGCACTGTGTCGTTTGGGAAGTTACGGAGTTCCACCTCATACTGTTTCCCACTACATGAGACATACATATCGTGGCCCAATTACTTTAACTGGGTATATCAATGATGTCGGACGCTTCACATCAATCTTATTTGAGTGCATTCTAAGAGGAGCTGAGATTGCGAAAGGTTGAGAGTTTCCGAGGTTTGAGAGCTTGTGCAAACTTTGTTTCACCTTCCTTACATCATTAGTCTGGACATTGCAGGTCGATCTGAATTCTAAATGCGCGTAGCCCCATGTGCCTTAAGAATGTATTCGTCCAACTAGCCGGGGGACGTTGAATAGCGTCAGTATCTCATAATCAAAGGTGGTCATTGGAACATCTCGGTTGTTGGGGGCCATACAACACACCTTCGTTTACTGCTGTGGACTAGTTCATAAGGTTGCTATCGTTAAGGTTCAAATTAGGTGGCATATTTTCTAACTTGTATGTGTGTATGGGAGCTACTGATGAAAAGTCGGACTGAATAGTTAACCCCTCTCCCCTATTGTTCTTCATTCCAGGAATAAATGTACCAGTACAAACACTTTGGATGATATTTCACTACTTAATCATGGTGGTGGTGCATATACCTAATTCACGCTGCTGCAGACGCCAAGGGTGCTGCCATATATGCTAGCTGAAAACCAAGTAAAAAGTTTAAGACTTATTTGCAATTGCTCAGGGCAGACAGTTGAACTTCATAGATAATACTTTAGCTTGAATGGTTGCGTGAGCGAACAGAATCTCTATGATCCAACGGATATGTAGTGTTTAGTATCATTTTAGATATAGATGTCAGTTCAACGCTTTAAGATAGCTAAACACTTGTAGCGCATGGGCAAGCTGGTAGCCACTGGACGTTAACGAAAAAAGGGTTCAGTTTGAAGTGCTTCGAAGATGTCGGCGAGTGATCAGACTACCAAGCGAAACATATATAGTGTACCACAATTGGGGACAGACTCATGGCCATGCCAGCGTGGCTATACATTCGTTTACAATGGAAATCACGAAACTTTCCTATACTGCAACTGGTCGATATTGTCCATCAGATATATGGTGAAATGCTCATCCCATGAGTTGCAAACACTGAGCAGTAAAAGACTCCCCATGCACTTCTGGAAATAAAGGAGACTGGTGCGTTATAGTCAAACCCCATCACGGCGAATGTGCCCTGCTAATGGCTACAGACAATAGCTTTGATACGTCTTACAAGTTACATCGTCGTCGAAGATGATTGACATCGCTATACATGCTGTTTTCGTGGAAATCACGCATACACGCCCGATCGCAGTACATTTGGAGCTTCCATCCGAACGTTTTTCATTCAAGCCTCCAATCACTGATCAGTACCATGTTTTGAAGTTGACAAACTCATGGATTGCTACATATGCGGTGCTTTAGAGTCTACACACACTAGAGGGGACAAAATCCAAATTACTCACTCGCATACATACATAAATCACGTACACAACTTGGATGAATTCACACTGGTGACATTATGTCGTCACGCCAAAGCCGGGAGTGGAACAGAAAAAAGGGGAAATTCCAACAGACAACTACAGGCTCAAGATACTGCAAACCGAATTAATCTATTTGTCCAGGAGTTGCCAACGTCGACCGAGTCCATGACTCCTCAAAATTCAAATAGGGAACGAGACGGCTGTTGGCTCTCTTGGACTCGGGCTTCGGGTTTCTTTGTAATTATTACGATGTTGTACGCCCTTGTATTTTATAGCTGCTGGCGGAATTCACATGTACCATCAAGCTAGACACACATAAAAACCACATGAGAGATTAGCGCAAACCCTGCTATTGGGTTGGCGCACGTCCGCCCAAAGAACATCTAGGCAAAAAACCAGTGATCGTCTGAAATTGTGTTTTCCAAAGCAAATAAGTGACCAACCATAGCATTTGACGCTGGGAAAAGGGAGTCTCGTGGCTGAAACTACGTACGCTTGGTAAGCAAACGGTTGATGGCCTGTGGTTTGCTAATGTCTTCATATGGGTAATGGGGATTCACGAACTTGTGAACTATATCGATTGTAGATCAGTAAAGTAATGTCTACGTACATCCCATGTATAACAGGGGAGGCTAATATAAAACTTGGAAGAGGCGAGGCAAAAGTTGTCCCCAAAGGTGATGAAAAAAGGGAGGAAGAATAAACGGGAAATTTACAGGGAAAAAAAGAAAAGCGGAAGGAAAAAGAAAAGAAGCAGGAGCCAGTGGTTAATTTTGAGTACCCAAAAGAAACTGTGCAGCTGTAAATTGTGGACCAGGTAGACACCAGAAGCTGGCTAATTTTAGGGAGCAACTTGGAGCTAAGTAATTTTGTTGTAGACTCTGAATATTGTTGAGTCAAGACTCATGAGTATTATTCATCCTACACCGAAGCTGTTGATTTGTATTGGGGATGGTGTAGTGTTGGCACTGTTGGTCTTTGTCTGCTGTAAGTGTAGTCTGGACCTTTTCCAAAACAGCATCGGCTAGTGGAACGGGCTACGGAACCCTACGGAGAGGAGGGCAATGGCAAAGACCAAAGAAAAGGATTGTCCTAATATTAACATTGGCCTGCGATACGTGACGCTGTGGACATCATGCATAACGTCTCAAAATTCTCATTTTGTTTTGCAGTTCGAGAAACTGCTAACCCAAGCAGCTGCCCAGTAAAGAAGCCTTTTTTCTCGGACACTTTTGTGGGAAAGTTTTTCTTTTGGGGCAACATTATACAGACACGTACGTACATTCATGAGGCTTTGATCACATACACCACATGTAGCTCGCACTTTAAAATTATGAAGCTCACAGAGTGGCATACATATCTTCACCTTAAGCTGGGCTGTTTGTAGAGAAGAGAGGGTTTATATATGAAATGGGTCGCCAAATATTCTTCATCCATTCTCTACTTTCCCAGATTATCAAAAGACGAAACACTCAATTCAACTCAACAACATGGATATCTCATTCCTATCACCAGAGGCGTTCATCCAAACGGCGCACAAGATGTATGCCCTGGACTCACTTGATCCAAATACGAACTGCGAACTGTTGGCTCTAATATCAACCACAAAGCTGTCACACAACACGATGGTCCATGTTCTTTACTATCTGCATCTTTTGCTAACACACAGAACATATCTATATCATCATCCCGCCACTCAAGGTCACAGCCAGAGTCGTCAACTTGGTTTCAACACTAGCTGCAGAGAAAAACTGCTACCCGCTCCTCATAGACGCACATCCGCTGACCTTTTCGAACTTTTAATTGTTCTCATGATGGTTGCCAACAAGGCGAACGATGATTCTAGTTACACAATGAAGACGTGGGAAAACCTCACACCTTTGAGTATTTCCGTACTACGAAAGCGTGAACTTATTGTGCTCAAGAAACTCAACTACAATGTGTTTCTAAAAACCGAAGATCATGCGAAGTGGTGCACACAAGTCTACGCCATGGTGAGAGGAGCACTTCCGAACGTGCACCACCAAGACGTTTCCCAACAAGGGCAACCGAAAGAAACATACCCAGTTCAGGCCGGACCTTTCACCACAACACCTCTTTGCAACGCTGTATCTTCCTTATCACCCTTGGACTCGTTGCCACTAACTCCAAGATCGCCTTCACTGGATTTGTTGTTATATGCGCATGCGCCAGTTGCAAGCTTACCAAAGCGCAAGCTCTACGATGGCAACGCAGAACAAAGATGTGCAAAGAGAAGTTGTTACAACAAAGCCAATGATAATAACAACTCCTATGGAGTCGTAACAGATCTTACTTTTACTCAAACTCTCACGGCACCAAGCATTTCACTACCATTGCCAGCATTTCCGTATGAACAGCAACTCAATCAACAACAATACCAATATCACCACCAAAATCAGCTTTTGACTCCATTGAAACGTTTCGACTACGAGTATGAGTTACAGGAGCATCCACAAGACTGTTCTTGTTGTGCTTTAACACGTATGACAGACGTTTATCACAACAACTTGAGAAATGGATTGAAACTTTAGTTGAGATTCTGAAGGGAAATGGTGAATCTAAGCATTGCGGTTTGGAAGCGGGATGTTTTACACATGTAACGTATGATGAGTAAAAAAAACATGAGAAAAGTCGGGCAGCATATTTAATGGAACACACAAGCTGCATCAAGGTGGGAATGTGGAAATGGAGAAGGACTGGGTACAAGTTAAGGTGTCTTCGGTGATGTGAACTATTCTAAAATTAATTAAGAGTCCATGATGGACTAACAAATTGGAATGTCGCATTCATCTAGCTGTATGTTTACATACGTAGTTCCCGGAATGCGAACTAGATATAGTATCAAGGCTGATGACAAGTTTCAAGTTCAGCAAGGTGTTGCAGTCGGACACAACTATAATTGGGTGAGGTAAGCGATTACAAAGGCCCAGTGGTAAAAGATTTTGTCTGTAGTTTGTTTGATACTATGTATGGCCCTGTTCCCCCCCCCTCGCCCCCTATTTACCAGTTGATTGGATGGCAACTCTATATGTTGTTTTACAATTTGAGACTTTGCCGTTTTTACCTGTACAAGCTTTGGTGTGAAACCATGCAGTAAAAGTCTACAAAAAATGTGATTACGATACATAGCAACAACTTTCGTCCATGATCTGGATGCTGTCGAACGCCTTTGTCACTTTTCTTTGCGATTTTCAGGTCTGCGCAACCAATATGCTGTCCCAAAACATTGAACAGAAAATTCCAGTTAATATGCGTGCCAGCATCCCAGACCTGAGTCCTGACCATAAATGGTCCAAATATATACCTAGAGCTGATCACTAATTCTGTGTGGTCTTTTTTAATCGTTTTGAAGAGAAATAAGAGCAGTCAATCGTTTCAAACCGGGATCGAAAATACCTGTTAGTACATGACCCTACACACTGGGCTGTGAAAGGGTATTAATTACCGTGGTGTAGCCCACAACCCAGACGGAAAAGTACATACATAGCATGAAAGTGCCCAATCTTCAAGGCATAAAAATACAGGCACAGCCAAAAAAAAATCGATTGCTTGAACTAGGTTTTATCACCTCTAGACATAGTCCAGCAAGATTTTACTCACATTCTCTTCTATCTTGTATACTCTCTCCAGCAACGCATATCTCACTCTATTGGTTGTTTTCATGCGCTTATATATGGTCTAAAGGCGATAAGTCAGCCAATACACGCTGATGAATTCCTAAAGCTAAACTCTGGATGGTGTACGATGATTATTTGGACGCATAGATATGCAGGCGTAGGCATAGCGCTTGATATAGACGCCAAATTCACTGAGCGTCTGTATTAACGTGTTCACTATTTTAGTCGATGAATTGCTTGAGGAGAGCAAAAGTTGTAACACTAATACGTGCACCTGGCATGGCAGCATGGCTTTTCCTGTTTTGCGATATGGGTTATGCTGATTCCGATCTGCCAGAGTTGGGACATTTTTAGCTAACCGTTAAATATAACCAAGGCAAGTCACAGAAGGCTGCGAGAATTCTGGCTTACGGTAACGTCTGCACAGCTCCGCTTCAGCCAAAACCGTCCCGTGGAATTTGGACAAGTTGTAATTTGGGCCTGTGGAAGGCGATCCCATTCATGAAACAGAGTTTGGAAATAATCACAACCACATTGCTGGAAACTCATCTCTTGCTTGCAAGTCCGTTGTAACGTTGTAACCTCTGAGAGGCCCAGCTTCTGGCTACTCTGAAACCTATTGTACTATCGTGTGTTTCCTTTTCTCATCCCTGACAACGATTATGGTGAAGCTGATGCAGTCAAGGCTAATTTCTATCCCAGAGTCCTGGCAGCTGCTACATGTGCATTTTGGTCGTAAACCACCCCCTAACTATTTTGCGTAAGGCTCCTTGTGCACAACACCGTTCAAGCCCGTTACATCGTCATCCACCGACAAACCATGGCCAAGTTGTCCACATGTTGGCTAAGGTCCAATGCAGTGGTGGACAACATGTTCGTTGCTCATTAACCCCTCGTATGATGAAGCCCTGTCACATTATTAGAAAGCAGGGCATCATATTTTCGCACGCTGCTTGGTCCTTCTGTATAATCAAGGATAACCCAAAGCCATTGTGGCATCTTAGCATGTCTCCAGGCTGTCAGCGATGCCCAAGTTCCTCTCTACCAAGCCAATAGAGAGAAATTTCGCCAACGCACCCGCAGGGCCCATCGGGGCTCGACACCTGGAGATGTGACAACCAAACCCAAACGCAATTCGCGAATTACGCTACAGACTTGCAGCCGACCCCAAAGAACAGCAGGAACATGAAAAACAAACACAAAAACACCAGTGCTATTTGATACCCTCGGAAAAGCTGTGGCACAACATCATCAGTGTTGACTACTGTGACCTCGTTTACGGTTAACAATATAATTCAGGCTATTGTTACCAGAGCATTTATGAGATGGAAGCGACGGACTGTGCTGATAATTTACTCAAAGAATCCGTACTACAAGCGCTGTCGTTGCCTTCATCTCTTGATAACAACTTTAACGTTATATCATCCCCAGTTAATGACGCCTATATGGTGAGCTGCGCGGACTGCATATCCGAATCTCTAGCGAGAATACTGCTCAAGATGGATGGTACCTTGGAGTGTCCGACTTGTCACGAGCGTGTTACCATGGTGGGACCTGTGGAACCTTTACGGCGTATCTACAATCTGGTATCAGATGATACAGACAACCAATATGGGCATGAGGAAAAGAAGGAAAATCTGTTGTCTTTGTTCTACTCCATTGCAAACACGGTAAACCAGCAAACCACTGTACCTACATCGTCGAAGTCTAAAAGGCTTCAGCGACCAAGTGAGGCCTCGATGTCAAAGAAGAGTGACATTCTGGTCACCTCGAGGTCTTCATCGAACCTGTCCAAGCTTTCTTCAAACCCCTCGTCAAACCTGTCCAAGTTACCTTCCTCTTCCCTTTCGATGAAACACAGCTCAAATGCATCAATACACACACATTCAACGCAGTCAATGTCCACACTCCCTACTGCTATGGTTCAAGGAGCCGCACCTCAGCCACAACTGTCATCTATCAAATCACCAATACAGAAGAATAAGGAATTCTTCTTTGTGAAGTGCTTCCCCACATATAGACGCCATTATCAGTACAGTACGCATTCGAAGTTTCTGAAGGCGAAATCGAAAACGTTCATTCAAACAAGGATCTCACCAGGTGCACAATTTTTCGCATTACTGTCCCCAAGGAAGTGGGAAGTCTACGAGATTCCAGAAGACCCTTCAAAACCACCAGTTTTACGCTGTGTAGGGAAATCCACTGGTGAGTATGGCCCAAACTTTGAAAATTTAGAAAAACCACCCATGAATGAGTTGAGAGAAGGTAACACTAATGCCAATGACTTCTTGAAGAAATTAGCTGATTGGGAACACCTGTATTGCTCTATCTCGGACTCTTATCTTGTCATTTCAGGAACCCATGGAATTTTAAGGGTTTATGATTTGGGCTATCGTGGGAGACCAGTCTATCTATACGCATCCAACTTCCCAATCCGTTGTATTGACATCTCTCCCTCGTCAGAGCTTGTCGCTTATGGCATTACGGGTAAAGACCGCGTGAGTGGAGCTGAGCATGCACTTATTATGATGCACAAGCTAAATTTCAACAATGGATTGTTATTCAAAGTGGATTCTACAACTGTGAAACTCCCTTACAGGGATCCGATAAACAAAGTCTCGTTCTCTACGGATTCGAATTATCTGTCGTGTTCCACAGCATTGGAGTCAAGGTTCCTAACAGTCTTGGTTAAAGATGCTGAGCACCCAAAACTTGTTATGAAATCTTTAAGAACACTGGATACTTCTTTAGAGTCCGAAGGTATCACAGATATCAAGATGTTTGACAACAGTCGATTTATGTGTGTCACATCGGTGGCCTTTAACGCATCTCCCATCATCGTGGACAACAACATTGCACTAACAAACGGTTTAGAAACAGTTGCACAACCAAAGCTTGTGATGAAACTTTCAGAAGTTGGAACCCAAATTCACAAGTGTGCAATTTCGCCTAGAAATGACGCGGTGGCATTTGTTGATAGAAATGGAACAGTTTACTTAATGAACTCCACGAGAATGGACCAGGACCACAAGAGATTTTTCATAGTGGATCAAGTGAGTAATGCATTTCGTGAAAGGGAATCTGCTAGTGCAATGTTCAGCGCCGACGGACACAGGCTGTATCTCGTTGATAGGAAGGGAATCCTTTATGTTAACGATTTTGCATCCGGCTTGCCAAAAGATCCAGAGATTACTCGCTGTAAACCTCTTGAGAGATGAAAAACGTTTGTATTATACATTGCATAATTAATAATAGCATATCATTAACATGGATTCTTCGTGTAAACGAAACTTACGGTGAGGATGCGATCTCTACACACAGCTATCCCAGTAGCTCTCTAAGTTGAGTAGCCGTGAGATATATTGTTGATGTCCGGGTGTGTTTATGCAAGCGCCTCTTGGACGGATGATTCCCATATTAAGATGGTTTGAATTGTATATAGATAGTTATTGTAGTTATAAAATACCTCAAAGATATTAAAGGTACAATTCTATACTTGTTTATCTGTATATCATTCGATATTTTATGAGATTTCTAGAAATTTTTGTTTTTTTGGATAAGTCCATTTTCCACCATATAATTTACTGCAACAAGAAAACGATCAATGCTAAGTTACTACCATCTAGAGATTCTTAATACATATGATCAACATTACAACTATTAGCTAAACCAATTAGTCTTTTAACATATAACCAAAGCTTTATAGCTATCTGAGCCGTGGTTGCTTATATTTACGAGCCAAAAATTCTCATGATTGTAGTTATCTAAAGCTGCGGTTGTAGTAGTGGCAACTAAAACCCGGACATCATTCACGTTGTGGTTCATAGCGTGCAACGTATATAGCATCTAGCGGTATTTACAGAGAAGTGATGTTTGTATAGAATTTGAAAGTCTATACCCCTTTTATGATCGATGAAAGCGTGTTGTACCTGTGTAATGGGAACATCCTTTTCTTACTGAGACATGTCTGATGCGTGTCCAAGTAGTAACAATGTTTTGATCGGATGACTAGTTTAGATATTGCGCCGTCAATGGAAGCAGACTGATCACCTTAGGGAGGACATCTACAAAGTTGGCCAGCCATTACGATATGATGTGATATTTGATGATCTGATATCGAAGTGAGACTGAATAATTATACAATGCGGTATTGTGAAGCGTATCAAACGCATCAAGAGCCTGCTGCGGACATGTCAAACGAGCAAATTGGAAATGTTCATCACACCCTTTTCGCCTATAGTATTAGGGGTTCCCTCATTGTTATCTGGCGGAGTCGAATTTTTGAACGAACCATTAGTAGATGCCGATGCCGATGTCGATGTAGGTGGGGGTAGCGTCGCTGAAGCACTCGAAAAAGAAAACTCCTTCTTAAAGACATCATCTTTCACTTCTGTAGTTTGCAACGAAGATATCAACTGTTGTGGAGGAGGTAGTTGTATATGATTTTGTTGTATTGAGTCGTTCTGTTTCTGATAACCTGGTGTGGCCCCGTTGCCGTTACTTGTAGGTAATGACGAAAGTGGAGTTAATGGCATTAGGCCTGGCATTGGTGGGCCATGTGAAGTTTGGAGGTTAGGCGATAGATAAGAAGACGAGTAGGAGCCCTGACGTTTAGCCATATGGTTTGGAAAGAGATCGTGTGCCAAAGAAGATCTTCGTGATGTTGCTGACGAGTTGAGCAAGTTGTTCATACCGTTATACTCTGAGATGGAACTATTTCTCGAGGATCCAGTCCTCGAGTAGGGTGAAGAAGCTGCCGTCGTGAGTATTGTTTGGGTTGAATGACGACGAGCTGGCGGGTTGTTTCCGTACTCGTCAATAAGCCTTTTCAATCCTGGTTGTTGGAAATAAACCTCGTGCGAGATACTCGACGACCGTTTGATAGGGGGTAAAATGGGTGCTTGCGTATGTTGTGCATGGGAAGGTTGAGGGAGTGACTGCTGCTGTTGCTGCTGTTGCTGTTGCTGCTGTTGTTGTTGTTGCTGTTGCTGTTGTTGTAGCGATGGAAGGCTCTGTCTCTGCGAATACTGATAAGGGTCAAAAATCCCGGTATTAAACGTTGGTTGAACAGGTTGTTGTAGAGGTTGTTGTACAGGCTGTTGAACATGATGTGGATAACCTTGGGTCATAGGTTGGACGTCCTGGAGAATGGCATGTGAGGATGCCCTTCTTCTTCGATTTGCTCCACCGTTCCACCAGTTCTTAATGGCATTATCGGAACGGCCATTCAAATGCCTTGCAATTTCCGCCCATCTTTTACCATATTTGGCCACAAGCTCTTCAATAAGCTGTCCTTCTTCAGCTGTTATGGGATTACGATTCAGCGAAGGCTTCAGGTTCTGATGGTATCTCTCCCTGCACTGTTTTGGAGTTCTTGAGCCGAGACTCTGTGATATTCTTACCCAGTTTGCGGGCCCATAAAGGCGAATAGCATCCAGAAGTTTACGATCCTCTTCAGGAGACCATGGTCCCCTACGGATATTCTGCGCTGGTTCCTCCTTGTAAGAAACTTGGACGCTCATGGTTCTTCACTTGCTTCCTCCCTCTCTTCAACTGTAAATATCCGAGTCAACAGTAGACGTCGTCCTCTGTAGTGGAGATGAAAAAGGAAGAGGGTCAATCCCGTAGCAAACCGAAACCCACACACAGACGGACGCACAGCCAAACACTGGTTGATTTTTAGGTGAGGTTAGAATCAAAGAACACCCACCTGCTTAGAAACAAAAAATAGCCTTATAAAAACACACGCTCAATAGTGGATCCAGGAGGGTAAACGATAGATTGAGACCGGCGTCCAGCACTTGAGCACAGAGGGGCAATAATCTTAAATTATATCTCTCTGTTTAAATCTGTGTCGGAATTCCACCAGATATTAAAAAGTAGGGAGGCTTTTTGGTCTTTTAATTCTGGGTGGGCCGTCCGACGTATGTTTTTGCCCTGCAAGTTTTTTTTCCCTGTTTTTCTCCCCTTCTTTTTGGTTATATTTTCACCAGGAAATCAACAACTTCCACGTACCAATTATGCGTCCAAATTGGGCAGCACTGGTGAATATCCACGTCTCGATTGGAGTGTGTGGTGGGCTTTGGTCCGTAGTTTATTTCGCTTAAGCCAGAACGTCCAGGAAAATCAGAAAATAGCACTGGAAACGCCTTGAATTCTGAGCGGCCCGTTACTGATTAATTTTTTTCTTTGTGTGTGACAAGAGAGAACCCTTAACAGACAAGTTGCTTTTATCAACGGGGGGAATACAAGCGTGACAAGTGTAGATGAACCTGAGCTGGGAGGAACAGACAATAAAAGGATGGCAGGTCTACTTTAAAATATACTTTTTTTCCCTTCTGTCTACTTCAAGTGCCAATTGTTGGAGCGTTGAATCGTCACGATCGTCTTGGTTAGACCCGATGTTTTTTGGATATATATCATGTGTACTATGCGTGCGTGTATGTATGTGCATGCACATCAATACGTGAAAGTCCTTCACAACTTCCGCCGTTTCTCACCAGCCAAACCCACACTTACACTGCTGCCAGCTGTGCCATCCCTGAGGGACTGGTGGCATTTGGGCACGCTCAGTGCCATATACGCGTTCACTACGCAAGACCTAATGGGACTTTTGGGCCCTCTCTTTGGCGCCTTGTGTAAAACCACCCACCCACCACGCCAGTGCTGGGCTCATGATGCTGCCCAGCATCGAGGTCAAACGTGACCCACTGGAAGTAATAGTGGGGCTCATCATTCTCCTCCATGTGCCTAGGGGTATACTGAATGACTTCATCACGACCGGCAGCTCTGGTCCCCTAAAGGAAACGTCAAAGCTAGTCAGTTGCTAGAGCTGGCGTGGACTGCTCCCACTGCCTCGCAACTTTGAGCGATTATTACGGCCCAATGACTCACATGACTCAATTTGTAGATTTATGAGGCAAAATTCAAGCTCACGTTGCGTCAACGATTAAACGAATTTTACTGAAGAATAAGTGCGGCCTGGCGCTTTTTTCGTTTTCTCATGCAGTTAAGCTGATGGAAGTTAACTGACCGTTGCGACTTGGTAAGAACTGGGTAAGTAGGAAAGGCAGCGGTACATATGACATACCAAATTGATTGAGTTTAACTGAGCCGATTTAGCATTTATGATTAGGGAGTGGGATGCGGGATGATTGGAAGTTCAAAGACTGCTGTTGCCTGTGATTTGCGAAGATATCATATGCGGTGGTGGTTGTGGTGCATGCCGTTGGGTTCAACCTTGTCCATCTTGGTATTGTTTTAGAATCCTTTGCATGAATCTCACGAGGCTCTGTGTCTGTGCCTGTGGCTCTCTGTATACAGCAGAGACGGTGTTGTATTTTCAAAGTTTAAGCGTGATGCTCAAATACCACACAACTCATCACTTTAACCATAATTCCCACATGGCTTTCCTCGTCTGTGCCATTTGAAAAGGAGCTACTCAAAATAATCTGATTATACTCAGATTTTGAAAGGCGGCCTCTCCGCCCCTCCTGGGGAAGAGAGCGCACTTGGCAGAAAGTTGAAGCTGTGTCTATTTTTAAGGTTGTGACCGTATGCAAACAGGACACCCCCACCAAAAAGTACCCAACTACACGGAGCGACAAACCAGGGTAATCACTGGTTAGAATGTCCAGCTGTGTTGTATATGGTTTTGCTATGCTTGTGTTTCATCCCAGTGATGGCTTAGAAAGGCCTGGCCGACGGTTTGGCGAGTCCAGATCGTAATAGTGAAATCGATAAAAGGAGCGAGTTGAAATTAGACACATGCTTGAGTGCTTTGAGGTGCGTGTGAAAAAGCATCCTCAATGTTTTTCCGTGATCGGCACCTAATATGAGAACCGTATTAGAATCAGCCTGAGTCGTCAGTTAGTGCTCCGTACACAGGCAATTTATACTTCATACAAAGGGTTGAACACGCATCTGCTCAACGAATGTAATGTCTGGACAGTTTGAAGCACTTAATCTTGGAGTTGTGGGAGGTTGAGGGGTCGGGAAATGTGGAAGGTGGCACAGGAAACGATTACCCTGCGGCACATCTGCACAGTGTGTTTCCCAACGGCTGTGATGCCACCACTTACATAACCCAGGATGGTGGAGCCAGTATTGGACATCATGAAACTACACCATTAGGTGATCTCAATATTGGCCAGTTTGCCGTGGATCGCCACTAGTAACAGTATTCAAAGACTTATATGATGTATTCACAGATCGGATAAGAAGAGCCATTATTCTTGCGAGCAACAGTAACGGCTACGTACCGGAGAACAGCGTATGCAAATTGCAAGTTGTGAGTGACAAGACCACAACCGTGAATGTACGTGGACATCAAAACTACAGTCAAACAACAATATGAGTAAATTCGATCAACCTGTAGAACTTTTTGTTTATTTTCTCTCAATATGAAATTATGCAAAGAACTTTGATAGACGTGCTATGAACTATGATACCATGTGTTGGTGTGAGATGCCAAGGGTTCAACGATCCCTCGACCTAGATCAGGCCGGGAAATCATTGATGGGAGGACTTACCAAGGGACTCCCATTTTAAGTTGTATCTGCCTTCAGGAACCTCGTAGTTCTCAATCAAGCTTAAGACTTCATCCACTGTGGTTCCAACTTTGATGATATTGCCATTCTTCTCGGAAATGAACTCGGATTTGATGGAGCTCTTGATGAACTCCAACAAGCCGTCGTAGAAGCCATTGATATTGAAAAAGACAATAGGCTTGCTGTGGATACCCAATTGACTCCAGGTGATAACCTCCATCACCTCCTCCAAAGTACCGTACCCACCAGGCATTGCGATGAAGGCATCTGCTTCGAGGCCCATCATACGCTTACGCGTATGCATATCTGGCACCACAGTGGTCTTACCGTACTCTTCGTTGATAGGCGTGACCCCCTGGTGGTTGTCAACGGATTCTTTTAGCTTGTTGTTAAAAGCCTCCACGTCTTCATCCGCACGTTCCTTGGACACCAACGCGTCTGGAATGATTCCATGGACATAGCCCTTGTTGGATGAACAGCCCTTTGCAACGGCGCCCATCAACCCAGTGGTTCCACCACCGTACACCAACCCCCATTTCTTCGAGGCAAGTTCCTGGCCCAACGCTTTGGCTTGGGCGGTGAACTCCGGATCGTTACCAAACGACGACCCACAAAACACACACACAACCTTCTCACTTGTTGTCATTGTTTCTCCTATCTTGTTTCTGTTGCTGCTTGAATTTGGTTGCTTTCGTCTGGATCTAATGGCTACAGTTAGCGAATAACGTCAAAACAAAAAAAAAGCTGTGCGAAAACCACACACACACACGTGGAAATAACACGGGCACACATACAATTTGCACTTCAAAAGGTTCTATCGGGTTCTCTGAGCTTTTTGGCCCTTTTATTCCCTGATCGAACGTTTCTTATCCTCCCGTCTGTTTCGCTCGTGAGTCCAATCATGGGTCCTTTACCACGCTTATATACGTTTTCATGACAATGCAACTGTCCGACCAATTTCGTTATCTTATCGGTGGTGACAAGTTGCAACGTCGCCCGTCAAGCGGGTTTCGATGATGTCAACGACGTGCCCAAGTGGAGTTTTTCGGCTTCATTGGTGCAAACATTGACACAAACCGAGCTTATCCCACCGGCATGTCCAGGTGTTTCCAGGTTGGCTAGCAGAGGCATGCCGTGCTGCCGACGGTTGCTCCGAAGGCAGGCCGGTCTTGCCCCCAGGCGGGCAGGGCTGCTGACTAAGCACTTATGTAATAAATAGACGATTATACCAGAAAGAGGAAGAATACCATAATAGGAAATATTCGCGTGTCATCCTGTTATCGTCTCTGTTTTGGCGGTGGAGGATGTGGCCGCCACGAGATTCCGACGAACAAACAACCCGCCACACAACTGCGCGTCAGCGTCTTGTGGTTTCGGAATTTTTTTTTGCATCATATACACGCACGAAAAGTTCAGGAACCACCAAGGTTGTAAAGTAGATTGGGAATTGGCGTACTGTTTGTTGACGAACAACCTTCACAGGGCAAATATGTACTGAAGAGTTTTCTCTCATTCCATTTTTCAAGTCCGGAATAGAAGAGGAGAAGAAGAGCGGGAGAGGTTGCGAGGTTGAGCGTTCAAGAAAGACAACCACTACAAAGTGTCAACGGACAAGGCAGTACTGATTGCCATTTTGACTGCATATAAACACACCGTGGTTACCAGGCTGGTGGAATACACGTCGGAGGAAAAGGCCAAGAAAGCACTGGCCGTTCAGAGAGACTGGCGAAAACTGCACCAAGTACGTGGCTACAGCACAGAGGTTCCAGGAGGATAGCAGGGGAGAGAGGATACATCACAGTTGAAACAAGCGTGGGTATTAACGTACAAGGACATAGCCCATCACACGGTTTTGCCGAATAGGAGAACAAGAGACACAATGGCTAGTCAGTTGAGACAGCTTGAAAATGGCATCATGAAGTATACGATGGAGGACGACAGCCCCAGGGTGTCTGACTACACGAATGAGGAGTATTCCTCATCGGTATCCGGAGCGTCCATTACACCACAGATCAGGGACGTCCAGGATCTCGATGTGCACGATGAGATACTTCCAATTGAGCAACAAGCCGGCTTGGTTCATGGTCATATCCATAACTATGAGAATTTCACTTATATCCATGGTCATATACACACTAACGAGAACGCATCGTGTAATGCACTGGAAAGTTGCGTCTGCGATGAAGACGTGAAGAGAAGACCAAGTAGAAGAAGTTCTCTCCATAAGCATACCAACGACTTGCACTCGGAAAACTTCTCTGAATGCCAACATTTCGAATTCCTGAACTGCCACGATAACACTCCGCTGCTGCCGGTAAACCTGGATGATGATTCTATCACATGTAACATGCACGAGAATTGTAAACCGAAGATAGTTGAGGTTTGCTGTGATACTTTACACAATGAAGATTCTTCAGGCCCATTCCCACTCAATTCTGGACACGTACTCCCGACAGAAGATGTACATCTTCACGAGGGGACAACAGACCATACCTTTGATTTCGAAAGGGCCCTATTGGACTGTGGATTAGGTGATTGCATTGACATTAAATGTGATTTGGACACTTGTGATACCAATGACTTACATTGCAAATACTGTGATGTTGTGGAAGAACTGCCCAGCATTAAACAGGAGTTCGATATTGAACCCACACCGAATAATCAATTATCAAATTTGAAGAGACAAAGAAATGAAAGTTTCTCAAATGAATATATCCATATGCATAGCCATGTTCATCACCAACATTTAGAGGGATTTCAACACCATCTTCATCACAAACAACATCATCAGCACCCAGAAAACCATCATCACCATCTTTTTCAACTTCATGAGCATCAACAGAAGAAGATCAAGACAGATGACGGCTCAGAGTTGATAAATTTTGAATGGAATTTCAAAAACCAGGAGACCAAATGTGAATGGGAGAATTGTTCCACCATGTTGAATAACTCGTTGCAGTTACAGAATCATATCATGGAGGACCATATTCTCTCAGAGTATCCAGATCTCAACGCAACACCAGCTCATGATCATTCGTTTGAATGTGAATGGAAAAACTGTGATTACTCTGGAGTGGATATCTTCAGCTTGGTCAATCATGTAAATTTGAAGCATGGATTACAGGGCCTTCCCGATACACTCAAGTTCGATTTGCGTAAGCAAGATGGCAGCCTGCAACAACTACCAACACCATCTGAGGCTCTTGAAAAGACAACCACAAGGGCCCGCAGAGGAAGAAGAATACAACAACAACAAGAAGAAGAACCAGAACAAACCGTTTGTAAATGGCTGGTTGAAGATGAACATGGAAACCAGCATGATTGCAACAAGCAATGTCGAACAGCGGGGGAACTAACAGATCATCTGATCGTGGATCACATTGGTTCTGGCAAATCAGAGTACACTTGTCTTTGGAAAGGATGCGACAGAAATCACCGTAATTTCAACCAACGACAAAAGATTATCAGACATTTACACGTTCATACGAGATATAAACCGTTCAAATGTGAAGAATGTGGTCATTCCTTTGCTATCGAGTCCATGCTTGAACAACACATGAGAACTCATTCAGGTGAAAAGCCTTATGCTTGCAAACAATGTGGGAAACATTTCGCTACAAGCTCATCGTTGTCTATTCACATGAGAACCCATACTGGCGAGAAACCTCTCATGTGTAAGTATCCAGGTTGTGGGAAGAGGTTCAGCGAGAGCTCCAACTTGACTAAACACATCAAGACACATGAAAAGACCTACAAATGTGAGTGTTGTTCCAAGAGCTTCACGAAAGAGAAGCAGTTGGAGAATCACATGGCGAAGTATCATACGTAAGCTCTGAGGGTGTTATTCTCCAGGAATCTGATAGATATATGAATTTATTCAAATTGTAGTGTACACACTGTATCATTGACTAGCGTTTGTCTTTGCAGTCAGTTCTGCTTGCTTAACAAGGTTGATTGGGGCATCCATCTCCTCAAGAACAACGTCAATCAATCTAATCTTGTCGTTTCTTGCGAAATCAGCACAACGGAACATCGTATCCAGCTCACCAACTGTTTTCACTTGAATAGCATCATAGTTCTTTGCTCCAAACGTCGGCAACAGCTTCAAATGATCCCAGATCTGGATCTCGTTGTAACCAGCATTAGGACCATGAATCAGCTTCTCAATCGTGTAACCTTGATTGTTAAGGACAAAGATGTAGGGGGTCAAGTTATGTCTGATCATAGTGGAAATGGCTTGAACGGTAAGTTGCAGAGAACCATCACCTACAAAGAGAATCACACGTCTAGGCTTCTCAAGCTCTTGTGCTGCTGCAACAGCACCGCAACAGGCACCAACGGAATAACCAATTGATCCCCAAAGGACTTGGGAGATACCAAGAACGTTGTCAGGGAATTTTGTTTGAAGAATACCAAAAGCAGACGTACCGGTTTCTGTTATAACGATGTCGTTTGGTTGCAAGAATGTTGACAAGTTAGTCCAGAGCCACTGCTGAGTGAGCTTTGAAGATGGATCAGCTTTCAGAGGCCCTTCCATCTGTGGAACTTCGATAGGGGCATAATCGGTCATCAATGATTTGATGCTTTCATTCAACTTCTGCAGCACAAACCTGAAGTTAAGACCTGGGTATGTTGCTGACTTGATCTTGATGTAGTCAGAATGGAATTCAACAACGTTCTTAGTGCCGTAGGAGTACGAGAATGAGCCAGTGTTGAAATCAGAGAGCAGTGCACCAACAGACAAGATGAGATCAGCGTTCTCAACAACCTGCTTGACCTCTGGCTTGGACAAGCTGCCGACGTAGACTCCTCCAAATCTCGGGTTGTTTTCATTGACAACACCTTTGCCCATAGGTGTTGTAAACGTTGGGAACTGAGTGGTGGCGATCAACGTGTGAGTTTCGTCTTTAACGTTATGACGAGAAGCACACGAGTCAACAATGATAACTGGCGACTTGGCACTCTTGATGAGTTCCAGGACAGTGTCCAGCACCTCCTGTTCAGCAGACGGGTTGTTTGGTTGCACTGTCAGGTCAATTGGAGTATCAAGAAGTGCCGTAGGCACTGGCTCCTCCACCAAGTTTGTTGGAAGTCCGATGTAGACCGGCTTCTGAGAGATGTACGCCTCTCTGATACAGCGGTCGATCTCTGAAGCTGCTGACTGCGGATCGTTGATCCAAGCCGTCGTCTTAGAGATGTAGGAGGACATTCTGTGGAAAACGTTGAAGTCACCGTTACCAAGCGTGTGGTGTAGCAGCAGCTGCTTTGATTGCGACGCTGTCGAAGCAACACCAACAATGTGGACAACGCCAACGTGCTCAGCATAAGAACCTGCAATACCGTTCAACGCAGACAGCTCACCAACACCGAATGTGGTGATCAGAGCGCCAATGCCCTTGACCCTGGCGTACCCGTCAGCAGCGTAAGAGGCGTTGAGCTCATTCGTGTCGCCTGCCCATCTCATGCCGTCAACCTTGTAGAGGTAGTCCAGGAGACACAGGTTGAAGTCTCCCGGCAGCCCAAAGACTGTGTTCACTTGCAATTGTTTGAGCCTCTCGAAGACGTACTGGCCCACCGTGATCGTGTCCATCTTCATCTTCTTTGTGGTGTGCATGTCGTCTGTCATTTTGGATGGTGATCTCTACAAGCAATGACATTCTCAAGACACCACCGCCCCCTAATTTATACACTTTGCAACCAGAAACAAACAGCCAATATCCTCCAACTTCATGCGTTCGGCCCAAATGGACGCATTGTTACGCACGACATTGTGACATGTACGCCTCTGTTGCCTTAGGACTCAGTGCACTGTGATATTCGACCTTCGGATTAGGATACGGAATTATCGTCTGATTATAGCAACTGCAACTTTGTCGTTGTTAGAGCTTTGGATGTAAAAACAACACGTAATACAAATCCACAGGATTTGGGAATGTCTCCTCAATGGCTTACAAGGAACTCCTTGAACCATTGTATTTCCTCCTTCTTTCAGTTCAGAAAGAGAGAGCCCTTTTATTTTATATTTTGGATTATATTGTTATTAAGATTATTCTTATTGTCGTCACCATAGCCTTAGATCTATGTAGCCACTCTGGTGAAAGGAACACTATTACATCGATTATAGTGAAGAATATATTGTGACGTCGATATAACTGGAAGATAATATAAGCTGAACCCCGAAGAGCACAGCACGGTGCAGACACGGGCCCGGGGAGCAGTATAACGTGAACAGCCCCGTGGTGGGATTGCTACAACGGTGTGTTGAATGGTTGCTGTATATTTGGCTTTAGTAGTTCAATTGGTGATAAATGTGTCGTTGTGGTGTTATATACATGTTTGCTGTAGAGGCTGAGGTGTTGTGTGTGGAGACGGGAGTATTGGGACGACAGCACTGGGACGACAGCACTGGGACGACACGCTTACACGTGGAAGTACTGCTCGAACAACTCAGCACACGGAACCGTTGCTTTCAGTCTTGTACAGAGGAGGAAGACACCACTGAACTTTCTGTGCAGTGAGTACGTTTCCTCCGGTGGTGGAGTCAGTCTCTCTCTCAGCATCAGCCCCATCTTGGCCTTGACCCTCGTAGTGACGTCCTGTGTGGAGAAGTCGTACAGTTTCTCCTTGAATGGCTCCCCGAGCACCATGACGGACTCAACATGGGCTGCAACCATCTCGTCGGATTCGAACCCGGTCAGGTATCCCAGCTGCTTGGAGTAGGCTGCCACGATGTTCTTCTCTCCACGAATGGCACTCTGCAAGCATTCGACGTAGTTCTTGATGAACTCATCCCCGAACCCCCTTGATGCGCCAAAGTCCAACAGCTCGATCTTCTTCGTCTTGTCGTTGTAGAGGAAGTTGGCCCAGTTTGGGTCAGTCTGCATGAATTTGAACTGGGCAATCTCCTGTAAGCACAATCTCATCACGTTGGTAGCCATCCAGTTCTTGGTCTCTTGATCCCACTCACCACGTGTGATCTCCACGCCTTCGAGATAGTCCATGGTGAGAATATTCTCAGTGGTCAACTCGTCGTATACCTTGGGAACTTCGAAGACAGGATCGTCTTTCAACAGCTCCCTAAACCGCTTAATGGCCTTTGCCTCTCTGATGAAGTCGCATTCCCATTTCAACTCGGTTCTTGCGTTGGCAATGGATTTATCTGCGTACATGCCTCTTGGTAGCATGTTTGATGCTTTCAAAAGCATCAACAAGGTATCCATGTCTGAGTCAATTGAGTTCTTAACACCCGGGTACTGGACCTTAACGGCAACCTTGGTACCGTCTTTCAACACTGCTTTGTGAACCTGAGAGATCGACGCCGATGCGATAGGGATTTCCCCAAACTCCAGGAAGTGGGACTTCCAATGGCTGCCCAGGTTCTCCTTCATGATCCGGTGAAGCTGTCTCTGAGGCATGAAGTAGCTCTGGTTCTGGACAGACGTCAGCAGGCTGGAGACCTCTGGTGGAAGGAAAGATTCATCCTGAATCGACATCAGCTGGCCAACCTTCAACGCGGCTCCTCTCATCTTGCGCAGCTTGTCACCAAGAAGCGTAACGTTCTTCGACGAAAGAGCAACGTTCTTCAAGTTTGGTCTCTGGCCCTTGGCAACAGCTTTCAAACTGTCAGAGGCGGCGTTGATGCTCATGGACGTGGCCAGCTGCCCATAGTGGAACAGCCTCTGCAGTTTCGTCGATGGCATCTCCACTCCACCGTCCTCCTGGCCCTCGCCCTTCTCTGGCTCAACAGCCACAGCGGTCTTCTTCGCAGACGTCGAGTAGTTCCGCTTGCTCTGCGCAACAGGGCCCTTCGCGGCCCTGTGCTGGTGGCCAGAGGTGCTCGAGCCTACGGTCGAGCCTACGCTTCTCGCCTCCTCAGAGCGTTGATGCAATTCCTCATACATCTCATCGTGGACTCTGCACGATCTCGTCAACGTAGAAGTCCTGTAGAACTCCTTAGCATCCTTGACCGCAAGCTCCAACGAGCCCTGTCCAACCTTTGCAGCTCCTCTCGCTATGGAGACCACCTCGAAAAGAGTCCCTCTCATCTTTGCCCAAAATTGTGTTCGTCTTCCTCTTCTTCTTCCTCTTCTCCTTCCCGCAATGGCAGACAAGCTGTGCGTGTTTGGCTTGAAGGTTCGTCCCAGAGGGAAGCGAAAACCGTTCTCGAGCCCAGCGGCAAATTCCGCGTGCGATTCTGGGCTGCGGCCAAAGTCCTACCGGCACAAAATTTTTTTCCCGCTGTCTCTCTCTGGAACTCATCTCATCTCATCTCATCTCAGCGAGCCATTTTGTCTTTGAATAACAACGAAGGCCTGTAGAACTGGGAGCAAGCGATGGGAGAAGAAAGACCCTTGAAGAAGTCGAAGATCCTGGACACGTCCAGTGCAGAGAAAGTAGCCGAGCAGGCGGAGGATGAGCTGAAGAGACATCCTCATGCGCATGGGTCTGAGCGTTTGGAGTTCCACAACGGTGGTGAGTTTGAAGGGTTCATTGCGCACGATACCACTGCCGAGCAGGCTGAGAGGCTGGAGGATGGTAAGGTGAACCCATTCACGGGCAACGAGTTCTCGCAGAAGTACTTTGATATTCTGAAAGTACGCCGTGACCTCCCAGTGCACGCGCAGAGACAGGAGTTCTTGAACATTTTCCACTCGACGCAGATCATGGTGTTTGTTGGTGAGACGGGTTCTGGTAAGACTACACAGATCCCACAGTTTGTGCTGTACGATGACCTGCCACATCTCAAGGGCACGCAGGTGGCGTGTACTCAACCTCGTCGTGTTGCTGCGATGTCTGTGGCCGCAAGAGTGGCTGATGAGATGGATGTGTCTCTAGGGGAGGAGGTTGGTTACAACATCAGATTCGAGAATAGAACGTCCAACAAGACCATCTTGAAATACATGACCGATGGTATGTTGCTCCGTGAGGCGATGGAGGATCATGATTTGAAGCGCTACTCAGTGATCATTCTCGACGAAGCTCATGAACGTACCTTGGCAACGGATATCTTGATGGGGTTGATCAAGCAAATCACAAAGAGAAGACTGGACCTGAAGATCATCATCATGTCTGCCACGCTGGATGCCCTCAAGTTCCAAAAATACTTCAACGATGCTCCGCTGTTGGCGGTTCCAGGTAGAACACATCCAGTTGACATTTACTATACACCGGAGTACCAAAAGGACTATCTCGATTCTGCTATGCGTACAGTATTACAAATCCATGCCACTGAAGGCGAGGGTGATATCCTATTGTTTCTCACCGGTGAGGAGGAGATTGAAGATGCATGTAGGAAGATTTCCCTCGAAGCAGATGAAATGATAAGAGAACAAGGGTGTGGACCTCTCGATGTTTACCCGTTGTACGGTTCCTTGCCACCACATCAACAGCAGCGTATCTTTGATCCAGCACCAGAGTCTTTCAACGGGCGTCCAGGTAGAAAGGTGATCGTCTCGACAAATATCGCAGAAACCTCTTTGACCATTGACGGTATTGTCTACGTTGTGGACCCTGGATTTTCCAAGCAGAAGGTCTACAACCCTCGTATCAGGGTTGAATCTCTATTGGTTTCGCCAATCTCAAAGGCCTCAGCTCAACAGAGAGCTGGTCGTGCCGGTCGTACTAGACCTGGTAAATGTTTCAGATTATACACAAAGGAAGCGTATCAAAAGGAGTTGATCGAGGCAACGTATCCAGAAATCTTGAGATGTAATTTGGCATCTGTTGTCTTGCTGTTGAAGAAAGTTGGTGTTGATGATTTGGTCCACTTCGACTTTATGGACCCACCTGCACCAGAAACAATGATGAGGGCTTTGGAGGAATTGAACTATTTGGCTGTTTTGGATGACGAAGGTGAACTGACTGCACTAGGCCGTATGGCATCAAATTTCCCATTGGACCCCCTGTTGGCGGTGATGCTCATTGGTTCTGCTGATCACAAAGTTTCAGAGGAAATATTGACCATTGTGAGTATGCTCAACGTCCCAAGTGCCTTTGTGAGACCAGCAAATGCTCGTAAGTATGCCGATGAGGCCAAGTTACAGTTTGCTGACCAGAGTGGTGATTTCGTCACTTTGCTGAATGTATTTGATGAGTTTTTAAGAGTGAAGACAGAGGAAGGTGGCTTGCAAAAGTGGTGCCGTGACAACTTCGTGTCTTATAGAACACTGAACCAGGCCGTCAACATCAGAAAACAACTGGTGAGATTGATGGAGAACTTTGATATACCACTGATTTCCACTTCACAGGATGAGTCCAAGTTCAATAGAAGAATCACCAGGGCTCTTCTCGGTGGCTTTTTCATGCAAGTGGCCATCAAAGCTGGTAAAGGGTACCGAACCGTGGACGGCCAGGACGTCTTGGTCCATCCGTCCACGGTGTTGCCAACCAACCCAGAGTTTCTGCTGTACAATGAACTTGTTCTTACATCAAAGACCTACGTCAGAACGGTGCATGCAGTGAAAGGAGACGAACTGAAGAAGTACGATTTCTTCAGTGATTACAAGTTCTGAGCCCTGGTGAATCGTACTTATTTCTGCTGCGTTTTGATTTGAATACATGGTTGTAATACTGTTTAAAGCTGGTTGTTATGCACTCTACGTATGGCTCTCCAGGCCCATGCGGTCATCTCCACGTAGTTGTAACGTTACATAGAGCTGTGTAGTTGTTTCAAACACTGCTTTTGAACACAGATTCTCTGCGTCATGGTTACGCCACCTGTGTTTTAGAGCTCAGGCATGAATCAATTTGGATACGATCTTTCCATACATAACGCAACAACAGGCATAAAAGGCGGAGATCGATCATAGCAAACAAGAACAGAAAAGAATAAGAGACCAATGCCACCACCAGAAGAGGATGGTTATTACCAAGGCAACAATGAAAGAGCATTTACGCATTACGCACATCGCTAAAACGTGGAAGCTTAATCTCAGGGGAGATGAATCAACCAGTGGAGGTGTTTCACCACAATCTCGGTGGAGAGCATGGCAGTGGAGGGCATGGCGGTGATGGAGAGGGTGAGATTAGAGCCCTCGACACATACAAGGGCATCTTGGAGAGACGTGCAATCCTCAGGACTACGTAGAACACGGGCTTATAGAGGAGGAGGACGACCTCTGGGCACGTCACATCCTGCTGCTCACGTTTTCTCCTGAAACTTGATACCAACAGCTGTTCTCAACGTCCCATGCTTATATCGTACATCATGCCGATGTACTGCAATACGTGCCATTTTATCTGCTATCTTCCCATGTAAGGCAACGCACCCTATATGAATCATGTGCTGTTGCTGCGCTCAGTAGCATGACACCGGCAGCAAAATGAAAACAAAACTTGCAACCTCATCGATTAACGTTGCAGTTGAACCATCTGGCAGTTGCGGACTGTGTATATAGCGTGTGGTGACTTCATGCCCTGGTTCGAATTCCAGTGGCCTGTAGAAGGCCAAACACCACGGCGAGGTGCTCGGGAGCGGCATGCCAGCCATACTTTACTCGTCCTCATTGGCTAATGGCACTGCTACGCTGCGGAGACGGGCAAGACGCTGACTCTGAACGGGCAATACGCTGACTCAGAGCTGAAACACATCCTCCTTCCAAACAGTCAGCTCCCCTGTGCCGTGTGTGCAATACAAAACCGCTGTTTGCGAAATTTCCTCCCTGAATTGGGCCACTTTCCATCTACTTTTTCTGGTAAAAATTCCGCCCCAAAGAGAAAGTGTTCCCACCGGCTGTGTGCTCTGTTTTTCTCTTAAAACCGGTGACTGGGCCTTGTCTTATTCCTTTTTCTTTTTTTTTCCTTAGCTTCAATTTTGCGGCACCACACAACAGGTTGCGACTATTCGATTAGCGAGGAACAGGTCGTGTTGACCAGAGCGTAGAAGGGCACCGTAGCCATGGAGAACAACGTGACGAGCGTCACCAACCCCCCGAGACCACCTCCGGTGCGAGCCACCGGAGGTGTTGACGAGGTGGAGGGCGACATTGTACGACCAGATGGTGATTGTTTGAGCAAGCGAAGCGGTCGCGGTGATGATGGGCGCAACAGCTCAGGCGGGATAAGCAGTAGCATCGATGCAGAAAAGCCGGCTCAGATGCCCGTACGATCACCAGGAAGAGCATCGGACGATTTGAACGCGATAGGCAAGGTTGGTGGCACGGAGAAGGAAATGTCCGGCGCTGAAGACAACAACGAGCAGGATAGTTGTCAGGTAGCGGGCGTGGAGTCGAAGACAAGAGGCGGCGATAAGACGATGGAGACTGGCAGCGGCAAGGAACACGAGTGCTACGAGCTAGGCTTGCAGAGCGACGAGCTGGAGGATGGTGATGATGATGGATACCTTGCGGTACCCAACCAGATGCCACCACAGCTGATGCAAAAGCTGAGCAAATTCCCATTATTCAGAAATGCACCTCCAGCTTTCCACAAGGCCATAGCTGGTAGGCTTAAGCTCATGACACACCACGCCCAGGAGTACATTGTGAAGTTTGGGGAGCCGGCGAAGTCGATGTACTGGATACTAAGAGGCTCTGTGGCGGTGACGTCCCCAGACGGTGAAGCTGTACACGCCGAGCTAGTTGCCGGGCAGTTCTTTGGAGAGATTGGAATCCTGTTCAACAGGCCGAGAACAGCAACGGTGATTGCACAGACAAAGGTTCTGCTGGGTGTTTTAACGGCAGAGAACTTCAACGCTGTGCTCCCTGATTTCCCTGCTGTTGAGAGAACGATCCGTGACGAGGCCCAGGAGAGACTCTCCATGCAAGACAAGAGAAAGAAAAATGGATTATCAAACATTATCAACACTAAAGCAGTCGCCCCTGTGATTGACGCTGACGACTTGGACACAGCGGCATCCGCTGTCGCCATAGCGGCTTCAACCTTGCCAGGTCCCTCGGTACCACCGATGATGAGGAGATCACCGTCACCACCAGAGTTCACTGGTGATGTTCTGAGTTCGTTTGGAAATGAAAGTTATGACTGCTTCTTACCGCAAGTTCACGATAACGTTGACCAGTCGATCCCGACAAGAGACTTCTTGAGGGGCTTACCGATGTTCACGTTGCTGCCCTCAAATATCATACACGAGCTAGTTCTTGGGGTTGAACCAAGGAGATACGACCCGTTCGAGTACATTGTGCGAAAGGGTGAATTAGGAAGAGACATCTACTTCATCGTGAATGGTGAGGTTGAAGTGCTGGCACCAAAGCGATTTTCATTGGATGATTCAAATGGAGCCAAGGAGAAGAAAGTTGACATAGTGCTTGGAAGGCTGGGACAGGGCCAATACTTTGGCGAGATGGCATTTCTCCAATCCTTATCAAACGATGGCGATAGGATCGAAAGAAGTGCTGATATAAGAACAGTCTCAACCGTTGATGTTGTAGTGGTGACAGGTGATCAACTGGAGGGACTGTACGCTCGTTATCCACAGATTTGTGATGAAATGCGTGAGACTGCGAGAAAGAGAACAGACAAGAACAGAGATCAGGAAACAGAGGAGATTGAATTACAGGCATCTCCATTTGGGAAATGGAGAGGGTTCCAGTCTTCAGTGACATCAAGAAAGACACAACCAATATTGGCCACTACCAATAACGACACACCAATCGGGCCAGCAGATAGCACCACTCATACGGGTGCTCATATCGCTTCTTCAACTACTGCTGCTTCATCAGCACCTAGCTTGAATGCATATCGATTGAAACCATCCTCGTCAAGCACACTTGTTGACGATACGTGGCCACCATTCTCGAAGAAGAGGGTGCACTCTCAGATATCACCTAGCGACTTACCTCTTAACATCGGCTTACCTCCAATGAACCCAACAGTCCCATCAGTGAACCAGTTCCCTTCGCATCAACGACCACATCCGTTCCACTATATGGATCATGCGAAGAGACTTAGATTGGCGCCGATAGCAGGCCGTCGGAGATCTTCACTGTTGAGTACTGGTGTATTGCCTGATCGTGTCCTCCTGAAAGTGTTTTCTACGCTTAAACTTCATGAGTTGATGAAGTTAAGACTGATTTGTCGTAGATGGAGACAACTTCTGTACGTTGCACCTGGCCTCTTTGAGAAATTGGACCTCACACAATACAACACATCGATCAATGATAAGGCACTGATCCAGATAACAGATTTTGTTGGCTCAAGACCCAAGGAGATTGACATTTCTAACTGCTTCCATGTCACAGACGTTGGTTTGTCGTACATGGTGAATGAAATTGGCATGAGTGGATCTATTCGAGTTATCAAAATGAGTTCAGTATGGGAGGCAAGTGCCATGGCCATTATGGATATTGCAGTTCAAAGCATTGGGCATCACATTGAAGAGCTGGACTTATCGAACTGCCGTAAAGTTCGAGATGACGTTATAGAACGCATCGTTGGTTGGAAAACGCAGCCCAACTCGAACGCTGTATGGAATGAACAGTCGTATGTTAACGATATTGACAGTCCGGAGTCATCTGTGGGATGCCCTAAACTGAAAGTGTTAAGTCTGGGTTATTGTAAACATCTCACCGATCGGTCAATGTATCACATTGCAATGCATGCTAATGACAGGATAGAGGCATTAGATATTACACGTTGCACAACCATTACCGACGCAGGGTTTGCCTATTGGGCGTATCAACCTTTCTCCATGTTGAAGAAATTGAAATTGAATGATTGCACTTTTCTCAGTGACAAGTCGATTGCAGCTATTGCCAGCTCTGCTCAGAACCTTGAAGTTTTGGATCTCAGCTTTTGCTGTGCGTTGACAGACGTTTCCATCGATGTGTTATCTCTTGGTTGTCCAAATTTGAGGTACTTGGATGCATCATTTTGTGGGTCGGCAGTATCAGATTCGACTTTACTGACACTTTCCATCCATCTAAGGCATTTGCAGTCACTTGTGATCAAGGGATGCGTAAGAGTTACGAGGGCTGGTGTCGATGCCTTACTTACAAATAGCACCAGTCTGACGTATTTGGACATTTCCCAGTGCCGCAATGCCCACTTTTATAGTGATTCTTCACCAGGAATACCATTTCAACCAAGACCAGGTTCAAGATCCGCATTTATCAGCACCGCCAACGCTAAGGTTGTTGAGATAGTTGTTTAGCAACTGCCAAGGTGCTTGAGGTATTATATTATTAATGAATTTACGAGTTTAATGAGAAGACACGTTATGCCACATCGGCTACAACGAGTTTTGTAGATTATATTGTAAGATGGAAATCAGTACACAGCAATGTAGTTGTGTATACGTTCCTTTTGGTCCTGGGCAATACACTCTGCAATCCATGTGATGTTTCTAACCTCTTGCTCTCTTGACTTTATCCATGCCCAGATAGTGGAGATTGAGAACTGTTGTGTGAATGCATCCCTGCACAACTCCATTTCAAGTTGGTAGAAATGATCCTCCAAGGTTTTACCCCCAACGTTATCAAAGAAAGATCTGTACTCGTACACGTTCTCAACAATAGTTCTAATCTGCTCAAAGTCCTCAGCCTTGGCCAAATGTAAAGTTCCTGTTGGGTACAACTTACCAAAGCTTGGAAGGATACTCTCCTTCTCAGAAGGGCTCAAACCAGTGCTTATAGAGTTGAGAGAGATGTTGATTGCACGCTTGTCCGCTTCAAATTCCAGCAGAGTTTTCATCACCGTGGCAGCTGGGTCTGGTTGACCTGCGCAAAATTGATAGAAATCTTCCAAGTAAGCCTTGTACAGCTTGTTTCTGATAATCTCAATGTTCAAGTCGTCCAAATCTTCAGCAGTCAAGCAATCTTTGAAGTATGGGGCCAAAGGTGTATCAACAAGCACAGTTTGGTAAAGCGAGTCGATATCAGTAGCAACGCTCAACGTTGGCAAAGTTTCAAACCAACCCAATGGATGACATCTCTCCAGGATTTCGGCCTTGTCTCTGTCATGGACAGTTCCAGTGATCATCAAGGCCACATTATCAATCATGTACCCATACGTGATGTAATCCATAAACTGTGCCAATGGTTGAACTGCCTGGTCACGGATGTACTGGAATTCCGCATACAGCTTCTCTGAAGCCTTAGCCTGGATCTGTGAAGTGGCTAATGGTGATGGAACATTCGCAAGGAAGTTACCATAATCAGTTGAAGAAAGCTGAAGCTTCAAATCGTCCAAAGTCTCACATTGCGTAAGGTTAATGTACTGGTTGTTTGTCAACAAACCATTTCTATAACCACGGACAACACCTTCGATAAAACCACTGGATAATCTCCAGTTAGTACACCATTGCTTACAGGGGAGCGTCCGCCAGTGTTCAATCAGCCGGTCTCAGCGTAAAGTGGAATAAGAAACCACACATCGCTCAAAACCTCAAACCAATAACAGCCAGCAAACTTCACAAACTCACTTATCAATGTTGAAATAAACACCTTCCATGTTTGATATGATCCTTATTGAATTTGACTTGATGGACTGGAAGTAAACATCAAAGACGAAGTTTCAAGACAGCGAGAGCGAGGGAAATAGGGAAACCCTTTTGGCTGCTCCAGGTACGATTGTTTTGGTACGCGCCACATTTAAAGAATGATGTGCGGATGTTTGGGTGTCCGGGTGGTTTCTATGAGTCTTCGGGTGATTCAATGGTGGTGTTGTTGTTGTTGTTGTTGTTGTTCTTTCGAGACGGTTTGGAGGTGAACATAGTAGTTGTATACCTTTGTATAGGCCTTTGAGCAATGTCACATTCAGGTGAGATTGATACTGCTTCGTTGGATGTTCTTCTACAAGAGCTCTCTGGGGATTTGCCCAAGGAAGTGTCCCCGTTGTTAGAAGATGAGGAGCTTCGTGGTGAGATCCTCAGGTACCTTAACGACATCAGTTGCATTGATTCCAAGGAGTACTTGTCCTCGGTGCCCCCAACTCCCGCGTCAGGCTTCTTCACGCAGGAGGATAGAACTCTTGTACAGGATATTGCCGAATTAGAGGCACAGGGTCGTTCAATTGAGACACAACTGAAGAGTTTGATTGTTCAATCACAGGAGTCGATTGTTCAAACAAAGACACAGCTGAACGATGCAGAAGTGTTGTTTGAAACTCAATTCAGTGCCATTTTCAACTCTATTTGGAGAACGTTCAATGAAGATGAACTTGAGGAGGTTAAAGATCAAGATCAAGAGCTATACTCGCTTGAAACTGATCTGAATCCAGAGGATAACGATTCGACGTTTCAATCTGTCGTTGCCAACGTGAAGAATTTGATACACGAGAATGATGAGACGAACAAGAACCTTTCCATTGTATTGGAGAATATGGATCAGATCATCAACATCCTGGATCTCCCTTCTCTTACTGGGCTATGTGTAAAGGCTGGTTACTATGCGGAGGCCCTTGAGATTAGTTCCTATACGAGAAGATTGGCTATCAGATTTCCATTTAGCGATCTGATCAGAGAAGTCGAATCTGGAATTAAAAATGAAATGTCGCAGATGCTAATTGGTCTTATTAGGCTGTTGAGGACCAACTTGAAGCAGTCGTCGATCATCAAGATTATGTCATATCTGAGAAGAATCCCACCATTTAGTCAGGTGAAAGATTGTGATAGTCAGTTGAAACGGATTATGCTTCATACTCGGTATCAATTCATCAAGTTGGAGTTAGAGTCGTTAAAGCCTTTGAATGAAGGTGGGATGCATGAGAAGTATCTCAAGAGAAGCATTGAATTGATTAGAGAATATGGGTTCAGTTCTATTATGACGTTTAAAAACGTGTTTCCAGATAATGTTGCAGATGAGATGTCGTTAGTTAAGATTGAAATTGTACCGGAAGAGGAGGCAGCGAAGGAAGATAAAGTGGAGGACGACAAGGTGAAGAAAGAGGAGGAAGACAAAGAGGAGGAAGACAAAGAGGAGGAAGACAAAGAGGAGGAAGACAAAGAGGAGGAAGACAAAGAGGAGGAAGACAAAGA